CCTTACGCCCATCATCGTATCTTCAACCCTTTAATTGTTATGAATTTTTTAAAATCCAAAATTGACGAAAATTCTAATTTTCTTGAATTAAATAATATACCTTAAAATTTAAAATGCTATAATTTTAAATTTTTTACCGAATATTCAAACTATAATAAACAAAATTACCTAAATAAATTTTCAAAATTTTGTTTGTTGTTATGTTTTTTTTTTACGTTATAACAATATGCTTCGTACGCGCCACGATGCCACGAAAAAGATTGTTCACTAGTATTTTCATTAAACAACAAATTAAATCGCACAGTCACGTTATCGTTTTGACGAAGAGTTGCATTTTTTAATTTCAATTATGTAACAGGTTTCGGACACTTCACTAACGCCTCGCCATGATCACAAAATAAACACTTTTTGTAGTCAGATAATATATATATATTTTTTAAATTAAAGAGAACGACATTATTATTACACGACTGCAAAGTAAACCAGTAGATGTAGAATCGAGCAAGACTGATTAACAACTGAAAAATAATTTTCAAAACGAGCCAAAATCTCTAAGATAGGGTTAAATTTTCTATTTGGAAGGTTGTAAAAATTGTTTATGACAGGAAAAAAAAAATAGAAGAAGAGTTAAACTTACAATTTTTTTAAAATACGAAATAAGTCCCTTTACCTATTTGTATTCATAGTGCAAAAGATTGAAAATCATAAAAAATATTCATATTTATAGTACTTACTCTCAATATTAAAAAAAATAAATTGTTTTCCTCATTTTTGTTAAATGGAGAAAGGCTTGGTTATTTTTGAAATCATAAAATTTTATAACCCCAGTAAGCCTACTATGTTCATTGTAACAGGTAGACATATTTCACGGATCACGACAAGTGCATTTGGCCTTTTTATCGTATTGAAAAAAAAAAGGTTGAAGAAGATTTTACTTCTCAGGCAGTATCTGACAATAATTTTTTCATGAATAAAAATAAATGTTAAAAATAAATGTTTCTGTTAATTTTAATATATAAAAAAGTTATCAAAAGTATCTAAAAAAGTAAAAAAAAATTACATGATACAAAACTATTAATCGGCAAATATAACAAAGTGTTATGAAAAATGTTAATAATAATTTTTTTAAACTTATTACCTCTAAAAAACAGCAAAAAAATTATTCAGCGCGTCATCGGGCTTTTCCTTACCCATCTTATACATTGAGTTGGAAGTGCACGCAAAGTACACGCGCGTAGGAAGCATATTGTTATAACGAAAAAAAAAAACATAACAACAAACAAAATTTTGAAAATTTAATTAGGTTATTATGTTTATTATAGTTTGAATATTCGGTAAAAAATTCAAAATTATAGCATTTTAAATTTTAAGGTATATTATTTAATTCAAGAATATTAGAATTTTCGTCAATTTTGGATTTTAAAAATTTCATATTAATTAAAGGGTTGGAGATACGATAATGGACGTAAGGACTCTTTTATTCGAAATATCCTAGAGAATATAAAAAAAATTAATTCATTGCAAAAAATGCATTTTTTTGCCTTAATTAATTTTTCGTTGTTTAAACAATAACGTCAACAAATATCGAGTGTCATCTTACACTTTTATAATTAGACAAGCCTTCCGGACATTAAAAAAAAATTACGAATTAAAACAATTTTGCAAACGAATGCGCCACTATTCCCTGCACTAATTGTGATTTACGCCAATTTAACTTGCAACTGCGAACTTTAGTGCGGCTCCTATTAAATTCCAAGTGATGCAGAAATTTTTATCAATATTATTTTTTGTAATAAGAGGAACCTTATTCCTCCATTTGTATAAAATTTTATTGAACACAGTGTATAAAAATTGAAATATTTCTGTGCAGTTTTTACATTCAAAAAGAAATTATTATAGAAACAATGTTTTCTGAAAAACTAAATAATATTTTTAAATATTTCCAATTACGCAAATTTATAAAATCTTAATTTTACCCCTCTTGTAGGAACGTTTTCTAAACTCTCAAATCTATTATCCTTATTTCTGTGATTCCCAATAACGATAAAAAAAAATCAATAACTCAATGTCTTCTCTTTTTACATAAACTTGATATTTTTTTCAACTGACTTTCTAGATTATTTATTGTTTCGGCCTTTACTTGATGAAAATCCATTTAATTTTGAAAGAGTAAAACCAAATTTGGTAGATTTTCACACTTTTATTTTAAAAATAAAATTTTTAAAAAAACACTAACATGACATATGTTTCGAAGTACAACTTCTTTTTCAAATGTGACTATCTACAATTCGGTATCCAATATATATACGAAATAATTTAACAAAAAAAAGTACTTAAGAAAACATCAATAACATTACAAAATAAACTAACTATTTAAAGTAAATAAAGGTACTTAGGTAATTATAATATCCATCAAATAACAATAAGATAGCCCATTACCGGGATTATCTCACAGAAAACTGGGAAAGAGATTTAATAAGGGTGAATTATTAATATCATTTAGTAAGTATCGGATCATACATTTTTTAAAAGATTTGTTAACTTAACCACCACAAATTTCTCTGATCCAGAACAATCTCTAATAGAAAAAGGGTTTAAACACAACATCGAACCTAAGATAAATACTTCGAACTTAGAAATTTTGGGAATAGAAACAGAAATTGCTTTAAAAGATTCATATAATACTTTGTCTCACAAATATCATACTGCAAATATAATTAAAACACAATTTTTACGTAATAACAATTCAAATCAAGACAGTAAGTTAATTAAAACTATAAAGGATAAAACAAAACAGGATGATATCATTTTCACTCGTGCCGATAAGGGAAATACAGTAATTGCTATTAATAATATAGATTATATTGACAAAACTCTTTCATTTTTACAAGCAAGCAATAATTATAGCATACTCAAATTTGATCCAACAGATAAATATCAAAAAGAACTAAAACGTAATATTCAGATTTCAACAGCAATTTTTGATTCTAGAGAAAAATTCAAACTAATACAAATGAACCCTCAACCACCACAACTTTATTCTTTAATAAAATTACACAAAGAGAACTATCCTATTAGACCAGTTGTGTCATTTGTCACGGCTCCATCAGTTAAACTTTCACACACATTAATTAAACTTATACAAGAAAACTGCAAATTCAATTCAAAGTATAGTATAAAAAATTCTTATGAATTAACAGAAAAATTAAAAAACATTAAATTACCTAGTAACACAAAATTAGTATCGTTCGATGTAACAAACTTATTTCCTAGTATACCTCCTAAAGAAACAGTTAAGCTAGTAGAAAAACTTATTAGATCGTAATCAAGTCAATATTATAATCAAAGAAGAAATCCAAAATTTGTTAAACATTTGCCTAAAACAAAATTATTTTCAATTTCAAAATAACATCTATTCAGCAAATGAAGGTCTTATTATGGGGAACCCATTAAGCCCGTTGCTTGCAGAAATATTTATGGATAATATAGAAAATAAAATTCATAGCAATAATTTAAGTAAACATTGTCTGTATTGGCATAGATATGTTGATGATATATTGACTGCTTTTACTGGTAGTAGTAGACAGTTAAATTCTTTATTAGTTTTTATCAATACTATACACCCTAATATTAAATTTACTATGGAAACAGAGAAGGATAATTCAATTAATTTTTTAGACTTAAATATTATTAAAAATAATAAAGGCCATAGTTTTGGGATATTTCATAAGCCATCACATACGGATATTACAATAAATAATAGTTCATCTCATCCATACAAACAAAAGCTGGCAGCATACAACAGTATGATCCATAGATTAGTTAATATTCCCCTTACCAAAGAGAACTTCACAAAAGAATTAAATATCATTAAACAAATCGCAGTAAATAATAATTTTAATTCAAAGTTAGTAGACAACATTTTAGAGAAAAAACTTTTTAAACAGGCTATTCAACAAGTTTATCCCATAATTAAAGATCCAAATTGCAGATATAAGAGTCTTACATATATAGGAGCTCCTAGTGAAAAGGTATCATCATATTTAAAAAACCAAAATATAAACGTAGCTTTTAAAACCAATAATACGCTTGGGAAGTATATTAAAAATAATAAGGGTAAAATTAATCCTAATAATAAATCGGGGGTATATAAATTAAATTGTGGTAGTTGTCCAAAATTGTATATTGGTCAAACAGGCCGTACTTTCAAAAAACGCTATTCCGAACATTATAATAGCTATACAAAAAACAAAAATAATTCTTCTTACTCAAATCATATTTTAGCTGAAAATCATTCTTTTACAGACAACTTTGAAATTTTACATGTAGAAAATAAGAGCCTTAAATTAAACCATTTAGAAACACTTGAAATAAATAGATTTAAAAATTCAGTAACTTACTAAATGATCAATTAGATATTAATAATTCACCCTTATTAAATCTCTTTCCCAGTTTTCTGTGAGATAATCCCGGTAATGGGCTATCTTATTGTTATTTGATGGATATTATAATTACCTAAGTACCTTTATTTACTTTAAATAGTTAGTTTATTTTGTAATGTTATTAATGTTTTTTAAGTACTTTGTTTTGTTAAATTATTTCGTATATATATTGGATACCGAATTGTAAATAGTCACATTTGAAAAAGAAGTTGTACTTCGAAACATATGTCATGTTAGTGTTTTTTTGAAAATTTTATTTTTAAAATAAAAGTGTGAAAATCTACCAAATTTGGTTTTACTCTTTCAAAAAAAAAATGACTTTCTAGAATTCAAACCACCCAGCATTAGTTAATTAATAATTTTCCATATAATTTATACTGGATTAAATAAAAAAAATTAATGCTCGCCATTGATGGTCTTTGGGTGGAATTTATAAAGAAATTATTTAACAAATCATCAATTTATTTTTGAAAATGTAGATATAGGTACCTTTAACTGATTTAGAATTGGATTTTAACTGCATCCTAAGTTCTTTTAAAATATTTTATTCTTTTACAGACAACAAAAAAATCTTCGAAGAAATGCCAGAGGGAGAAATTCTACCTCCAGGCGAAAAACCTGTCTTCCATTGGAAAAAAGATGGAGTACCGTTCGAACCTGAAGAACGTTTCAAAGTACTCATGGGCGACGACGAAGATTCCCTCGCACTTGTTTTCCAAAAAGTTAGGCCCGATGATGTTGGTCTGTACACGTGCGTTGCTCAAACTTCTAGAGGCCATATTAGTTGCAGTGCTGAGCTTACTGTTCATGGAACTGTCAATCAACTATTCAGAGAACCAGAAAAACCAAAATTGGTGGTCATTAAAAAGGATCCAATTGTAAACGTTGGTGGATCTGGTATGTTGGAATTGCAAGTCACAGGATATCCTAAGCCGAATATTAAATTTATGCACGAAGGAAAGACTATCGAAGCAAGCAAAAAACATAAGTAAGTTAAATATTTGCCAATTATTATCATCCAATAGAATAAGGCATTTCAAACAATATAACTTTTTTCAAATTTACTTCAAATTAAGAAATTTGAGACCTTTGTTAGACATTAACGAAAAAATAAAAAAAAACATTTCAATCACAATGTAACTAAACTTTTGTGTGTCCACGCTCGGCCATATTTATTTTTTTTGACACGGCTTTGGAATACCCAATTATTAGGTATTCAATTAAATTTGGAAACCATTTTCCATTAATTTTGATTCCAAAAACATTTCCTTTTGTTATTTGAATGTACGCATTTAAAATTGTTTAATATGAACGAAACTTAAAGAAAATTAATTTACAGAATCTTATACGAAGACGAAGAAACCGTCTCTCTTGTAATTAAAGATGTAGAATCAACTGATGCTGGAAAATATACATTTACCGCTGAAAATGAGTTAGGTATTGATACTGCGGAAATGAGTCTAACAGTCAAAGGTAAATAAAAAATATTATATCAATTATTATTTAATGTTTAGTTGTTTAATTAAAATTTATAGTATTCTTATTTTGTAAGATCAAAATAGTAGACAGTCATGTGTATCTATTTATTTTTTTACACATAGAAGGTATTTAAACGATTTGAACAGACATAATGAGTAAGATTTACTTTATTCAGTAACTATATTTGTATAATCCTACGTTTTTGGTAAGTTTTACTAGGTTCCTTATCAATTGATCCTGAGGCTCTCTTTCTGGTTCTTGACTGAAAAGGGCGTGTCGCCGCTTATCTAGTGCTTTTCATTCGATGAAAATATGGTATGAGGTTTCTTCCTGATTCATGCAGAGGCTACATGTATTAAGAACATTGTGCAATCCCTTTGCATGAAGATGTTTCAGCTAGCAGTGCCCCATTAGTAGTAATTGCCCAATAGTAAATATCTGGGACCTCGCAGTGAGTTTGATCTCTTTGCGGTTAGGTTAATGTTTCTATGTTTTCTTATCGTTTGACAGTGAGTTTAGTATTAAGAAGTTATCCACTTGTTTACTTCCTGTCGAGCAGAGGTTTTGATTATCCCAAACACAGGTTTGGGTCTTGTAAATGGTAGTCATCATTCTTCTTTAACGAGTTAATTATCTATTTAATCTTCTTGGATACCTTGTCCTGGTAGCCACTATATAATGTACCCTATTGTGGATTAATAACTATTCCTCGGCAGCTCCAGACCAGCTTTGACTTTATTCTGTTTGAACCAAGAGGCTTTAAATCTACTTGATTGTCTGGAACAATTAAAATTGTTTTTATCTAGTTATCTATCTTTTTATTTGAACGAATAGGATGCTTTACAATATTGTCTAAATGTCAAGTTAGACTTTTATAAATCATATTCGTCAGGACGTAAGTTATTGATGATTAATACAAATTTTACATGCAAATAAAACTTCTCTTCTTTAATAGTAAGCAAAATTGTCTATCTAGAAAGTGGAAAGTCTAAGCTAGTCTTTAATATAAGATCAGAAGCTTGGTTGTTGTCTAAAAGCACTAAAAACTAAATTTCAACTCGTTTTTAATTATAACTATAACATTAAACTTTATATTCAATTCTTTAATGGAAAACATGTATTGAGTTCTTTTTGTATAAATGGCTTCTGCACCTGTAACGTATGGAGGGTCAGTTAATCCATCGGCACACAGATCTTTTATTAAATGAGAGAGTTGTGCAATCGTAGGAGTTACGCTCGATGGTATCATCTTCTTGTTTACACCTCCTGCAGAGGGCGAATTCTGACTGCCCCACGATATGACACTGGCCAGTTAGAACATCTATGATCAGGCGCATAGTCATTTTTTTGTTGTTGTTGTGGTGTTGTTAGAATTACTTAAAAGTTCTCTGGCAAGTCTGAAGTTTCTTGTTTCATCCCATCATTCCTTGAATGAATGATATTTAATTAGGTGTGTCACTACCGATGTTATCAGTCCAATAGAAGAACGAGGTCTAAAAAGTGTTTGGTTGGCCGCCTTCTTGGCTAGTGAATCAGCAAGACCATTACCTTTTGATATGCCGTGTCTTTTAATCCATTTTAAGTTGACCACATTGTTGATGGATACTTCGGTCAAAGCTTCGTGAAATTCTAGTAATAACCCTGAGTAAATTCGTGCTATGTCCAGGGCGAGTAGTGCTTGTCTGCTATCTGCTAAGATATACATGTTTCTTCCAGTGATATTATTTCTGGTGAACGCTCTTGCTGCTATAAAATTCCCGTGAGCTTTGTTTGAACTACACTGGCACTACTACTGACAGTTGAGTTAAAGAATCTAAAATAAATTCCACATCCTCAGCCTTGTATTGTTTTAGAATCTGTTTTGTTAAAACATTATGACTCATAGAACATATATCTCGGCGAGATAAAGTCCATGTTCGCTTGTAGTTGTAGGAGAGTATGGAGAGCATCTTGTCAATAGCGTCGTCTGAGCTCACCAGGTTGTATTTCAAACGTGCAAAGACATTAGAACTGAGTGAGACTATGAATGACTTCCATGGCCTAGGTTGGTGTGGTTTTCATGGCTTCTGTTATGTTGAGACATGCTCTTCTTTGAATTTGTTCTAGTTTGCGGATAGTTGTCAATTTTTTGTGTTTTTGGTACCCAAAAAACTTCACCGTATGTTAGCATAGGTCTTATGTTGACCATTTAAGTGCACGTGAGGACTGGAGAAAGATAGACCCAAGGTGTGCACCACGGTTCGCCGGCATGGATTATAAGCAATGTATGCCATTTTGATTCTGTTTTTCGAGTGTTAGGTCCATGTTAAGTAGCTGTCAAAGGTGTGACCTAGATATTTCACCTCTGTTGCAAAGTTTAGTTTTGTGTTAAAAAGCTCTGGAGGGTTCATTTCCATTTTTATCCTTTTTCTTGTAAATAGAATAATTTCTGTCTTCTTGAGATTAATACGACAGTGAACGGTCCTTGCACTAGTGCTCTATTATTTTGATAGCTACTTGCATTCTTTCGTAGAGTATGTTTCCATTATGAGGGCGTCTAGGACAATGTTTCACAGTAGAGGTGATAACATTCCTCCCTATGGACATCCCTTTACAACCAAGCCTCTTATATTCATATCTTCTACACTTATGTTTACAGCTCGCTTTGAGACTATGGCAGGTATCCACCCACTAACCATATGTGCAACATTTTTTTGGTTATTATGTGTTTTATCTTAAGAAATGTCGTTTTATCAAAATAAATTTATGTCTATGAAAACGCCCACAGTGGACTCTTTATTGTACAGTGATCTCCCTATCCGGTGAGAAATTAGGTGAAGGGATGAATTAGTAGATCAACCTGAGGTGTATGCCTGTCGATTTGGGTGTAGTGGTGTTGTAAAAATCACCACCTCCATTATGTACCTTTCGCCTAGCCTTTCCAGATGTCAGACCAATTGGTCGATAAGGTTCTGGGACAGTTTATTCCATCCTTCCAGGATTGGGTATACCGACAACTTTTACGTTTCTCTATTTTTGGGGGATACACTTCAGAGCCAACGATAATCTAAATATACCTACCAGGTGTTGTGTGAGTTCTTACAGATCTCACTGAAGTAGGGTTAGATAGATATTTTCAGGTCGTGGCGATTTAAATAAAGTAAAGTTAGATATTGCCTATCTGATTTTGTTATCATCCATAATGTGTTTGGTAGTTTTTCAATCGTAGACAGATGGGTTGTATTCTCTTTGATTAGCGCAGTAACACTGCGGTGTGGATATTTTGCGAGAGATTTTTGAAGCCTCGTTGCTTGTAGAAAATGTTTGATTTCTTTGCAGTAGGATCTACTTGCACCGCTCTGCTTTTGTCTAACGATTTTTTTTTATTCCCTGTGGTGAGATTTGTAAGTATTTCAGTCCTCTTTGAGTTTTGTATTTCCTGCCTTATTAAAAGATTTCCTAGCCATCCATCTTCCTGAAGTGATCCAACTAGTAACACCACCATGCGGAAGTCGTGTATAAATGACATTTGATTTAATTCTCATTTAAGAATTTACAGCAAAAATGTTTTAAATAACTGCAATAGCTGTGGTGTTATTTCCATGACTGTCTATTAAGTTGTTAATTTTTTTATTGTAAATCTTCAATAAAAAAATAAAAATATTAAATACATTCAAAAATATACACAACACCATTAACTTTTACAGTTACTGCAAGTACACAACAATCCGAAACACAAGAATGTTCACTTACTATAGGTATATTTATAAATGTCAGTCGATGTATCCACTCAAAATATTTACACTTCCAAATTCACTAACACGTCCCTAAATATCTTAATTAATTTAATTTATATTATTTTGTTGTACATAAGCATGATCTGTCTTTATAGCTTATAAACTTCAATTATCTTTATATGTCTAATCACATCTTCAATTAAACACATGTCCTGAGGGGAAATTCAATTTATTTATAATACATAAATATAATTTGCAGAAAATATACAGGATGTTTCAAATAGTATGGGCCAACGTTTTTTTATCACCAGAGGTCTGATTCTGGTTTGTTTTGGAACTACAGGGTGTCATAATTAAAAGAAATAAAATATTTTTTCCCAAAATTTAAGAATCCACGAGAAACATTGATATGAGATTTGGGCAATTAGAAACATCTAACCGGGTAATATTCGGATATGTTCATCGTATAAATATGACGTACGAAACCGGACTTAAATTAAAATTAAAAGTGATACGCCACTGACTCGTAAACTTTCAAACGTACAGGTTGAAACATGGAGACTACACAAGGAGCACGCACTCCATGTATAACAAGCGTACTGTGTTAAACAGAATATTTTAAAAGGGCGCTAGTGTTCCATAAGTACCAAAATGGCATAAGAGAATAAGGCGGTAGTTTGAAATAAAATAAATAATTCTAATTAATTATTAATTAATTAATTATAACTCTAATTATATTTATTTAATTTAAAAACATTTGACACGTGTTTACGTTAATTAAATAATCGGTTACTTTATTTTTACGCTAACTTCACATTTGTTTATTCCTCTATATTCACACCGGTACAAAAGAAAAATTTGCGACGCTAGTGGTGAAAAAAGAAAGCTTTATTTATACGATAAAGCGCAGACATACTCTGGCAAATGCCACATTTGAGTGCGTGCTCCTTGTGTAGTCTCCATGGGTTGAAACTTCATTCAATTTCGATTAAAAAATGTGTGATGGTATTTTTTCGAATTTGCTGTCATTTTCAAATAATAACGAATTATTCCTACAACATTAAACATTACATAAAAATTTGTGAAACATTTACAAAAATTATTGATAATTTTGACACCCTGTAGCTTCGAAACAAACCAAAATCAGACCTATTTAAAATAAAAAAGTCTTAGTTTTATGTGAGGAATCTACTCTCATACGATGGCACATGTTTTTTAAAACGCCTTGAATAACGGTATAATATTTTTCTGGATATATTTTTTCAAATTTTTCCAATTTTCCCTTCATGAAAAATATATATTTTAGAGGTTAGGATATTGGAACGCAAAACCAAAGGGGGCGTATCTTTTAATTGTTCCTTGGTTTCTTTTTACCCTTCGTGAGAGAATTTCCTTCTCAGTTTCCAATAAATAGTTTCAGTGACTACATCTGAATAATAATGGTTATTTTTTTATATAATTGTTTAGTTTCTAATTCTGTATATTATCCAGTTACCTTCATTGTTATTATTTTTATTATTCTGAATATTTTAAAACGTTTGCTATATATTTTATTGTCCCTAAGTTTACAAAAATAAAACAAACCAAGCATAAACAATATTGCCAAACATATCCTTGTGATATTCATATCAGGTTCAGTTTTTCTTCTTCTGGTCTCAAGGTTTTAATGTGTTATCAATTTGTCTATTATTCTTTCTCATTTTGTTTTTTGTTGTGATTAAAAATAGTGATAATTCACGACTTGTTCTTTTATTTTTATTTTGATTAGCTTAATTTAACTTGAGAAGGTCATATCGCCTTTCACTGCGATCTAGATGGATCTATTGTGGCTCATGTCTAAATTATAGTTCACCGTACAAATCGCATCTTCTGATGAAGGCGTTTGTTGAGATATGAAAGATAATAGTCTAAGTTTCGAAGTAAGGTCGACCTTTACCCATCTGTTTAATGGATGAATGTTTCTTTTTATTAAATAAAATGTGTTTATAAATATATTATAAAGTAAAAAAAACGACACCCTGTAAAATATTCCCCAGATGCTTCCACTATGCCCAAACTTTAATCAGCACACCGTAGGATGGATTAAAGCTTAAGTTTAAAATTTAGTGTTTTTCTCTTCATCCGTTTTTGAGTTATCTTCAGAATTCGAAATTTGCACTTTTCCTCAAATATCTCGAATTAGGTCCATTATAGGAAAATCATGTATATGAACAAAATAATAGAGAATAACATCATAAGCAACTTTTTCCATGATTCCTTTACTTTTCTTATCTGTACACAGAAAGGAAAGTCAAAAATGGCTACGACCGTATTTTCCTAGGCAACCCATTTGCAGTATATTTAAAAATATATTTTATTTAATAAAAAATAGTATATTATTCAATAAGTGTATAATGTTGACCATACTACACGGGTGTTGTAAATATTCGAGTGTAGTATGGTCCATTATACACGAATTGAATACTATACTTTATCTACAACTGAATACGGGGGCTCACCGAAAACGAAAAGGGGATTTTTAGAAAAAATTCTTTGAAGCGTTATAAATAGAATTGACAAGATTGTTCACAATAAAAGACCTTTCAAATGAGGAGTATTTAAGCCACCGTGTAATATAAAACGCCAATTTATACAGGAACTCTTTTAAAGTTATTTATTGATGTAATTAATAGTAACATTACAATTTGAAATATTAATAGCTCCGGTAATATCATTGATATTATTGTTTTTTAAAGAAAAAATAGTGTTGCTATTGATGAGTACAGAATAATGACGATCACTGTCAGAAGATGATGAATTATTAGGACCAACATAATTTTCATTATTGATTTGACTTAAAATTGCTTGAGCTGTTTCTATTTTGTTCTTTTTTGAATTTGCGATGTACCCTTCTGCTGTGGAGGCGGATTTCTAGCCTCCATGACGTTTTAATGTTGTCATTGAAGCTCCAGAATCAGCAACCAATGTTGCAGATGAACGCCTGAGGCAATGGCCAGTACATCTCTCAGGGTTTGGTAATTGTAAAAACGTAGCAATTTGCTTTCCCATTGCGCTAAACTTGTTTATTCCTATCACTTGTTTTGTACACTTTCCTTTTTGGAAATTGAGAAAGAAATCTTGTGGTGCATTTTCGGGCCGGAGGTCTATATATTTTTTAACGATTTTGAAAAAATTATCCACAATTGTGAAATTCCTTGGGACTTTGGTTTTTGTGTGTGGCACGTTTACTTGAAAACATTCCTCAAAACATCTTAAATGTTCCATGTAATCATCGTCTTTCATTTTTTTAATAGATAAACACTTAAAACGGGCTTAATATTTTAAGTTTAATTTCAAAAAAGAATCGGGAACAACGAAAAACTCTCAACATGCTGTCAAACGCATACTAGATCTAATGATTTTTAATTCTAGTGGGGTATAATTGACAAAAATCGTGTAATATGAATATATTCTCACTAGTGATATATGGATTGCTTTATGTTGCCTTAGATACGCATATAATACATCCATATAATGACAGTTGTAGATAATAGTACATTATATACCTAGGGTGAGAAGTGAGCTATTATTTACCGAGCACTTTTATATCCTGAGGCGCGTAGCGCCGAGGGATATAATGTGCGAGGTAAATAATAGCTTTCTCAGCCGAGGTATATATAGAATTTTTTTTACTACTAACATTAATGTATTAGCAATTTTAATTTTGACATAAGTAATTTCCTAACAATTTGTTAAATATTTCGAAATATCAAGCAGACTGGAGCGTGTTTCTAATCAGACTGGCTTTATTTATGTAAAAATTTGGCATGTGTCAAATTTTGGTATGATTCTAGGAAATATCCCATTGCATTTTTGATATTTTAATGACATGGATTTATTGTTATTAATTAATAATTTTTAAAGCCGGTGTTGAATTTCCTAGTTAATATATATTTTTACTGTTTACACTGATATATATTATCATATTTGATTTGATTAGATTTGATAAACCCAGCTTTAGTTATTTCCTACTTATTTTTCAAATATTTCAAAATATCAAGTAGTCTGGGAGTTTAGTTGTCAAATTAACAAAATGAAACTAATGAAATTTAGTTTCATTATTTACCTAGGTTTTTTTTTATTATCATTATTTACCTAGGGAGAGAAATATTACTTCTCATTAGAGGAATGGAGTAAATAATGGTGATTTCTCATGTTAGTAGTAAAAAAAAACTTTTATTCATTAAACAGATGGGTGAATGTCGACATTACTTACGGATCCCGGACTATAAGGTTCAATTCGGTAGGTGCCAATCGATTAAAGCCTAAGATCTGCAACCTAGTTCTTTTTAAGGTAATACAGGTACATATAATGTGCTCTGTGTTAACAATAACGATTATTGTCAGCTACCAATTATAAGGATACTATTCTGTATACAGTATTTTTCTGGTGTTTTTATATTGTTAATATTATTTCAATATGTTTAAAAACTTCACCTGTACCAAGTTTCAAATAAAAATTATCCAAAACTTTTATATAATTTGGATGTCACAGCTCTGTTAACACTCAGATTTGTCTTCCATGCTGCAGAATCGACAGCCCAATGTTTGTGGCAGATATATCCTTCTTACGTGGTTACCTAGACGACAATATTCTCGCATTAGTCTCGTACGACCGCGTAGATCATTCTTAGTCCTTTCTCGAAGGTTTGAGTATAAATTTCATCAAATGGTCCTGAGGTATCTCTCAAGTACATGAGTGTTACATCCTTTGTCCAGTTTAAAGTACTTTTTGAAAACTCAAGGATTGGTTCTGGTCCTATGAACTCAGATTCAGTATCTTGTTTAGCAATCGCTTTAGCTTTTTCATTGTTTTCTACGCTACTGTGTCCCGGAATCAAAATCAAAGCACCTTTTCTCCGGGCATTAATACACTCGAAAGATATTTATACTGTTTCAAACCAATTTCGTTGGAGTTCAGAGCTTTAAGGACTGCCTGATTACCCGAAAATATCTTTATAGTCTTGTTACCGAAAAGAAGATTGATCAGCTTTATCGCTCTTATTCCTCTAGCAATCTTTTCTGTTTAGAAGAGCATGATAAAAGCTCTTAGGTTTATTGTTATGAAAAACTCTGGGATTTTTGCCAAATACTTTGTTAGTGTTGGAGCAGTCCTTGTACAGTGCAAAATTCTCTCTCTAAAATAAGTTTGCTGTATAACCATTTTATGTGCTGTCGTGAAAATGAGTCCATGTCCAGATGATGGAGTTATTTTTATTTAGTTTCTGCTGTTATTTTCTTCACAAATAATATTTTCTGCACCTTTATCTTTCTTAATAGTATCATTTTGTCTCTACATCTCATTTTTCAAAGTTATTCCTGCTATAACAATGTAGGCTTTTATTGTCCTTTTTTTTTCTTGCTCTTTCTAACGAATTTCGTATTTTAGCTCCGCCGAAAATTAAAACTAAAATGGAAGATATGTCAGCACATGCTGATCTTTTATTAAAAATGGAAGTAGAAGTTGAAGGTATTCCCAAACCGTCTGTACAATTCTACAAAGACGGTAAAGTCATTAAACAAACCGAAAACATTAAAGTCGTTGAATCTGGACAAAAGCACATTCTTCAAATTGAGAAAACAACTCTAAAAGATTCAGGTAAGACAATAAACGTTCATAACAATTATTTGAATATTCTAGTTAGACTTGTTTCACAGATATTGTTATGCCATTAACCGTAGAACCACAAGGTGGGATCGCCGGCGATCCTACCACATACATTTTTGGACATGTTTTTAAACTGTAGTGTCGTGCTTCTGTCTACCTTCAGTATAGATTGGTATTCGAAGATGTAGGTGTGCACTTTTAAATTACTCTACTTTTAGTAGTATTTGAAAGTGCATTTTAGCTTTTGACCCCACCTTGTAATTAACGTAGCAAGTTTTATGTAGGTAAGATTTTGTAATATTATTCTGGTGCCTTATAAAGCTTTTTATTAATTAGAATAACAATATGGATTTAAACAACTGTCTTCTTACTGACAAAGATGCCGTCGGATAGAAAGTCCATTATTCACGACTTTAGGAAACCTTTTAATATTCAAATACCAGAAAGTGTTAAGAGCCAGGAAAATAGGGAAAAACAAAATGAATCAATCTGGTATACAGACGCATCAAAAATGAAAAACAACACAGGAACTGGGATCTACTATGTGAACTCAGGGAGGCCCATTAATCTGAACCTGGGGTCACTGACAATAGTCTTCCAGGCTAAAGTAACAGCAATAAATTCCTATGCCAAAGTCATGCTAAATGACTCTTATAGAGATAAGAGGGTCTTAATCGTGACAGATAGTGAGGCAGCCGTTAAAGCACTGAAAAGAGTAGAATGTAGAATGTATATTCTATATTAATACTTGATTGCCAACAGTCCCTCCAGACTCTGGCACAACATAACAAGGTCACCCTTCAATGGGTGCCGGGACGAGAAAGCAGACCTCCTAGCAAGGAAGGGAGCGGAAAAAACTCTAATTGGACCAGAACCCACATGTGGTATTTAATACCAACATGTTAAATGGGTGGGTATTAAAGAAACAAATACATAGAGAACACCATAGGCTCTGGTTGGAATTTTCTGGACAGACAGTCCAAAAGATTCATAGAGGGGCCATCCACGAGCAGCAAAATCAACTACTAAACTTTAGCAGAAACGAACTCAAGGCCCTAAAAGGACTCCTTACGGGACCCTGCGGCCTAAGAAAACACCTTGATCTCTTGGGAATATCTCTATGTGAAATACGTGAAGAGAAGGATGAAACTCCCATTCACATACTATGCGACTGCCGGAACCTTAAATGGGAACGGGAATGGTACTTCGGGGTACAATATCTGAAACCTGAAAAATCACGAATGCGCCCATCAGACATATTCTTGAATTTATCAAGAAAATCAATCTGATGGGGTAGAAACTGTGAAGGATACAATGAACCTAGAGCTTTAGTACGAGTGGGCTTTGAACCACGCCCTTATTCAGATAGATAGATAGATAGATAGATACTGACAAAGAACTGTGGAAAGTTCTCTATGAAAGTAATTTTAGTGATAGAGAAAAATATTGTATAGATGAAAGTAGCAGTGAAGATGAAGAGATTCTACTAACGAGCGATCATCTAGAAAACGAATTTGATCCAAGAGAACTTCAAGATGAAGCTGACGCAGATAATAATGTGAATATTAATTAAATTGCCTAAATTATTGGGTAAAAATAATTATATTTGGTTTACTCGACCTTTAATTTCCAAGCGGACAAGAACTTCAAAAAACATTATTGTCCTTCATCTATTTGGTCCAAAGGAAGAACGCTAAAAATAAACATAGCATCAAAGAATCGTTACAACATTTTTTCTTGAATAACTTATCGAAATAATTTTAGTTAACCCAAATAAAGAAATTGAGGTTCGTAAAACAAAGTTCACCACTGATCCCATATATAAAAAACAGACAGATCGGGGGTACTAGCTATGTTTGCATTACTTTATTTTGCTGGTGTTTTAAAAAACGCCCATCTTTTACAAACAGATAAATGATCAGAAAAATTTGATGTTTCGATATTTAGATGCACTATGTCAAAAACCGTTTGGAATTTTTAATGAATTGTTCACGTTTCGTTGATAAAGCCACTAGTCCAAACCGTAAAACCTGATAATTTCGGTATAAAAGTAATAATGATGTTCAAAGCCAAAACAATGTATATATGTAATCTGCTGTGCCATATATTGGAAAAGAGCAGCGGGATCCCAACACAATATGTTTTTTAAAGCTGATTGAAAACATCCAGAGTACCAAATTCGTTTTTTTCATGTGAGTTGGCTAAAAACTATTAGAAATTCCAGCTCAATATTTGGCAACAAAGCGTTTACAAATTTCCTTATCAGCCTTTGCATTTACTCAAAAGTTGACTCTTGTTTCACATGTTCTAAAACAAAACAAATCCGTTTTTTTAATAAGTTCTATGCATTTTCAAGATGATGTTGACGAAGCTATGGGTAAACTAGAAATAATCCTACTCTACAACAGTACAAAAGGAAGTGTTGATACTTTCGATTAGCTTTGCCATTCAAAAACAGTTGCTAGAAAAATAAGAAAATGGCGAGTAGAATTTTTTTTATGGTATGTTAGATGAAGGGGCAATAAACGCAATGGTTTTGAATAGGCATAAACATTGTGATGAAAACATTTCCCGATCTACATTTATCGTTAGCTGATTTACAAGTAGAGGATCATATGAAATAAAGGGGACCTAATCCACAATTGCCGAAAAAATTAAGGGAATGCATTCGGAATTACCTGGGATATCCAGAGGAATAACAACCTGTTGCAAATATGCAGAAAGACCTCGTCAATGTGATTTTTGTCCAAGAAAACGCGACAGAAAAGACCGTGTTTATGTTTATTTTGCAAAAAATATGTGTGCAGAACATCAGTTCAACATTGGTGAAGAGTGTAAATAATCGTAAACCAATATCCATTTTGATTCCGAACGTTTTCATTTTTTGTAATACGTGACATCCTATAAAGGGTACTCCAAACTAAGAACTTTTATTTTTTTACCCACCCTGTATATATTTGTTTTTATTTTAGGTCTCACGAATGTTTTATGTCAAAAAATAAAACAACTAGATATATTTTTTATGGTAAACTTGAAACACGTTATCACCATGTTTTTTTTACAAAATACAAAGGGTCGCCCACAACCCCACATTGTTAAAATTGTTCCGCTCATTTCACCTTGTGGTTTTAGGGTTAAGCATGTTGAATTTGATTCTGTTTCTTTATTCCCCATTTTTGTTATCTAGTTTTTTGATTCCTGCGGTTTGTTTATTATGTCTTTTCCATTAGGTTCTTATTCTGTTGTGGCAAGCAACGAAATGGCTCAAGTGTCTCAATTCTGGAATTTGGACGTGTATTCCAAACCAAAATTGACTCAAAAGCTAGGAGCGGAAAGGATAGTCTCGCAAGGTGAAAACCTCGAATTGAAAGTGAAAGTCGAATCAGAACCCAAATCAGAATTGAAGTGGTTTAAAGATGAGGAAGAAATCAAATCCAGTGAACATTACGTCATTAAAGACGACGGTGATACTTACATGTTGAGAATAACAGGAGCTGTTACTACTGATGCTGCTCGCTATAAGTGCAAGGCTATTAATATTCATGGAACAGTTGATGATGAAGTTACCGTCCATGTCAAGAAACCACCTAAAATAATAAAGGGACTAACAGATATGACTGTTGTAGAGAATGATAAAAACGTTACGCTTGATGTCAAACTAGAAGCTTTTCCCAAACCAACAGTTAAATGGTAATTACTTATGTTATTTTTTATTCGATAATATGTGTTCAATTTTGTAATCCGTTTTTAAAATATCGAGTCTTGATTTTATAGTTTACCAACTATCTGTACTTAAAGGCCATTGACCATTTTATTTTTTACATAATATATTTTTTCTCAAACTATGTAGGTAGTAAATACCTTCCATTTCCAAAAGACTAATCATCATATTTTTCTTATTTCTATAGGTATCTTGATGAAGTAGAAATTAAAGAAACTAGAACTGAATTTACAAGAGTAGAAGTAGATGATGGAGTCAAATTGGTAATCAAAGAAGTAACTAGTGAACTTTCCGGACAGTACACATGCAAGTTAAGCAACGAATGCGGTGGAGCTGAAACTAGTGCCAAGTTGACAGTAAATTGTAAGTAAAAAATTGTCCTATATACTCTTTTTTAAATATGTAATATCAGAATAATATTAAATAATTAATTGCAAATTATCGCAAATTGTAGATTTTGTATTTACAGATATTTTTGTGATTGGTACTTTAGATTTTGATCCAGCTTATTAAAGTCTTACAGTTAGCCATTGTGATCAGATTTACAGAAATTAAACTTAAAGACTGTCAAGGACATTACACAAAGAACCTTTAATTGCCAGGTGTAGAAGAGTACCCCAAGCTCTATTATCCAAAGTTAAATGTGAATTGGAAAAAATGGAGAAGGAAAAAATAATAGAAAAAATAGAAGAACCTACAGACTTGGTGCATTCTATAGTGAGTCATGACACCAGGAGGTGACATAAGACTATTTATTAAAAGAGAGAGACTGGTACTTCCAACCTTAGAAACAACTCCAGCCAGCATAGGAAATGCAAAATACTTTACAATTTTAGATGCAAGCTCTTTATTCCAACAGCTTCCATTGGAAGAAGCCAGCTTCGAATTATGCACTATAGCGACACCTTCTGGCAGATACAAATACTTAAGAATGCCATATGGCTTATGTAGCTCATCAGAAGTATTCCAAAAAGTTATCAAGCAATAAGTGGAGAAAGTACCTGGAACAGTAGTTTTAGCTGATGATATTTTGCTTTATTCAAATACCCTTAAAAAACATTATAATATATTAGAAGAATTATTAAAACAAGCCATACTTAATAATTTAAAGTCAAAAAAAGATAAAATGCAACTTGCTGTTACTAGAATAAAATATTTGGGACATTGGATATCACACAAAAAAGTACAAATTTGTGAAAAGAAAATTGAAGCCATTATGAGACTAGAACCACCCTAAAATAAAAAAGAATTACAAGTCTTTTTAGGAATGAATAATTATTTGGCAAGGTTTTTGCCAAATTTATCTAAAGAAACAGCAACACTTGACTAAAAAATAACACTGAATGGCTATGGACTCGCAAAAAATGCTTTACAAATTTAAAAAATTAGTATTATCTGCACCAGTCCTAGATATAGATAGTGGTAAAGAAATTACAATATACACTGATGCAAGTAAGGAAGCAATTGAAAATGTACTGCTCCAAGAAAATAAACCAGTAGGCTATGGTTCAACTAGCCTAACACCGGCTCAAAGTAGGTACTCAGTTATAGAAAAAGAAATGCTAGCTATAGTAACGGCATGTGAACATTATCATAACTATACATATAAAAGAAAAATTTAAATAATAACAGATCACAAACCCTTACTAGGACTCATTAATAAACCAATAGATGATCTATCCCCCCGACTCCAGAGCCTAGTACTTCGACTTCTAAAGTATAATATTATATTAAACAACCAACCTGGGAGAACTATGTATATACCAGATGCACTATTACGATTAGCAAGGGAGAACAGATTAAAGTTAAGTAAAAGAATTGAAAGTACAATCTATTGTTGTTGCAAGCAAACAAAGAGTAGAAGAACTCAAACAAGAAAACTTAAATGATTCAGAGGTGAAACAAATAATTATATTATATTAGAAACGGATGGCCCAGGAAGCTAGGAAATGTATCACAAGAAGCAAAACCTTTCTTTAAACACAGATAAGAGATTTATAAACATAATGGATTTGTCTTTTTAAATAAACGTGTGGTCATACCAAAAGTGATAAGAAACATTATGTTAGAAAAAATTAATGTGGCCCATCAAGGCATCAACTCGAGTCTCAAAAGAGCACAAGAAGCTATATATTGGCCGGACATAGCTGAAGATATACAAAAGTATCTATCATCATGCCCAATGTGTCAAAACCAGTATAAAAGTAACATTAAAAAGCCCCTAACATCACTCCCAGTTACAAACTATCTATGGAAGCGTAAAGAAATGAACTTAATGGAAACCAAAACTCAAAAGTATTTAATTATAACCGACTACTTTTCAAATTTCACAGCAAACCAGCCATTGAAAAACAACTGTAAAAGAGGTAATTCAATATCTAAAAACCTTGTTTGGTTTAGTTGGAAACCCCACTCAAATATTAGATAATGAACCACCATTTGATTCAAGGGAGTTCATGGAATACATGAAAAGTGAAGAAATATACCACAGTACAAACCATCAAAAATGTAATACTGAAGTCTTCAAATGAAGACCCTAAAAACTAATTATGGTAGTCCAAAACCTTACACAAATTCACCTTCGGAATTATTTATAGGAAGACCAATACGAACAAATTTACCCATGACAAATAATAAACTAAGACAAAATAATATTCCACATACAAATGATAACTTGAAATACAATCAACAGAGACAAGAACACTATTTCAATCGTCATGAACAAAACCGACCAGAATTAAAGGAAAAAGTATTAATATAAAAAGGCAAAAGAAATTGGATACTAGCAGCAGTAATAGAAGAAGACGAAAATCCAAATTCATATTGGATTAGAACCCAGGATGGAGCGACCTATAGACGAAATAAAATTCACCCAAAGAAATACAACAAAAGAGCAACAGAGAAAGAGACAATATTACAAGGGACAAACGAGCCAATAGGAAATCCAGGATCAAAGGCATATTCAGAAAACACGACACTACATGATTCAGACAGTCAATTAGAACAACAAAGCGAAGGAAATGAAACCACTAAACAATGCAGAAGAAGTGAACGAGTTAGAAGAAATCCAGCCAAGTTACAAGAATACATATGGGGCCGAAAACCATCACCCATAAGGAAGGGCATGACATGTAACGTAATGTGAACTAGGCCCAATCATCAAGGTTGACAACAAAGACTGTCAAGGACATTACATAAAGAGCGCTATCTTAGGTTTTAAGTTTTAAGGTTATGTCAAAAACGCACATTATTAAATAAAGTTTATTTTACTTATTACAATTGACATGACATATCACGACTATCAAGATGTAGTAGGAACAAAGGTTGAGAGAGATTTTTGTAGTTAAAGAGACGGTAAACGTCAAACCCCGCCAGAAGACTTCGAACATTTTTGTATTAATGTTTGTTCGCCATTGGCGTATTATAGAATAAAAATAATGCCAAACATTTTAAATTTTTACATGTGGAAGCCGGTAAACGTATCTATTTATAGGCTACAAATATTTATTTAAACAAGTTACAATATCTCAAATGATAATTCTGCAAAAATCCAATAGCTATTCACAATTTTTTAAATTACTTACGTAAAATTATTATTAACATTTATAAAATAATTGTCTACGCCAAATCCTGTGTATGAAGTGAAAAAACTGACAAAAGCCTTCCCAACTTCAGTTAGTGCTTTAGTACCTAACAGTCTAAAAGAGTCAACGCATTAGGCAAACGCGGTTCCGTCGTATCGCGGGCTGTGCTAGTCTCAATTGCATTGCGGTTTTCCGAGATTATTTAAAAAAGATAGGATGAGAACGCGATGCGAGAGGGCAGACCTCGATAACACCACATGGAAATTAATGCGTTATAAAATATGGGCAGCATACCTTGATGCGACAAAACCGCGATTGCCTAATGCGTTTTCATATTAATACTTTAATTGAAGGTGAAATAGAGGTTCTCTTCATGGGAGATATGGTAATATGTATTTTGCATATTATTTTATCTACTGTCACACCAAAACGTTACGAATTAAAAAAATATACACTAGAGATTTTAAGAGAACATACAATAATTGGAAGAACTAATTGCATAAATGGCTTAAGTATTACGTAGATTTTGGACATTTGTATTACTTATTTGAGTGACTGATTTATGGCCGATCATTTTTAATAAATTCATCTCATGTTATATTCAATTTTACGTTTAATTAAAAGGTTATTTGAAATTTTATCAGATCATCAGGCAGTTTTTTAGCAGACAGGTCAGTCCATAACGTCTTAGACTATAAAATATTTTGTATTTTTAATTTAGCCTTTGTTTTTGATGAAAATTATAGTTAATCATAAAATATATTTTTAAACAGGTGCTCCTCGCATTATCAAGCATCTTAAAGACACAACCGTTGAAGAAGGCGCCACCTTACACTTGGAAGTAGAGGTTGAGGGTTGTCCAACACCAACTGTGAAATGGTTAAGAAATGGCCGTGAAGTTTCTGCTGATGCTAGAATAAAAATAAGCAGAGATACTCATAGACATGAAACATTTAATCTTGCCGTTAATCTTATAAAGTACGAAGAACAAGGAGAGTATGAAGTCATCGTCACCAATGCACTTGGAACTGTCAGCAGCAAAAGCATTGTTACCGTACATAGTAAGTATTTTCTAAACTATTACTATATTATTTCATTCAAAATAAACTTTTTTAGTTTCTTAATACACTAAATTGTTTAGCCTGACTTGAAATGTAATACAAATTATATAGAACATTACATATTCTTTTAATAGACTACCGCCAAAAGATAGGCACTATATATAAAACTAACATTTAACTATGCGAAAGGGTAAAAGCATTACCTTTAATGGCAAAAAGATAACCCACAATGTTTTTAATTGAGAAAGAAAGAACGAAAAAATTTTGAAATAAACTAGTGTTAAAATTTCAAATATCTTTAACTGAAGATGTTTCAAAATATATTTTTACAAACACATTTAACAAAGGCTAGTTTATAGACTTTTTTGCCATTCTACGTATACATATTATAATATTGTATATTAAGGCAATTATCATTAATTTGGCTCTAGACACTTGGTTACGTCTTGATGACAGACCATGTGTAATAATAACCAGCCATCAAGAAAAATAATAAAACCTAGTTTGATATGAGATTTTAACGTGATGAATTGGATGGTTACATATGATAAGTATATGGGATGTCTATTTAAGCTCTTGATAGGGTATCATTAAATTACATTTTTGTGGGTTAACTTGTAATCTCCATCTCTTGAAACATTGAGCAACTTCATTGTATTGATTTGTAATGACAGTATCTACAGTATATGAGATATCAGAACCGTTTCATCTACGTATTGTATATAATTTCCTACTTTGGGAATTAACTAACCTGAGGAAAAATCAAAGTAATATATTGTATATAAAAGTGAAGAGAGTGTGGACCCTTGCGATATACCTTAATTTTCAGTCAAACTCTGAGATGTGTGGTGGTTTATTTTAACACTGAGTTTTCTGTTAAAGAAAGTTTTTAAAAAGACACATACGATCTTTAACCACATTAAGAAGTTTTAATTTAAATAGGAGACTGTTGTGCCAAACATTATCAAAGGATTTTTTAATGTCCTACAGGAGAATGGTTGATTTTTATTTATTTCTATTGCACCTGTAGTGTAGAGAGTGGAGATATGCCCTCTAAACTTAAATTGAAGTTCAGTCTTAGGTGTGATTATCAGATAGTTTTCCCAAAACTGAAAGAAGGGTGATTGATCTGTAAGTATCAATTTTGCAACACAAATACTACATGTCTTGCCATTACTTTTTAGAGAGCCGCGGGAAGGTAAGACGATGAGCGCGGGCGTCTCAAGCTGTGCACAGACCCTCCCTAAGCGACCCAGCTAAGTGATGAATATGACATGGCGAGATTTTGTTAAGTCTTCCACTGTTTCGCTCTGGACTTATTCTTTGTCATATACTGACAGTAGGATGCGCTCGCGTGCTATGGATATTATTTATTAATTAAATTAAGATTATTGAGATTATCCATAAAATTTATTTTACGTATATTTTGTAATGTCAAATATAATTTCTATGATATGTAGACGAGATACTTGCATTTGGTAGTTCTGAAGCTATACAACACTTATGCACCAGCCACCACTGATATAGATGTATGTATATATTATATTCTAGTTTATTTTGCAATTTGCTATGGAATCAGATCCGAAATTAAAGCAGAGCTTTTCTTATTGGATAGCATTTAAAAGTATTTTCCTTCCTCGAATTCTGTGTTATCTTTTTTATTGATTTGATTGTTTTGGAAAAAGTTTTGGCAACATAAGTTTACATCGTTTAAGTTTCCTCGTTAAAATATGTTTAAGGAAAGTTATCATTGAATGTATTAGCCTTTTCTTTATGTGTGGCATAGATTAAACCATTATCTGTGATTACTGATTAGTATGTTGTTCCTTATTTTATATTTTGACAGTTTATTTATTTTATGATAGAAGTTTCGTCCCTGTTCTCGATTGTTTTTTGGGCAATATATGTTGCTGAAATTGTTTTACTTATTTAAAGTTGTTGATAACGTATGGTCCTAAAGTTTTTGGAAAATTTTTAAATGCTAATAAATTTTTCCAATTTTTTTTTAATTTTAAAAGCACATGTGGCAACAATTAACAACACTAATAACGAAAAATAGTTACTAATTACATTATGGATAGTGGCCCGTTATCCTCAATGAGTCGTAATTTTCTTCGGACTTGTCCCATCTTCCTTTGGACAAGAGCAGGTTCTATTTCTCTAATCTTTTGGAAGATGCGACGCCGCAATTGATCTTCATTTGTAGCTTCCCATCCTTTATCGTACACTTTCCTCGATAGTATTGACCAAAATTCCTCTATTGGCCTAGCCTGAGGTACATTAGGAGGATTGTCCAACTTAGGTACAAAGTCAATGTTATTTTCACTTAACCACTGTCTGGTAATTCTAGCATAATGGCATGAAGCTAGATCAGGCCAAAACATTATATTATCGTTGAGATGATGTGTATTTAAAAAAATAAGTAATTTAGTAAGACATCTTTGAATATAAAGTTCTGCATTTAAGGCTTCTCCCCGAACACGACCAACATACGGCTGTGAGATAAATCCTGCTTTAGAAATGGCACACCACACTAAAACTTTATCCTCAAATTTCGATTTACCTTTAAATTTAACATTGTCTGGAGTATTTTCTATGTTATCGGTATAAAACCCATCGTTTCCTTTAATCTCTGAATGGGATATGGTAAAATATTTTTCATCATCCATTACAATCAATTTATTGTCAAAGTGGATACGCTTTAATGCGCGGCAACAACGCGAAATTCTTTCTAGCTGGTCTGCGGTGTATTTTGGTGCCTTTCTTCTTTTCCTAAACACTAAGTTTGTGCGATCAATTGTTCTTAATACAGTGGTTTTCGAAATACCAAATCTCCGGGCTAATTTTCTCTGAGAAACTCCAACTTTGTCTTTAGCAGCTTCCATCAGTCTTCTTTCTCTTCTTACACTCAAAATTCTTGATCTACCGCTTTTGGGTAAATTAATGCATGGTATACCCTCTTCACAATTCCTTATAGTGTTGTAAATGGTTGACTTATTTATATTTTGCTCTTGGTAGATTGCAACAATATCATGCTTAGGTATTCGTCCAACTAGATTGTAAATGCCCTTACGAATATCTAATTTGTAAGACATTTTGCTACAATCGATTTCCAAAACTAAACTGTCATAATCAAACTTGATTACGTATGACGTTTTAGTTTCAATGGCAACTTGATTAAACGACATTGGGTACAAAAATAAATAATTTAAAATTTTTCCAAAAACTTTAGGACCATACGTTATTTAATTTTATTTCCCGACAAGGGTTTTCTACCTGTATTCTTTAAGCATTTTATGTATTTTTTTTATGAGTTTCTCGATGTATGGAGGAAGTTCATGAGGAAAACAATTATGTGCAGGTTTTGTTGCATTGTTGGCGATAATTTTTAAGGCGGATACAGATTTGAGCTCGTACGCGTATGAGGCAAGCCGAGGCCGAACCAAACTAATCCAGTTAATTAGCGAGCACTTAACCGTATACGCAGAACATTCATAAAATAAAACAAAAATGAAGGATGAGCATGACGTCGCGGAGATGAATGCATGTTTTGTTATTTTATCAGACACTTAAAAAAAAAAGGAGGGAAAGGAATCGATGGCCGATTTCCTGGCAAAAATATTCTTTTTTTATGGTATTTTAAGAGAACTGTGCGTTTAAATCCAGGAGAAGCACTTTCCACGTTTCCACTGCATGCAAAATAAATTTTAAAAACTTGCTATAATCTGTACGGTGCTGTATGGTACAAATTCTGCATCCAGACTGAGCACGTACTGCGTTTTGCCTCCCTTTGATGTACCGCCAACAAACGGATCGGGGCTAGGCCGTACGGCGCACACAACGAGGCAGTTTGCCACGCCTCAGAAGCCCATCTACATTTGCATGCTCATGTGTCCTCGGCTTGCCTCATGCGCGTACGTGCTCAGATCTGCACCCTCCTTAAGACATTTGTGTTAAAGTTCATTGGTGGTAGCATTAATATTTTTGTTTGAAATTATACAATTATGATTTTTCTTGATGGCTCATTCTAACTTTTTTAGTAAAGTACACTTTTTAAAAAATAATAAATTTAAAATTTTTGTTTTTTTTATATCTTTTAGAAATTAAATAAAGTTAATATTTAAATTTTTTATCCCCTTAATATAATCTTTTTACATCCATCTCAACAGTTTTGAAATCTTATTAGGTAAAGCCCAACTATTTAGTAAATGGACCATACAGTGTTGACAAGATCAAACCTTCAGTCCTCCTTTGTTTAAGGTATAGTAAACGACACAGCTTCAATGTAGCAATTTACTGATGGAGTCTGTAACGGTTACTATTCACTTCGACACACGCAAAACCGGTGACGAAATTTGATTTTGTAACAGGTTTTTGAAATATGGGACAATTATGATCAAAATCTGTAAACTACTACATTTATTCACATAATTCATTGTCATACAAATCATATAACTGAATAGCATTTAGAGGCTGAAATGAATATACTTATATAAAAGTAATGAGACAAAAGAAAAATGTACCATCTTGTTTAGGATACTTCAATAACTTTTTTAGAAAGTAATTTTAATAAGGTAAGTAATAATTTTTGAAATTGATCCCAGACTCGTAGTTCTGTGATTGTCCCTCTTAACAATTTGTATATCCACCACCAGGCATGTTTACTTTTATTTAAAAGATTTACGAAAAAATCTTCTAATAATTTTATTGTGAAATGTGTCTCCCTTGTATTGTCTCGAATGCATCAGTTTTTTTTTTGTTTTACCATACCATCCCTTCTAACAAATTACAGAAGTAACACATACAGACGCAATTGAAGAAACCGAAGAAATTCCGCAAGTTGACATTGTCCAAGGAAAACCTAAAGTTGCCAAAGAAGCGGATATCGAGGAGAAGGTGGATGTAGAAGTAGAAGAATCGAAGAAACCCGAAGTTAAAGATATTCATGACAAACCGAAAGGTAGGAGTTTAGAATATTAAATACTGGAAACTAAATTTCCAGCTCATTGAAAATAAAAGTTTTGTTTTTAGAAGGATCACTAATAACTTAGTTTCCTATTTTTAAATGTTTTTTTTATACATTTTTTTATAATATAGTTTTTACCGTGCTGCCATTGTAGATTTTTCTTTTTTATTTTTGTTCTTTGGCTTTCTACTGAATGCTTTTTTCAATGTTCAGTACTTCCAAATACCAACAGCAATTGTAGAACATTGCCTTTCTTCTAATTTACATTGTACTCAGATACATTCATTGTCGAACACATTTATTTATAATACAATTTACACAAACAGGTCCTAAACCCGAAAAATCTAAACTAGAGATCATAGAAAACGAAATAAAATCCCCGGAACCCCTAATCGAAGAACCGGATTCACCAGCTTCAAGCAAAATGCCTAATTTCGCTGATATTGAAGAAGCAGAAGTTATTGAAGTTGAAGAAAATTTAAATAAATCGAAGCAACCCGTTGAAGAAGTGGTACCAAAACCGAAATCAAAGCGAGGTCTATCTATTCAAATTGAAGAAATTGATATAACTGAAGCTGAAGTAGCTACACCAGTGGAGGAAAAACAACTAGGTAAAAAATCAAAAACTGCAAAAGCAGCATCTGTAGAATCTGCTGAAGTCGGTGACGTTACCTCCGACTTAAAAGCTAAAAAAATTGAACCTGCAGATGATAATAATAATAACAAAAAATTGCAACGAGGAATATCAGCAACGAAAGAGGATGCAGATTTAAATAAAGATAAACTAAATAAAGAACCGCAATCGTTAAATGAGACAGATGTGGATGGAAACAATAAAGGTCCAAAGAGAGGTCAAAAAGCTACTGTTGAAGAGCCGCTAGCAGTAGATAAAGATGAAGACTTTTTCGGAAAAGGCGAACAAACAAAGTTGGATAGGCAGGAAAGTCAAAAAGGAAAACGAGATGACGATGATGAAATAGATGAAAAAACTGAAGAATTGCTTAAAAGAGCTCAAAAACAAAGAAGTATGGTTGATGATGTTTCCGATAAACCTGTTTTAACCGAAGATACTCAAAAACCAAGTAAAATTGGAGAAGGTAGAATAATGCTATCTTACACACTGTTTATAACATTCTTAACCACACTTATATTTTTTAATAATATTGAAATCAAATATTCTTATATTATCTTCAATATTATTGAAAACTTGAGCACAATACAAAAATTATTATTTATGATTCAGTTTAAGCAATAGAGAAAACAAGAGTCATGTAGATATAACAAAATTTAGAATATAAATCAAAAATAATCTCAAAACTGAATAATAAATAGTAAATTCCTAACTCTTGTAATAACTATGTGTCTATTGTTAATAACTGCAAATGCTAGCTTAGGACTAATTCACTGGCACTTACAACTGGCTAATATGTTTGCATCTATAAAACAAAGTAAGTATTTTATTATTTTTTTATATTATTAGGATAGAGCAATTGCTGTTTTATAACATATGTGAGGTTTTCAATTTATAGCGGAAACGACAAATAATTCAAAGGAAATTAAAATTTTTAAACAGGAATGATACTAAGAAAAATAAAGTGTGTACTAAGGAACTTATTCTGTTTGGTGAGACAAATGTACTGATCATGAAAAAAGTCATTTAAATGATTAATTTCACTCAGCTTACTTTTATTAGAGTGAATTACTTGCACTTTATCATATCAATTATGTATAAAGATATTCATTTTCTTCATTTTCATTTACAGTTGCATTAAACCCAATAGAAACTTCAATTTAAGCATAAATATCTTGGGTTTAAGAAAATATTTTAAATCGTTTAAGAAAATAAATGTGCCCTTGCAAATAATACTTACGATAATGAACTTTTAGCAATTACTATAACACAATGCAATAGTCAGCAGTGCGTCTTTTGTAATTTTTCATTACGTACATAATCGTTTACTTATACATTAAAAATGTAGCTGCCACGCTTTAAATTGTTTCCATTATTGATGTTATTATTTTAAAATGTTATTACTTAATGCATTTTTTTAGCTGTATTAAGCATTATGTTTTTAGTAAAGACCATTTATGTAAAATAATATTTATCAATATGTATTTGTACAGTGGAACAGCCAAATAGAATAAATAAATGGGGGCGTATTCGAAAAAACGCTCCGACACATCGATTGATATATTCATAAAGTGTGTCATGTAACAGTGGCCAATACCAACTTTCTCATTTTAAATGCAATACCCTGTATATTTATTAATTTTTAGATAGACATATTTTATGTACTATACCTAAATGTTTTGGAAATATTAAATAGTTTCGGATTTATTGTAAAATGTCACATTAACAAAATAAAATTGTTTGATTACAGAAATTCGCTACAACATACTCAATACCTCTTTCCCATTTAGGTCTTGATAATGAGAATGTAAGTAAAAACTATTTCAGAGTTATATATTGTAAACATAATAGACTCTTTTATGATATAAATAGATTATATTTGCATAATTATCCTTTTTACTTTATAAATAGGAGTAAAACCTTATTATTGTTATTTAAGGTAGCTTTAGTATAGGCTTTTGTCCAGAGTTGTCTTAGATATCCATTTGAGTGTATTTTCACATAATAAAAGTTCCGTTCTGGAATTTATATAACTGGCGCAGTCAGTAGGATACACGCGAGTCATGAAAAAGTTAAGAGTTCGCTGTTGCCGTGTCGAATATTAACTTTTCGTTACTTTAGAATTTTAATTCCTTAAGTGTGGTTCCTAACGAAGAATTGATGGACGTCATCCCTTTTGTGGCGACAGTCTAACCTCCACGTAGAAGAATCGTCGATTATTGGACATCATCTTATGGTGGGATATCCAAAACGACAATTAGAAAGCAATTTCAGAAAATAGTACGTGCCAAATATCCTTTAATTTCCCTTTCCTTTAATTTAGAGGTATTAAAAAGATTGTACTATCATATAATTTTGAAACTATTTTATATTTTATTTTGATTATATTTTAGTGAATCAGAAATTGATACTTTGTTTAAGCAATTTGAAAATATATCGTTAAAAGATAATAAATCTGATAGTGTAGGAAGTAATTTAATCATGGCACCTCTAGTAGTTGAACGTAGACTAGTGAATTGGGACCTTTTTAAGTACAAAATAGATAATATAAAAGCTTTTGATGGTGATAGTAATTCACTAAATAAATTTATAAATAAATGCGAAAGTTTGATTGATACTTATAGAACATATAATGACCCAGAATTGGATGCACATATAATAGAATGTTTTCAAGAAAAATTAGTAGGAAAAGCTGAGATAATGGTTGGAAACAGAATTGAATTTAATACTTAGATAGGTTTAAAAAATGCTTTGTTACAATGTTTCTCCGATCGAAGAGATTTAGATTGCTTAGTGTAAGAAATGACACGTAGTAAACCCCTAAAAGGTGAACATTTAATCACTTTTGCGAGTAGATTACAGTTGTTAAGAAGTAATGTTATTCAGCGAATAAGTAATGATCCAAATTTAACCCCAATAGAAAAACAAATTCAAAGTAATCAATATGCTAAAACGGCTCTTAATACATTCGTTGCAGGATGTACAGGAACACTAAAAAATATTATGCATCTGAAAAAGCCAGAGTCGCTAGAAGAAGCTGTTGCTTATGTTTCCGAATTTGAAAATTTTGAAACCTTGTATATTAATAATTTAAAAATTGGAGATATTGTATTTGTTGGTCAAGGTACTATAAAAAGGATTCAGTGGCCAATAGGTAGAATAACAGAAGTTATTTAGAAAAAAGACGGAATTCCAAAAACAGTAAGAATAAAAACACAAAAGGGAAAACTTTTAAGACCATTTTAACGTGTTTACACCTTAGAAATAAGTCAAACCGAACAATGTAATAGGCTTCTGAAAGCAGACAAAGAAAATCGAGATCGAATAACAAACAGACTGATGAAAGAGATGAAACGGAAATAAGATGAAAGTAGGACTGAAAATGTTGAATCCAGAACGGTAACCACAGCAGGAAAAATAGTTAAACTACCTTGTCGGCTTGGGTTTTAATTATTTTTATTATTGTATTTTATTTGTTCTGCATATTTTCTTATTTTTTTTTCGTTAAGTGGGCAGTATGATAGGAATCATATCGTTGCCATAGTTTCAAATAATCCGGAACGCTATAGTTTTATAGATTTTTGTAATTTTGTCAATTTTGAAAGATTATTGAATAAAAACGGTTTTTTCTGAAATAATATTTTTTACTTTCTCCATCTTCATTTATTGTCAACAACAACTTTAAGGAACTTATATCCCGATCCAGCAAACCCACAAGTTCCAGTGATTATAATATGGTTTCAGCAAGATGGAGCTCCAAATTAATGTCCGGCAGGCGAGGATCGATGGAATAGCCAGCACAATCCCCGGATCTGACATCATTAGACTTTTTTTACAAAGATATATCAAAACTATTGTATACAAAACTAAACCTTTCGACTTAGCTGACTTATGAAGACGAATAACGCTGAGATGTTGAGTTACGTTAGAAGACATTTTTATTTTAGATTGGGATGTTGCCAAGAAGTTCAAGAAATAAACAGTATTATTTATTAGTTTTTGAGTGTGTTTTAACAAATTTCTGTAATCAAATAATTTTATTTTATTAATGTTAATTTTGCAATAAATCGAAAAACATTTAATATTTCCGAAACAGCTAGGTATAGGACATAGTACATAATATATGTCTAGAATTTCATGAAGAATCCGAAAAATAAAAAATATACAGGGTGTTGCATTTAAAATAAAAAGTTGGTGTTAGCCACTATTATATGACGCACCCTACACAAAAAGTTTTTGTTCAAACAAATGTACAAATACCAATCGATGTGTCCAAGGGTTTTTCCGAACATGCCCATGTTTATTTATGACCGAATTTATTACATTTAGCTATTCCACACTATATATTATTGATCTATGTAAATTAGGGTGAAGTTCAGTACTCACTCATACTAAATCCATAGGCTTCTCTTATATTTAAGAGAGTCATTAATCCTGATCTGGGCACAAGCTTTTATTGCTATTACTTCAGCCTGTAATACTGTAGTCAATGACCCCGAATTTAGAATTCGCAGCTCCCTTGTTGTTTAGAATCTTTGTACCGTCTGTATCTATACTCTTGTCCCTGTTTAGTACTTTTTTATCGAAAGGTTTCATTAAATCATAGATATTCTATTTAATAGCATTGTTGTATGGAGTTTGTTAATTTTTTTAATATCATTGTATGGTGTCGTTTTCTTTATAGTTTTAATTTAACAGAAATCCATTTGTAAACAACCTGTAACTCACCGCTATAGCCTCTTTTTTCACCACAAGTTGTAATCGAGAAAGACCTAGCGATAGCTCCATTTATGCAGTGTGCGTACTTCTAAAGTAGATAGGACCAACCTTTGTACTTTATCTAATTTTATGCTGTTACATTTTAAGCCTTGTACTACAATACAACCGATACCTAGGTTACAACGGGTACTACAATGATAATATAAATCCAGTGAATTCACTTGGTTTAAACTCCCTTCTATTTCGTATCATCCGCCTATAAGCCCATAACGCTCTTACAGATCTTCGTGCAGAAGCTAAGCGCGGCATAGAGGGTGATTTCATAATGTTAAACTTCTGATATTTTTATATTGTCCCCCATATATAGCTCCTTCATTCTTTGCAGGTTTTTCTTTTGGGTACCATCTGTCGATTATAATTAGTGCCTGTTGCATCCTTTCGAAACCAGCAACAAATTTGACCTGTACTACGATTTTTACGTATTTAGATTTCCTCTTTCTAACTCTTATAAGATATTATCAACCATCAAGGTCCTCATGTGTAGAAATATAACTCCTCCCTGCAGGCCCCCAAGTTAACTGAAATCTCCCTTGTTGTGTTAAAGAGAATACTGATCTTAATCTGATAAATGTCTTTTATTTTGCTGTAATAACCTGTCCGTAACGAAAAGCGCTCTTATACTAAACAAACGCTTAGACTGAAAGTCAGTGTATCAAAATATCCAATGAACCATTCATTGACATTTAAAAAAAATTTAATATTTAAATATTCTAAAATAAAGAATGTGGCTACATGTTACAACTGTGATAAATTATGTTATTTAAATTCTCTTCTGTTTATTAGCCGAGCCAATTGTTTTGGGTACTAACATGAAGGATGGTTCTCGTCCCGAATCCCTTGATGTCACCTACATCGTGAAAGGATTTGCAAACCCTCCGCCAGTAGCTACTTGGACTTTAGACGGCAAAGAACTCAAACCTGAGGGCAATTTGAGAATGAAGATAAGCCAGAACGGCGAAGAGTTTAAGTTGGAAATACAAAAACTCGATTTAAAAGATGCTGGTGTATATGAATGTATTTTAAGTAATCCGGTTGGGAAGACCGTCCAACGGGCTGTACTCGAAGTAACACGTAAGTATTTTTTAAATTATTTTAAGCTGTTTACTAGTGCATAAGCTTAACAATAAAATCGGTTATAAGTTAATGACTTTATGTTTATTGAAAAAAAAATGATGAGAGTTCTAAAATGCTGAAAACTATATATGCGGACAAGTTTAAACTTGTTATTATGGACCAAATTTTAATGGTTCGTAGATAGTGTCAGAAATTAGTCAAGAATTAGTTTAATCATTTTCGTAATGGTATAAGGCGTAATGCAGCGGGATCATACATATTTTAAAACCATGATCCTTCCTTTTAGGAAACATATAGATAGTAAAAAATAAGACTGACTCTACAGTTGTTTTTTTTAAAAACATAGAAGATGCTGTAGAATTAACTTTATGAACAGTAATATAACGTTCTAAAAAATTAAGACACATCTTGGTATTGAATCAATATTTTCTCATAATACAAACTTAAATATATATAATAATAATAATGTGCTTATTTGTCTACCCTACTTCACTTCTCTCCAAGCTACCCTTACTTCAAGAGACTATAAAAGAGCTCATATTTTGAGTATATTTACAATTAAAAAATTACAAGTTAGAAATCAAGCTACCCGAAATTTTTGGACAGACAATCGGTATATATTTGAATTTATATTTTTTTTATATTTTAATAAAAAAAAGGGCTAGGAACATACCACTCTGTAGTACACAAAACATGTAAAAATTATGTTAAAAAGTAGATCAACTGAAAATATATATAAAACTCCTAAATCATAGTTTCAAACGCAATTATATCCAATAGCCTGATAATGAGGGTAAATATATTGTTACCCTGTTGTTATAGGAAACGTACGAATACAAAAAGAAGTGAAATGTCACCCTTCACTACGGTTACCAGACGTCACGCTTTTGGCGTACTTGCCACGCTTTTTGACTTGCTTGTACGCGCAATGCCACAGTAGAAAAATGCCACGCTTTTGACAAAAATGGAACTCTTTTTATGTAACCGGATTTATACAAAAATAGATAAAAGACCCTCGTTTTTACGAAAAATAAGCTAATTACCTTTTTTTTTGAGAAATGATCACAAAAAATGAACCTGATTATATAAAAATGCTTAATATTTAAACCTAATGCTATGTCGTCACGGTTCTCATGCTTTCCACTTTCGTAAATCTGGCAACCCTATCCATCACCCTACACTGTGCAGCGATGGTCACAAGTAAAAGCCACATTCTAACCCTAGTTTCACAAAACCGCACTAGTAAAACCCTTAAGCTACCCATATTTGACGGTCAGACAACATGGGAATCATATCGACTTCAATTTGAATCTACAGAAAGAGCCAATGGCTGGGCCGAAAAAGACATGGCGGCTTCATTGATAGTATCGTTGCGAGGACAGGCAGCAACCGTTTTACAGAACCCAGTTATTCATCTCTAGTCCAAGCTTTGGAAACAAGATATGGACAGCAGCATTTGAAACAGTTATTCCAAAATCAGCTAAAAGTTTGTAATCAGAAACGCAATGAGAGTCTATATGAATTCGATGCCGACATAAAAATACTGCTGCATCTAGTCTATCGACAGACGCCCAAAGATTTCTTAGAGCAAATTGGCATGCAGGCATTCATTGATGGACTACAGGATGTGGAAATGCAGCATGCTTTTTGGCTACAACACGACAAGACGTTGAGTGAGACAGTGATTGCAGCCCAGGAAAACGAAGCAGCAAACATTATATCCAGAACTTCTCGGGCAAAAGTAAGAGAAATTAGATTCCAGGAAAGTAAAAAGATCAACACAAATACTATTCCTTAACCTATCTATCCTTTCACAAATCTTAAATATCCTGCAAAATATGCAACGTTGAAGCCGTCTCCCACAACTTTGTTTAGAACAACAATTTCTGTCCAATAAAAGGATCGAAGAACAAAAGGAACCCGTTGATGAAGTTACTTTTCGGGCGACCCCTAAAGAGCCAGAAGCATACAAAGAAGAAATCACCCTTAAAAGCCCGAGAGAGGGACAAAAGGAAGACAATGACTTGAAGGTTATCAGAGAATGGTTGAAAAATAAAGTCACACCTACTTGGCAAGAGATAGCCAAATAAAGTAGATTCATTAAAGGGTACTGGACTTAGTGGGATTCCCTGTATCTTCACAATGGCCTAGTGCACCGGAAGTAGGAGAGCTTCGTTGGAGTACATATAGTTTATGAATTGGTACCGCAAAAATTACATGTCAGAAGTGTGTTGTTGGTGCTTCATAGGAGCCGTTCTGTAGTACATTCTGGTACTAAAAAGATACTGATAGAGGCATGCCAGAGTGACATATTTTAAGAGAGGCAAGCCAGTTTGGCTGTATAGTCCCAATCGCTGAAAAGGACTTTGTCAGAAACTTTAACGGAACTGGAAAGGCCCTTACACCTTTATCAAGAAAATCGACGACCTAAATAGCCATATAAATATTTATATTATTATACAATTGGATTACTGAATAATTACCAAAATGCGGCTTTGACAAATCTTGCCCACCTGAATAACTCAATTAAGAACATAAAATATGGTTGGTTATATTATTTAGCTGTACGACTCTGGCAATTTAATGTTTAAAATATGCGGGTTACAGATTGTAGCTATATCTACATAGCAAAGGAAAAATTTAAATTTAAATTTAAATCACGTTATAAAAAGCCATAACTGCTAGCCTAAAAATCCTCAATAAAATAAATTTTAAATAATTTTCTTTATCCTACCTATTATTTTTTTTAGCTGAAAAAGATTTGAGGCGTCCTAAGATAAAAGAAGGTTTAAAAGATCAATCTGTAGTAAAGAAGACCCATGTACTGTTTAAAGCTGTCATTATTGGTGATCCAGTTCCAGATATTACATGGTTAGTTTCTTTATAAACACATAATTTGTTTCTTTGATTCAGTGTGAATGCAGTCGTTTGGTAAGCGAAAAGCGAAAACGTCAATATTGAAAGAAGGTTCCATAATGTTTACTTTTGTCTGTAGAAAAGCATGTAATGGGAAAATTGTGTAATTTCATCACATGAAGGTGTTTTATGGCCTACTTTATAAAACCAAATTGTAGATCATTACTAACTGCTACATTATAATATAATATATACAATGATAATATTGTCGCATTATGGGTTTAAATGACGAAATTCCAAAAAATTGTATATTATTATTATAATAATAATTATTATTTCAGAAAATTATCTCAGGTTAAACTAGGTTATTGTTTTCCATATTCTTGTAACACTGGGGAAACAACAGAATATGTCTGAGCGGGGCTAACTATTTGTCTATGAACTAAGTAATCTTTAGACCATATGACACGTATCAAATACTACAGATTAGTTTAATTATTTTTGTAAAGTTATATTTAATATTAGGTTTTCTAGATGTTTTGTGAGTGGCACAATTCCAGGTGCAGTTATTACAAATGACAGATAAAACTGCAGTTAGCCTTCACATTTGTTTGATTTTAGTTTAAAATATTTATATATATTTTTTAACAACGTAGGTACATTGAATGTTCTAAACGACTGTTACTACAACATATATTATTGCTACTTCCTTATTTAGTTTTTGAAAGAGTATAATCTCTGGTCCAATAGCGTTAATGTTAATGTGAGTGCGCTTTGTACATTTGTCTAGGTTGATAGGCACCTCCCAGCATGTGAGCCAGCCTACAGATTTAATTTATCTGACAACGGTGCCAAGAGGTGCTTCTCTTATATCGGCCAATGTTAGCCAGTTCTCAGCAGACACAAATTGTCTAATAAATGAGAGCGTCATACAATCATAGAGAATATGCCCCGCAGTTTTATCTTCTTGTTTCCACCCCTTGCAGAATGCGCATCCTAACAGCCTTATACTATAAAAAAGCTTCCGAACCTTTTAATGACCAGTCAGAATGTCTTTGAGCATGTCCAAATTCTATCTAGTCGTAGCCAAATATTTGTTCATTATAGTCTTGTAAGGATAACTTATAAGCTCCTTGGATACTCTAAAGCTTCTTGTTTCATTTCATCGTCCTTGAATTGCACAAGGGAATGTTTTTTAATTAAGTTTGTCACTTCTGATGTTGCTAGTCCAATAGAAGGAGGAAAAGTAAACACATTGATGAAGGATACTGCGACTAAATATTCGTGGGATTCTAGTAAAAACCATGTGTAAATTCGCGGTATGTCCAGGATGAGTAGTGCTTGTTTGTTATCTGTATGTTCTAGTGAGCTCGGTTTGAACTGTAGTGATGCTATTGCTCATAACCCTTTTTATATTTAGGTTTAAAGATCTGGAGTATATTCCACATCATGAGACATTTTGTTTTTGAACCATTGGTGTAGATAGGAATCGTGTTTTGTTATAACTTTACGTGTATATGGATTATGGAATATATATCTTGGTGAGATAAAGTCCATGTTTGCTTGAATCAGGAGCGTATCGAACGCCTCCTGCCAAAAGCGACATCTCGCCTCACCAGATCGTTCTATTTCAACCGTGCGGAGGCGTTTCAATGTTATTAGAGCAACCTTCTTAATATAAATATCAAGGAGAGTAAGATTATGGCTCTGGTTGGTGTGGTTTCCATGGCTCCTGTTACTTTAACGTGCAGTTCTCTAAATTTGTTCTAGTTTAAGGATAGCTGTCAATGTTTGGGTTTTGGTACCCAGATAACTGCACCGTATATTAGCATAGGTTTTATGATGGCCGCCTAAGTCCATGCGACGTCTTTGGGAAGAGACCCCATGTGCGCCGCACTGTTTAACGGCATTGTTCATAAGCAATGTAATATTCTTTTTTTTACTATATTTTCTAAATGGGAGTTTTATATTCTCAAGGGGGTAATTCACTTCTGTTGCAAAGTTTAGTTTTGTGTTCAGGAGTTTTGAAGATTGTGTCCCCGTATAATTTGTATTGTAGTTCTCTTATACAGGGGAAGGGTAGTATTTGTAGTAGGGTTTCTCATCGACAATTAGTCCCACTACTGTTTATTTATAATTCTGGAAACAGTGTTATGACTCTGCGTGTATTCCGTTGTTGCCACTTGTTGTTGTCATTTATTGTTGCCATTTGTTGTTGACATTATGTTTTGGGTCCATTGGGCATTCTGTCTGTTTTAATATAACGTTTTAATAACTTCTTGTGTTCGTTACTAGATCTTGTATGGTCGTAATGAAACCAATTGTCTTAGCAAATATAGTTCCTCTCGGTAAAAAGGAATCAATTAAAAAAATTTTTCGTAAAACAATGTGTGTGACAACTGTGCAGCTTGAAATAGAACCTGATGTAGGATCTGGTAACGCGAGACGTGGCATTTGGCAGGAGGCGCCCGATACGCTCCAACTGCTTCAATCGAACATGGACTCCATCTCATCGAAATATATCTTCCATTAACCATATAAAGTTGTAATAGAACACATAGAAGTGCCGGAAGTGGCAGATATGATTCAGATCTACACCGACGTTTCTAAAACAAAACAAAGCTGAGGATGTGGAATATACTCCAGATCCTTAAACGTACAAATAAAATGGGCTGTGAGCAATAGTGCTAGTGTAGTTCAAACAGAGCTCACGGGGATTCTCATAGCAGCAAAAGAAATTACCAGAAACAATGTCACTAGAAGGAACATGCTCATCAATATAAATAGCAGACAAGCACTATTCACCCTGAACAGACCACACATTTACTCAGGGTTAGTACTAGAATGTCACGAAGCTTTTGCAGAAGAATTCATCAACAACGTGGTCGCCTTAAAATGGATCAAAAGTCATGCCACATCCAAAGGTAACCGTCTTGCTGATTCACTGGTCAAGAAAGTAGCCAACCATATACTTTTTGGACCCGGCCCTTTTATTCACCTAACAAATTCGGTAGTGATAGACCTATTAAAGACAATTCCTTTGTTAAGATTCAACGAAAGTTGGGATGTAACAAAAAACTGCAGAGTTGTCAATGAGCTCTTAAGTTATCCTGACAACACTGCTGCAGGTAAATACTTGACTATGACTAGGCAGAATCTGCGCCTAGTCACAGGAATTCTGACTATTGATTGTCAAGTACGGAAGCATATCCATATCATGGGGCTGTCAGATTCCGCACTCTACAGAGAGCACGAACAAGGAGATGAGACCATCGAGCATATATTCTACGATTTGCTCGATGCTCTCATTTATTAGAAGATTTTTGTTTGGCGAGTATCGGCTAACACTGGCCGACGTTGTGAACTACAATAAATCTGTAGGCTGGCTCACGAGCTAGGAGATGCCTATGATCTTAGGAGGATGCACAATGTTCCTAGTGAGGCCTAAATGCCATGGGGTAACCCACCCTAAACACGTTACAGATACAGATATTTTGCAGCTCTGGTTGCTTCCATAGTTGTATTTGGAACTCATACAACTCCAAACAACATCTGATAAGTTGACTTTTTGTGGAAACATTTTCTGAGAAACTTTATTTGGGTTGGTGAAGATGGTTGATATATAATATGACTACACTTTCGATATCTGTGGGTAACGATATTCTTGCTATGACTGATTTGCGATTATGCATTCGGTTCTTGTTCATCTTACACCAATCGTTTCAGAGTTGGATTCCAGAGCAGAAGCGCATTATTTTATTATATTAAAGGGAATATATTTGTTTAAATAGGACGTATATATGGATAGCCTGAATCGGTAAAGTTTGTTCTGCAGATTGCTTGCAGCTTTTCTTAAAATCATCTATTAGCTTTACTTTAGTTTTACTTTAATTTATTCCTTAGTATTTATAATTGTCCTCTGCAAGACGACTTCCTAAGACTTTTTTATTGTCCATATTAAAATAATTAAAGGTATTTTTTTTAGAACATTTATCCATTCCAATTTTCATATGTATATAGTCTCTAAAAGTTTTAATAATTTTTAATAGAATAACTATTAAGTTTTATACAAATCTTTTTAGGTCGTTCATTAATAACAGAAGGGATATTTTGTATTTATTGTCATATTCATTTTTAATATAAAAATAATATTTTTATTGTTTATTGTTCTGCTAAGTAGATTTAGAGACATACAGAACCACTATTACTATTTTTATTACTATTATAGGTGTAGAAACGGAAAAGAAATTTCAAATGATGAATTCGAGAAACATAAAATAATTCTGGAATCAGAAGACCATGAAATCGATGATGGCCTTAAAGAATGCACTTTCACTTTAGCTATACCCAGGTGTAAGTAATACAAAATTTATATATTTTTAATTTTTCCTATATAAAGTACGTTTATTGCTGTTTTAAAGTTTGTAATAATCTTTTCCTCATTGTTTTTTATTTTCTGTCATTTAAAAACATGTCCATGTCCAATAATTCGCCAATGATTTTAAAGTTTCATATTTAATGTTTTGAACTTCGTCCCTTTTATATTATTTCTTGCGAACTTTAAAATTCTACCTTCATCGTGATATGCAAACTTAAAAGGCATCTCAAATAATGAAACTATCTTTAAAATTATAAAATTAATGTGTAGGTTCTAGATTTACTTAGTCTTTATTAAGACCACAGTAAATTTTACTTTTAAATACTTCTAATTCTTGCATGTGGATTATTTAGTTTGTATGGTATCTTTAGAGGGAGTTTTCAAACTCTAATTTTTAATATCAGAGAAAAAATAAAGTGGCGACAGACTTGGAGATCTTGCAAATGGATCTTGCATACGGATCTAGAGGATCAGTTGTGGAGGGAGCCTTGCAACATTTGTGGGCACTGTTTCTTTTAGACCATTTTCCCAAGTCATGTACTTGGCGTCAATTTTGAGCTTTATTCTTATGGAAAAAATATAATTTTGCTATGGGAATTTATATTTTGTATTCTCGACACATGCACTAGGAATATTTTCTTATGTAAAGTATCGGAGCAAATACCCTTGGTATTTGGCATGGGAAATCAAAGTTCCAATGGAAATATTGATAATGGATTCTACTGAATCAAAGTTATTCTGTTACCAGTGACATTTGCTATTTTCTTGTTACTTTAAATAATATTATTATTATTATTATTATTTCAAATTCCTCTGAAAAATAAGCAGTAGAATTCTTACGCATGGGAAAATTCAAGTCGTGAATTGAGGCCCTTATCATTAAACCTGTAAAATGTATACTGCGGTTTTCATCATAATTATGTTTGGTGCATTCAGATTTTTCATCTGTACCAATTACATGTTTTTTAATAAACCTGTTATGCCTTTTATTTTCTTCCTATCAACACTATCATTTTTTTTGTAAATTTAGTCATTATCTTTTTATTAACTTTATTGTTTATCTCTGTGCCAGCCTCCGCTATTCAATAGATTATCCTACAGTCCAATTATTGATAAATTGTTTTAGATTCATTTTCGATGTCAAAAGAAGGCTCTAGCCATATCACTCGCATTTCCTTGGGTACCAATATTATGAGTAATTTTTGTAATTTTGTGTTTTTTAAAAGGACCATGATGTGAAAGATTATTAATGTTTAGGTGAAACTTCTGCAACTGGCAAGTATACCATCAAAGCGAAAAATAAATGGGGAGAAGCCGAAAGCAGCGCTTCATTGAACATCTTAATGCGACCTGAGATAGATGGTCCTTATGACACTAAAGTTGTTCCAGGAGAAGCCACCGAATTTACGGTAGTCGTACAAGCCAATCCCGAACCCTACGTGGTTTGGACCAAAGATAACGTTGTCGTAAAACCCAGTGATCTTATCAAGATCGTCGAAGACAAAGCTAATAATACTTACAAACTAGTTTTCCACGATGTTAAATTAGGTGATGAAGGTTACTACAAGGTCACTGCGAAGAACGAGTTGGGAGAGGCGAGTTCTGAAGCTAGGCTGAGGACTATTAGTAAGTACTTTCAGTAGTAATATCAGGTGTGCTGATGACTTATTAGTATATTATTGAATTTAATAAAAATCAATCTCTAGACCTTTAAATTGAATTTACTGTCAGTTTAATTATTAAAAAAAGTATCAAAATGTCTTGAGGGATAATTTAAAAGGTTCTTTTGTTTGCTGTTGGTGCAGTGTCCACCAGTGTAAATTACGCTAATTACACCACCTTATTTATTTACCCAAATTTGCTTCCTCCTTATTCTTTATAAACATGTCGAGTGTAATTTACTCCTGCTAAATAGCTGGTGGAGAAAATATATAGATACCATATCACTGACATAAAGGTACCAAACCAAACGAAAGGTTTAGTATCCGTTGGTGTAGTTCCTACAACAGTGGGATGAACGAAAGAACCTATTATATACTATAATTTATTAGTACCCATATTTATATTGATTGAGAACACATACTTTGATTACTATACGAGGCAAGAGAGAGGTCCGACACGCCCAACATAGGGCGCGGCCATTTTGAACCCTGTGACACAGTTTACAGCTAAAGAATCAGATCGCTCACTCTGCGTCGGCACTTTTGATCTCAATGTTTTAGTTTATACACTGTGCAACTCGGATAATACAATATATGACAACCGCCTATAATAAAACAGCAGTCTTCTGCGTATCCTAAATTTGTATCCCTGGAGTGGATGTTATTTTGAAACTTTCAACTGGTCCTAGTGAGCTAACTGATTCTTTAGCAATAAACTGTTACTTCAAAAATAATATTCACTGACACTGACAGCAGCAAGCAAAATATTAGGTGCGTTCTAATCATCCGCTTCTGCTTCCGGAATTGTCGGTTTAGACGTTTTAACCTGTTAGATTAAAACAAGAATACCAACAATTCCGAAGCAGAAGCGGATGATTAAAACGCACCTATTAAAAATATTGCGCCAAGATGTAGGCAACACGTAATAAGGGTTCAAAATGGCGGAGTTCTCTATCTCCTTTTAAAAGGCACTCAGAAAGCTGCGCAGTGCGACTATTCTCCGTATAGTAAAAGAAAATCAAAGTATGTGATTGAGAATCTATAAAAGCATGATAATTTGTTCTCTACAAACACAGATTACCCCAGATGCGAAATTTGGCAAAGGATTTTGAAGTGAGAATTATATAACCTTGAAACTTTAAATGAGTATGGCATGGGTGTTGCCAATTTTAATTATTTTTAATTATTCTTGCTAAACACTATTGCCATGTAAATAGACTATGGTTGGGCAATTAATTCATAGTTTATTGTAGTAGAACTTATTACGTTGTCGAAAAGTTGTTAATTTTTTACACAGTGGTACCTATGCATTGAGGAACAAACATTTTAGAAATAAAAATATAAGTCTAACGGGGTTTACAAGCAAAGGCTAACGATTTGTGTAAATATTATTTATAACATTGTATAAAAATCAGTCTTTTACTACAATAGTTCAAAAAATTATCACGTATTTTAAGGTGCAATTGAAAGTAAATTTTATTAGTAATTTAATACATAACAAAACAAAATATATTTGAATAAAATGTGGATATAAATAATTAAAAAACCTTGCAGCGCTCTAACATTATTCGCAATCAACCAAAAATAACAAATAAATATGTCTATTTTACAGTAAAATATGAGTAGATTTGAACGGCTTTTATTATTCAAATTTAGATACTAATCTGTCACCTGTCAAACATCAATATTTGACTTATGACAATAAATAAAACATCGATATTTGACAGGTAACGATTACGCTACGAATAGTTATTTTTGTTACATGTAACCTAATAAATATAAGTTGTTATTGTTTTGATTGATCCAAGACATTTACGTACAAATTTTATACAATTTACAGATATTTTTTTTTTGAAATATACAGATACAAATTGACAGATCAGAAAGTACGGTCATCTCGACCACTTTTGCTCCCATTCTAACCATGACAGCTCGCAACACTGATATACAGGGTGTCTCGAATGGGAATAAAAAATCATATAAACATAGGTCCGAAAAAGTTTCTTTTCCGAGATACAGGGTGTTAAAAGTGAAGTCCTGATGCCACACTTTTGTAAATATTTTCTAAACGATTAAATATAACTAAGGGAAATTGACCATCTTCATAGGTGAGTAAATTAAGGGGGGGCTTAGGGTAAAATTGACCTAAAATTTTTTTGTTGACAGTTTTCAACTTTTTCGACTATAAATTTAGGAAAACCAATATTTTCTTTATAATAAAGCTACATTTATTGCATCTTGCTAGGACGCACCATTTTCAAGAGAAAAGCATTTAAAAATTTCATGATAAGTTATTCGAAAGTGCAAACAATAATAAGTAGGCCTGTGGAATCAGAAATTTAATTTTTTTTAACTTTGGAAAACCGGTGACTTAAGAAATTTTAGAAAATATTGTTACGAAGCACCTTGCAGTAGCCTGCGACTATTATAGGATACGTACAGATAGAATAAGAATTGGAATGTTACTCATTGCCCTATAGTGTGCTGCGGTCGTCATAAGTGAAAGTACAAGTAAAAGAAGATAGAATACTCCATAAATATCCGGAAATGTCATTACCCGTCAAGAATATTCTAGACGACAGTTCGAGAAGGTTCGAGCTATATAAGGATGATCCTGATGTCAGTTTTCAGTTAAATGATAGACGTTACACGTTAATGTTATCAGTTGCATTGTTATTGTTAAAGTTCAGTTGAAATAAATTGTGATACCAAAAACCTGTGTAACAATATTTACAAAAATGTGCCATCAGGACTTCACTTGTAACACCCTGTCTCTCGAAAATTAAACGTTTTTGGAACTATGTTTATATTAACTTTTACTCTTATTTTAGGATGTAGATTACGCTGTTAAAATATGACCGTCTAAATTCGGGACATCCTGTATAGTGTCTAAAATTATTCAAATTTTACTTAGAACATCGAACATTGTGGGAAGGAAAGGAAATTTTATTATGTATAACGACGAAATGCCACAGATCTTTTTCAAGGAGGAGGGCAGTTCGCTGGGTTCTTAGTGTAGGCTGATTTTGTTTTTTTTTTTTTTTATTGGATATCAACTGTCCACGGCGCCAAAATTAGGTACAAAGTGGAGTTAATTTCCATTTTGCCCCCTTTACATATGTCGGTGTTTAAATGCATATGACCAGCCATCTCTATTTTTAATGTTCTTTGTCAACTTTCGTATCTGGTGTGGATAATTTGTGCATTAAACCAACTGTAAGGTATTAAAATAAATGAATTATTATTTGAATCACCCTATATTAAGATTGTCTAGTATTCATACCTGATAAAATATATTTTTTAGAACACTTTAAACTACATTAAATACATGAAATAACTTTTGTTTTGCAGAAGAAGCAGAACCTACGAGTAAGTTTATAAAAGCCAAGCAAAGCTTCTTTACTGCTTCATGTTGATAACTCATGGAAATAATAAGTACTATATTGTATGCAATACAGAAAACATCTTATTTTAATAATATTTACAACAAAAAACTATTAATATATTATACAGGGTGTCCCGTTAATGCGTAATTGTATAATATTTATAAAATACGTATTTTAATAATATTTTGGGATATTCATTGACTTGCGTTTTTGTTTGGTAAATAAAAATGCAAGTTTTAAATATAATACCATGTATTTTATTTTAGTTTTAGAATGATTTGATAATACTAAATTTAACCCCGGAATTTTTTTACAAAATATTACACGGTTGTCAAGCAATTAATTTTTGTATGAAATTAGTGAATGATGCAGACCCCAAATAAAATTATCATAATTTAGTTAGGTTTTGAATGATTTCAAAATTGTTTAAAGTACAAACTTGTGAGGCATTAACTTAACGAATAGTGGTGATAGAACTGGTTTATTTTATACAGATTGTCTTAAATCATGTTCCAAATATGGCTAATTTTTTTTTTCAAATGCAACACTGTGTATATTATTTTGGCATAAAATTCTTTATAAATTTGCCTATCCCAAAATACCAATATGTTAGCCAGTAACACATATACAGGGTGTCCCATTTGTTCGTTATTGATCGATAGCTGTTTTATTACTGGAAATACGAAAAAAAAAAAGATGTATGTTTAATTAATATTCTGAAATAAAGAGGATGGTTAATAAACGAGAGGCTGACGAAACTTATACATTTTTATAGAAAAACACCCTGCAGGTAGTTATACATATTTCATTGTTAACACATCGGCAAACAATTTAAATAGACTTCATTTATTTAATATGTTGTATACAAGGTGGGCCATTGGTGCGTGGGTGGAAGATTGCTGGTTTATTAAGGTACATTGACCGAGGAATCCAAATATTCAAATATATTCAGGGGATTCCCATTAAAAAAACAAAACTTTAATATAAATCACCCTGTAGAACAATTGGAATTTCATCGAAAATATTTTTAGGTCGTAGCTTTAGAGGTCCTACACCATTCCCCAGAAATGAATTTTAAAAATGTACCTTAATAAACCCACGCACTAATGGCCCACCCTGTATAGGGTGTGTCAAATTTTTAATGGAATATCCTATATGTTATACCACCAATAAATTAATATAGGTTAGTCTAATTAAAAAATTGAGAAAATCGCAATCTCACGTTATGACATACCCTATATATAACATAGCAAATTATTGAAGTCAATTAAAATTGTTTGACGATGTGAAAACAATAAAAAATGTATAACCACCTGCAGGGTGTCTTACTTAAAAAATAAAAATAGATTTGGTCATCACCTCGTTTATGGACCACCCTGTATATTTAAGAATAATTATTACATATATGGTCATACAACTTTTATATTTCGTATTTATATCAATAAAACAGCAGCTATAATTTAATTACGCACTGATGGGACACCCTGTATATGTGTCATTGGCTAACACATTGGTATCATTGTATAGTATGTATAGGTACATTTATAAGGAATTTTATGCTAAGAAAATATACAGGGTATTGCATTTGAAAAAAATTTAATAACTAAACTAAAATTAGCCCTATTTAAGACATTTTTCAAAGCACTCTGTATAAAATAAACCAGTTCTATTATCACAATTCATTAGCTTAGTATCTAATAACTCTGAATATTAAACAATTTTGAAATCAATGTAAATCTACCTAAATTATGATAATTTAATACGGGATCTGCATCACTCTCTAATTTAAAAATAAATAATTGCTTGACAACATTCTAATATTTTTAAAAAAATTCTAGGGTTCGATACAGTATTACCAAACCATTCTAAAAATAAAATAAAATACAGGATGTTTTATTAAAAAAAAACATACATTTTTCTTTTATGGACAGAAACGCAACACACTGTATATCCAATAATATTTTTAAAATATGTGTTTTCTAAGTTTATATAACTTTTATTTAAAAAATAATTACGCACTAATGGGTCACCCTGCATAATAAAAATTAGTTTTTTTACTAGTTAGACAAGAAGATTATTTTAAATATTTAACCGCAACGACAATATTATTGGTTAGATAATATGTATAAGTTATTTTCTGTACCATTTACATCAAATAACAGGATTAAATTCACGCGCACACACTCATTTTGCTACACGTTTTGCTTGATTTAAATTGCATCTATATATTAATAACAATTTAAAAAACTTAGGAGTCCAACTACATTTTTCGTAAGAGCAAGATAATGCTTGGTGTTCTTCTCGTTTAAGACTATGTAGGGTTGCTGTTCACAGCTATTGAAATTGGACATGCGATAATATTAAGGCAAGCTTTAGACCTGTCTTTTTATGTCAAAGTACCTAAAAGGAATAGGTATTATGGAGTGTCCTATTATTTCTCCACTCTCTTTTTTTTATTTTCGTTATTTAATTTTCTTGATCTTTCTTTTTCTTGATCTTCCTATATTTCTTTTGTCCATTATTATGTTTTAGTTAATTTACCATGTCCCAGCTATAAATATGGTCAATTTATTTTAGTTATTAGGCCACGTTTGTTTTTCAACGGATCTATTTATTTAAATCCTGTCCTATTATTTATATTCTCAGTCTAGACCGTACCAGTTTTCTTTTGAGCATACATTAAACTTTTTTAATTCAGATTTCACCTCCACGATATATGTCAACATTGATAGAATGTTTTGATGTATTGAAATTATCCCAGTCAGATCTTACTTCAATATTCAATATTTTCTTTTTAAATGTATTTAAAAATTTTAAATATATTGCTGCTCCTTTTAACAGAATTGTTATAAAATTAAATTATCTGCCGCTATTTAACTAAGATGATTTTATTATAGCTGAAAGACCTAAATTCATCACTGGATTATTTGATGACCAAGTTCCACAGAAGAGTGAACTCATTTTGATGGTCAGAGCCGATGGTCTACCCAAACCAGAAATTCGTTGGTTTGTTAACGGAAAGCCAGTTATCGAAGATGAAAACATCAAAATCGAAACAACTACTGAAGCTCAGGTTACCAGTAAATTGATTGTCAAGAACTTTGACACTGAACATGAAGGAATTGTAAGTCTCTTGTTAAATTAATTCATGAATTATTTTAAAAAACTGTTTTAATAATTATTGATTGTTTTATATAATGATAAAAATATTATTTTTAGTACAAAGCTATGGCAATAAACGTAGTGGGGGAAGCAGAAACTACATCAAGAGTATTAATGGAACAAACGGCTCCTTCGTTTGGCAAAAAGTTAGACAGAAACTTGGATGTTAATGAAGGCGAACCACTAGAACTTAAAGCGAAGATATCTGGCAGTCCTTCTCCAAAAGTAAGTATTTAATTAACTATAATTATGACCGCATTTTAATATAAAACAATTACTTTTATGTCTATGTTCCTCTCAGAACGTTAAATTAATAGTTCGTGTTAACAACTGTAACACAACTATGAAGACTAGAGATAAGGAAACGAATCGGCATGCTCAAAATACGGTTCAAAAAATCACACGTCAATTGAGCTTTTATAATTAACCGCATGCGCGCTTGTACGGTTTACGTAGTTCAAAATACATGGCTTCTTATGGGAATTATATATAATTTTGCCAAAATAATAAAAATAAACTTGTTTATAGCTAAATAAAGCACAGAACATACTGTTGTATTTATTTCTAAATAAGTCTTACATATTTTAATTGATACATTATTTACTATTTATTCCTATTTGAGTAAAATGCAAATTATTGATGATAAGTGTTGAAATTTGATGGGTAGGACTAATTATTTTTTAATTAAAGCTAAATAGGACTGAGGGCATACTAAGACATGGTTTAAATAAAAATATTTAGTTAGGGATTTTACAACATTTTATGAAAATAATAAAAATCAAATTGTTTATTGCTAACTAAAGCACAGAAAATACTGTTGATTTTAATTATTGTAAATAAGTCTTTGTTTTAATTGCTAACTAAAGTACAGAAAATACTATTTTAATAATAATAATAATACTCTCCCTAATTCACCCCCTTACGAGTGAATTTCAACCCCTGAAGTCGACTGAACGACTTGTGTAGGGGAAGGGATGGCTATTATTATTTGCCGTGGCGCTCCGGGGCGACTTAAGGATGATTGATGGTGCCATTTGACTTACAGGTGAGGAAAACCCGGAAAACCTCACCCACCATCATCGAAACGATAATGTATGGCGATTTTATAATCTGCATGTCATATCAATAGAAATTGAATTTTCTATTAATACGGCACACATCAAATCCTAAACTGTTGGTATTAATTATAAATAAGTCTTTATGTTAAACATTATTTACTATTCATTATTTAATTTTATCTGAATAAAATGAAAATTAGGTATGACCAAATTTGAAAAGGTTTGTTAAATGTTGAAATTTGATAAGAACAGCTTTGTGGACTTTTGTATTCGACAACTACAATTTCATCATCCTGGTGAATAGTTTCGTCAGCAATAGGTTCTAGTATTTTCTTCCATTTTTTATTCAGTTTGGTTCAATGGTGGTTTTCGTCTTTTCCTAATACTGGACAAGCATGAAGGGAGATTCAGGAATATACATGGTATTGCTTCGTTCTTTAATCTCGACATTTGTTAACAGTACCATTAGTTAAAATAGTCTCACCAAATTTTAAAATATCATCTTCTAAAAAGTGTAGCTCTCAAACAGAATCATAACTAGACAGTACTTTATCAGCCCTAGGAATCACATGATGCTATTATTCTAAACGTTTAGGATCCTATAAAAAATATTTGCAATGACAAAATTGGAGTTCAATAAAGAAAAATAACAGTGGTAACTCTTTATCTAACATCAAAAAACATCAAAAAAGTACATTTTCTTTTCTAGTAAGTTAAATTTAATGTGTAATTATTGTTGTTTGTAAGTCAGAATTTGCGACTTTATTATTTTTTATTATAGAATTTTGTAATTAAATAAACTACACTCCGTAAGATACGGGTTGGGACTATTTTAAAATAAATATATATTATTAAGAAATAAATACATTATTTTACTTACACCAGGAGCTTTAAAAAGACTTGGATTTTTATCTCCTTGTGTTTTCTTTAATTTTATATCGAATTTATATCCCGTTTTTCAACCCGGAACGAAGCAAATCCTGCGTTGCCGTTTTTTGTTACTCATTCTTACTTGTAGTCAGGTTCTTTATTTTAGCCTATTTTTATTCTTTTCGCTAAATTTTACAAAAATCATTGACTTGCATAGAAAATAGACGTCGTTATTTTGCCACCCGCCAACTGCAGTAGAGAAGGAAACAGGTAATTTTTATAAATCTATTCAACCTAACATAAGGGTAAAACCGTGGTTTGATAAGCTGTCAAATAGACCACTAATCCAAAGGATTAGCAGAATTAGAACTAATCATGCTTTATACCCTCAATATATGAAGCGAATATGTATAAATAGATAATGATTTGTGTATTTGTGATGAGATTTCTGATTTACAACATATAATTTTGAATTGTATTCTAAACGATTTAGAAATTAATTTATTATACCAAAACTTAATTAACAACAAAATTCAGTTACCTATAAATTTAAAAAATCTACTCACATTTGACAGTATATATAACATACTCTATAATTTCGTCAAAACACTCAAATTAAAATTGTAATTAGGAAATAGAAAATAAAACATGTAAGTAGCGATGCTACCAATAAAAAAAATGTACACCTGACTCGAAAAAATTGTTAAGAAAAAAAAAATAAAGACAAAAGAGTAAAAGAAAAAATAGAAAAAAGAAAACAAAAAAAAACAAAAAAAAAACAAAAAAAAAATAAAAAAACAAAAAAAAAAATAAACAAAACATTTAAACCATATTAAATTCAGGTTATTTTTTTTAGTTATTAAGGTAAAGCAACTTTAATGTAATTTGTAAAATAATAAAGTTTGTTATATATTTTTATTTGTTCACCTGACAATTGACTGGCCTGTTGGTTTATATCCAGTGCCATTAACTTAGTTAAAAAAATAAAATAAAAATAGGCACGCAAATTTGAAATTTAACCAAGGCCGATTCGTCTTCTTATCTCTAGTCTTCATAGACACAACAAATCTTTTTATAATGTCATTATTGTTATTAGACATTCCAACCAAAATGGCTGCCATTGACAGGCACATGATAACTTATAATATGGGAACACTGTGACCCTGGTGGTTTGAAAGGGTCAATTATATAGACAGTTGATAGATTGATTATCCATGGTTTTAAAAATAAACATAAGCTTATGCCTTGAGGTAAAAATGTAGGCAATTATTATTTTTTAAATATTCAAAGGCTGAATATTGGTTTTGAATACATTTTTGCTAAACCGACTAAAATTAATGAACACTTGCCAGGCAATATGGCCACTTGCAAACGACCCACTTTGAGCAATCTATATAACTATGTATGTATAATTGACCCTGTTAATGACAACATGCCCACAGGGTTGTCATATCTAAACTTTTAGATCCCACTAGTATCCATTTGGACAGGTTGTTGGAATGCCTAATTGTTGCTATCTCCTCCTAACTTTGACATCGTGAGATAGTGGGAATCTTAGTATTATTTACAATGTCAAAGTTCGTTTACTAGTAAGGATATGTAACTTACATTGTACCTGATCTAGGTAACCTGGTACAAAGATGGAGAACCAATATCACCTGATGATGAAAATATAAAGACAACCTTATTGCCAGATGGTACCGTAAAACTCAGTATTGATAAATGTAAACCATCCGACAGTGGAGCTTATAAATTAGTAGTTAAAAACAGAAATGGAGAAAGTGCTTGCCTTTGTGCTGTAGCCGTAACACGTAAGTCATACATTTTATTATATTAAAAAGTAATATTAATATTATTAATTTTCTTTACAGAAAAACCGAAAAGACCCACTTTCCTTAAGTGCTTTAAAGACACCAAGGTTCCTCTTGGTGAGTCTTTACGCCTGGACGCCAAAGTTGAAGCTTTTCCACCTCCAGAAATAAAATGGTTAAAAGATGGTATTCCCCTCCGGGCTTCATCGAATATTCATTTTGAAAATCATCCAGATGGTCGTATTGCTCTTGTTATTGATATGATGAAACCTGAAAATGCCGGTAACTATCAACTATTGGTGACTAATAAATTAGGTGAAGCAATTGGAGAAGCTAAAGTAGAAGTCGAAAAGAGACCCGTTAAACCTGAATTCATCAAAAAACTTAGCCCTCAAACAGTTGTCGAAGGTTTTCCAGTCAAATTAGAAGTAAAAGCTGATGGATTCCCAACTCCAAAGATTACTTGGTAAATTTTAAATAATATAAGTTTAAACGCTATACATCTTTGTTTGATTTTTTAGGTCTAGAAATGGTGCTGAGGTGATATCAGACAACAAACATATAAAAATAATAGATCAACCAGAAGATTGTTCAAGTGCCCTTTATCTAGATAGCGCAGACAGAATGCGCGATGCTCTAATTTACAAAGCTGTTGCAAGCAATGAAGCTGGAGAAGCTGAAACATCAGCTCTATTAACAGTTCAAGAAGCTTCTAACTCCGAAGAACCCGAAGAAAGACCTCAATTCCTACATTCCATTAAAGATACAATTACAGACGAAGGTCAACCTTTGGTTATTCAAGCTGCTTTCACTGGAAATCCTATTCCAAGTGTTGAGTGGACTAAGGATGGGCAGCCAATTGAACCTTCAGAGAGAATATTAATGACTTGCGATGGAAGACGGGTAAAAAATATATAATATACAAAATATGTTAAGGCTATGGGAAAAAGTAATTTTATTTCTATACTAGTATCAACAATCCACTCTTGTATTCTATATTTTTGTTTTTTTTTATGTTATAGATTGGTTTAAAAATAGATAAAGCCTTGCCATCTGATGCAGGAGTTTATGGCGCAAAAATTGTTAATCCTTTGGGAGATGACTGTTCTCAAGGAAAAGCAACTGTTAGAAAAGTATTCATGGCTCCTTCATTTACACAAAGATTTACTGATTTACAACAAGTAAGCCTAAATATTTAATTATCTTCTTTTCAAGTTATTCCTACTTACATAAATATTTTCGTAGTTGCCAAACAGAGACGCTAAACTTCCATGCCGAGTAACTGGTGTACCACAACCCGAAGTATTATGGACAAAAGATGGAGAACCTATTAAGAATTCAGATAAATATACCATTAAGAGAGATGGAGATCTCTGTTGTTTGTATATCATGGACTGTCAAGAAAATGATGCTGGTATCTATAGAGCAACTGCTATAAACAAAGAAGGCCAAGACGATTGTACGGCATCTCTTGAAGTTGTTAAAGAAATGTAAGAACTAAAAATATATAAAAATAATATTAATTATATTAACACTTGTTGTTTTTAGCAAACAAGCTAAGAAAATTGAACCACCAGTATTCTTGAAACGCATTGGAGACACAGAATTATTCAAAGCTATGACAGCCAAGTTTACGGCCTGTGCATCAGGAATTCCAGAACCGAATGTAGAATGGTTTCACAATGATAAAAAAATATTCCCTTCGACAAGAATTAAAATGGATAAAGATACAGCCGGGTTACTTAGACTTACCATCGCCGGAGTAGATGAAGACGATCTTGGAAAGTATTCTTGCAAAATATCCAACGAACACGGAAGTGATATATGTCATGCAACTTTGAAATTCGACGAAGGTAAGTATAACTTAAAAAACTAGTGTTTTTTAGTACTTAATAATACAAATATGATATAAAGTAGTTCACAAACAATGTTTTAAAGGAGGATATGAAAAACAATCACGTACATTGGAGGGTACAGTTTTTGTCTGTCAGGGCCTACTTTATAAACATTTTTTGTGGATTGCTCATTACAAATACTAGTAGTCATGACAAACTATATGACATTAGTTTTTATATATTATTTATTGTTTATTCGCATTTTTTAGGTCTTGAAACCAAACCCAAACGCCCAATCACTGACCAGTATACAGACTTCGATAAATACAAAAAAAGCGGCGCTCCTATGCCAATATCTGATCCACCGATTATCTCTCAGATGACAGACAGACACTGCACATTGTCCTGGAAACCATCAATTCCTTCTGGACCTAGAGAACCGGTTACTTATCAACTCGAAATGTGTGAATTGCCTCACGGCGATTGGTTTACAGTCAGGTCTGGTATCAGAAGTTGTACGTGCGGGGTACGAAATTTGGAGCCGTTCAGGGATTACAAATTCAGGGTTAGGGTTGAGAACAAATATGGAATTAGCGATCCTTCGCCGTACGCTATAACTCACAGGTGAGTAATTCAGTAAATCAAAATAATGTTATTAATAATTCTATAAATAAAAAAATTTACTTGCGTAGCACAATGTTTTCTTGACATTATTGAATTTCAAATTATAATGTTATTTGGATGGAATAATAATCAATTTAAATTTCCGGTTTAAACTGAATGAAATGAAATTTTTAAATAAAAAGGTATCACTTTTCTAAATCTTGCTTTTAACAAGACTATCTTCTCGAAGATAATACACTCACTAACAAACATAAATGTTCCATAGACGGTTAGTGGATGGAATAAAACTTGATTTTAAAACAATAAAACGTAAACAAGCGAGGCTTGATTGTGAAGGGATGTCAACGGGGAGAAGTGTCTTTCAAACAGGCCTGACGGGATTTTTCATAGCAGAAAAAGAAGTTAGTAGAAAGAATATTCCTGGAAGAAATATTCTTAATCATACAGATAACAAATACTAGGTTAGTACCTACTGGAATGTCATTAAGACTTAGTCAAAGTATCCATCAACAATGTGACGACTTTAATATGGATAAAAAACCACAATAAATCCAAAAGTAACCGTATTGCTAATTGATTATCCAAAAATGTAGCCAACCAAATACTTTAAACAAAATTAGTTAAGGAACTTTGACAGGAGGGCTGAAATAAAAGCTGCTGAGTTGTTAGGAAGTTCTTAAGTTACCCTGACAACACTTAGAGCAAACAAATAAGGAAGCACTTCCATAGCACAAGGTTATAAGACTCCGCACTATGTAGGGGCTGCTAAAATGTTGATAAGTTTATCAAACATATTTACAATTTCCCTGCGCCTTCTTGTACAGGGTGTAACAAAAATATGTACAGTAAATTTGACCACAGTTTCTAAGGTCGAGAAATAGTCGATTATTGAGCTAACTTTCTTTCATAAAAAATTGATAGTTATTAAAATTATTGGGCGTTAAAATATAATTTTTAAAGGTGACTTACTGTTACTCTAAAACGGCTCAACATATTTTTATAAAAATATACATGGAATGTAAGTATGCACTGACAGTCACCAATAAAGTAGAGTTGGTAACGTTTAAATTTGTTTTAATTCTGTTGGTTGTCTGCACCCCTTTGGCCCCCCTACTTTTTTGACAATATAATTTAGTTAAAAACAGAACGCCACTAAAATCCTACATCTGAATTGAATTGTTTGCATTTTAGTATTTGTTTGTGAAAGATTTAATAACAGACTTATAGACCCTTGAAGGAAAGTCATAGTGAGAAATACAATGACATGTTTCTATTGGTCTACTGAATATTTGTTCAGATATTTACTCTTTTACAACTTCATAAATGATCGATATTACAAAGGAATAATTGTAAAGGACGTTATAAAAAAGTAAATGAAGTTATATAATGTCAATGAGGCTTTTAAATAAAGTAAACTCCTTTAAAATATAAATGTGTATTAATGACATACAATGGGGTCTATTCTGTAACAATTCCTTTAAATTTAACGGCCTTTAAAAATATTGGCGGTCTTTAAAAACATGTTCATATTCGTTAATTTACTTCTGTCGTTATTTAAACAGATTTCTTTAAGATAGTCCTCTAATGTATTTTAAAGATCCGTTTAAATAATGACAGAAGTAAAGAAGAAAATATTTTTAAAGGCCGTTAAATATAAAGGAATTGTTACAGAATAGACCCCAATAAAAATTATAATGACATCAGAGTGTTAACTAGATAAAATTATACATAGTATTTATAGTACATATAGTACAAACTAGTAGAAAGCTTACACTATAAACATATAACAATAAAAAAGAAGTTAAAAAAATTCAGTAGTTTAAAAAATAGAAATAGAAAAAGTTTTATTTTAAATATATTTCACTATAAACTTCCTTCAGGAACCTATTACTCGCAGACAAATACTAAGAGAAAAAAAATTAAAACAGATAAAAATGTTTAATGGCGTTCTGTTTTTAAATAAATTTCATGGTCCAAAAAAGTAGGGGAGGGGGAGTAAAAGAGGTGCCTAAAAACCTATAACAATTTCCTTTTATTGGTCGTTGTACACTTACATTTCATGTACATTTTTATAATAATATGTTAAGCAGCTTTAGAGTAAGTGCAAAAAATCAGTTGTAAAATTTTTAATTTCACACCCTGTAAGTTTTTTATTATCCATTTTTTATACGAACAAGTTAGTTATAATTTCGACAAAAAAGTGTGGTTAAATTTAGTATACATATTTTTGTTACACCTTTTATAAGGAACTTTGTGTATTTTATTATTATATATTGAGCTTAGTGAGGCCTCAATGCAGCGGAGCAACCCATCATCCCTACGTTATAGATACAGATACACATCAGTTCATCTATATGTGAAAAATAATACCAGTTTTGTTTTTATTTAAAATATATTTCCCAAACTTTTTAATTGATTTTAAATTGGAACTAATCAATCTTTAATAGTTTTGTCGTTTTTATAACAGAATCTGCAAGTATCTTTTTGTGTCAGCCACATCGTGTAGTCCAATTCAATAAATGTCCAAAATATTCAGTGTCTACAAAAATTAACGAAACTTGCTATTTTTATTTACAAAAAGTTTTGAATAAAAGTTTTATGAAATAAATCAAGTAAATAAAGTAAAGTAAATCAGTAATAGGACTAAACAAATAGTGAAACGGCTAGCAGAGTGGAGAGAAGAGTGGTGATAGCATATTGCGGCAATAAAAGAGGTAGATAAACATATTGGCGTGTTTAATGGCCAAAAATAGATTTATCACTAGTAGACATTTTGTTTTCTGAAAATTTTATATTAGGAATTAAAAAAGGAAGTTGCAATATACATGAAAAATATAAACGTAGACATGTCCATGGTGAATTTCATCATGTGTGTGAATAATTACACGAGCACCCAGAAAAGTTTCATTCTTATTTTCGTTTGGCTATTACAACATTAGATTATATTTTGAAAAAAATACTTGTTGATTTTATTTCATCGGCCACAGTATCCCACAAGTTATCTAAAATGAATAGATAGTAATGCTGAATAACCTGCTGTTAGAAAAGGAAACAAATATTATCTAGTATAAATTGATGACAATGAGCGAATACTACATAACTAAATATGCAAAGTAGAATTAAGAATTCTCGTATTGATTTAATTTTGTTGCCATGTTCTAAATCTTGTTTTAGGGAAAAATTAGAGCCTGACTTACCCAAATTCCGGCCCTACCTTCCTCCTGAGATCGATTTCCGTCCAGAGACATCTCCCTACTTCCCTAAAGATTTCGATATCGAAAGACCACCACACGATGGTATGGCTCAAGCTCCAAGGTTCTTACGTCAAGAACACGATACCCAATATGGAGTTAAAGATCAGAACACTAATTTATTTTGGTTCGTCTATGGGTATCCAAAACCAAAGATGACTTATTACTTTAACGATGAACTCATAGAACCAGGCGGTAGATTCGATATGAGCTACACTAGAAATGGGCAGGCAACATTGTTTATTAATAAGTACGTTAAAATTATTTATTTACAAAATTACTTTTAATTAATTGGCTTTTTTGCTTGCTACGAAATAACTTGCTTTTAATTTTTTTTGCTTTGAATTTGGCTTAGTTGCCTTAATGTTTGTGTGTTCTAAAGTAAAATATATTGCTTAGGCATGGCAACATAATTATTATATTAACCAATGTTTCTGAAACAAATATTTATTTCACTAATTTAGTTAAATTATTATTTTTATGATAAAAGTATGTAGTTTATAAACTTATAACTTTTCAGAATGCTGGAGAGAGATGTGGGATGGTACGAAGCAGTAGCTAGAAATGAACATGGAGAGGCAAGGCAAAGAGTTCGTTTGGAAATCGCTGAAATACCTTACTTTATTAGAAGACCAGAGATTGATTATTGTATGCTTAGAGGTAAAGCAAAATTCGAAGCCAGAATTGTAGGCGTTCCATATCCAGAAATCAAGTGGTATAAAGACTGGAAACCATTGGCACCATCCACAAGAATAAAGGTGAGTTTTCTTTATCTAATTTCGTATTTATCTTGCAACCACAGATGCAAAATAATGTATTTATTTGGAAAATAAAAACTCAAAGTCTTAACAACAGAAATTTTATTAAATTACATTATTTAACGTATAATAGTATTTTGCCATTTTTACAATACTTATAAATGCTTTTATTTGTAATTTATGCTATAAGTTCAAGAAAATGAAATTCAAAATTAGTCTATTAGTCTATACTGGTTGAAACTCAAAAGCATATTCTTATATAATATTTTAAAAAATGAGTAAAGAGAACCGTTGTGTTTTTTTACTCTGCTTTTGATCCGCATTTTATGATGCTGCCGTTGAATGATGTAATAATATTTTGTTGTCAACGAGGGTGGATCAATTATGAACCGACCTTTCCGGCCTGCGAGTAATATTTACGCAGGAGAGTGGTAAGGAAATCTGTGGTAAGGAGTTATATGAGGGGGAGGGTAGTCTGATGTTTCACGATATGCCAGTACCTGTCTTAAGTGTCCTGCAGCTACACACAATTCAGTGGGTATTACGATGACCGAGAGACCAGTCTGACCAGTACCAATTTCTGTTACGCAACACATCGTCATCAAATTTCTCACCAACTCCGAGCTAGTTTTAGTCTAGAATCATAAATTACAAAATTAATAATTAAAAATACGATTACTTTAATTTGTAATTGTCCTGACAGAAAACAAGTGAGCGATTAAAAGTTGCAAACATAATGAAGAGAAGGTTTGTAATTATGTTAGTTATTTCAAGATACAATTTATTACAATATAACATCATTATTTTTAAATTAATGTATCAACTCCTGTAGAATCAAAATTAAAAGGATACTTACGTAAAAATAAAAAAATGAGGGTAGCTTAAAATTTTTCAGAAGTAATATTTAAATGGCAAAAAGAAAAAACGTCGAACATCCAAATGGCAACATCGAGTCAGTTAAATAAGATGACTTAAAGTAAAATATCGTAAAAGTATCCTCCTCTGCACAAGCAATGATGGAAGGTTCGAGGAAATACGAGTACACCTCATAACTAAACAAACATATACAATAGTAAATATTAACAAAATTATCCATTAATCAATAAAAATCAAGCCATTAAAAACATATAATAGTTGTAAAACTGGAAGAAAATAGTTTAACATCCACGTGCAATTAATTTAAATTCTTTGATACTACATATTTAAAATAGTAATCATACTTTCTCTAACATGTCTGATAATGGTCTGAGACCAAAACAAAAACTGGTAGTTTTATTAAAATTTCTACCGTTAAGACTTTCAGTTTTTCTTTATTGAAGGACAATATTTTTAAAAATGAATAACCTACTTACTCTTAGTTATGTATTTATTCGTACTTGGGGTCTGTAAGAGGGTACAAACCTATAATGTATTCCAATAATATATTTTTTTATTTTAGATTGCATTCATCGAACCTGATATAACAGTATTAACAATTCATGACCTTATTTTGAAAGACGAAGGCTTGTATTCAGTGAGTGCTCGTAATGTTGCTGGATCGACATCGGCCAGCGCTATGCTCTACGTCGAAGAAAACGAGCAAGAATATAAACTAAGAAACTATTCGAATTTGGCTCCGATTAGACCTAAGAAACGTACTTACACTGATTTCTACGATATCGGAGATGAATTGGGACGAGGAACGCAAGGAATTACATCGCACGCCGTTGAAAGACTTAACGGTAAGTACTTGGTATAATATTATGGAGTTATAATTCTGATATAACGAAACTTAATATTTTTGACAATAAACAGTACAATCACTGGTTAACAAATCTGGACCAGTGATAGTAAATCATCTGAGATTGATGTATCAAACTTATTTAAAAATAAAACACAGGTGCTCGTGTCAAATCTAGACGTATCTACAGTTTTGTGATATTATCAGCTGTTGTAAAAAAATAGTTATATTTTTGTATATACTTATTTATTAAAAGAGAACAAAACTAATAATTCTTTAGATTAGTCATTAGTAAAGATTTCGTTTCCAGTTTCTCAAGTATCCATCTTAAATCGACAAACATTAATTTTTTGTGTAAAAGTGCTTTTACCCACCGCCGATGATTGGGCGTTGCTACCCACTAAAAACATCCTATACTTATATTTCGTTTCACTTGGAAAAGCTTGGAGAATGCGTATCATGAAGTCAACGAGGTGGTATCTTCATATAACATGTCTTATCTACCTTTTTGTAGTTTTTTATCCTTTTCCTTACATTTCATGATATCCAATATTGCACGTTTAATAAAATTATGTCGTAATTGGTTTGAGACAAGAGCATTGTTTTCATTATGATTTCGGTTATTGTGTATCTGCAAAGTGTGGACGGTGGGTTTACCAACAACACTTAGGCCATTTGGCATCTTCCTAAGTTAATAGGCACCTCTTAGCTCATGAGCCAGCCTATAGATTTGATGTAGTTGACAACGTCGCTTCTCTTATATCGGCCGGTGTTAGCCATTTCTCGCCGAACAAAAATCTTCTAATAAATGAGAGGCAATCTTAAACTGTATGCTCAATGGTCTCCTTTTTTGTTTGCTCCCCCTGTAGAGAAGGAGACAGATCCACGCAATGGAGATGCTTTCGTACTTGACAATGACAGGCAAAATCAGCAAAACGGTTACCTCTCGATGTGGCGTGACCTTCAATCCAAAGTTTTATGGCATTCTAGTACTAACCCTCAGTAAATTTGTGGTCTCTTCAGGATAAGTAGTGCTTGTCTTCTATCTGTATAGGTGAGAATGTTTCTCCCAGTGATATTGTTTCTGCTATGAGAATCCACGTGACCTCAGTTTAAACTGCATTGGCAATATCGCTCACATACCATTTTATATTCACGTTTAAGCATGAATGGCTTTATTTTAAGTGACTATTTTTTTCTCCAGTTCTAGCTATTGTGATTTCCAAATATTATTTTTTTTTTACTTTTTTAAAGTCATGTTTGCATATTTTACTACTTTGTGATGTTGGTTTATTATTTAGTATTCTATTTTTTCATTTAGCTCTAGTCTTATAATTTTTTCTTTCTCTATAACTTTGTTCTAGACGTTTTTCAAGCTTTTTTGTTCTTGCAATGACCATTATGTCATCTGTCATATTTTAGTGACAGGTTGAACACAGTAATACTTCTTTATTAATTGTGAATTCTTCCATTCCTCCTTTGACACTGCTATTATACCAACTTTTACACTTTACATTAACCATGGTAGGGTACCCTTCTTTAATTTTTGTATTGGTAACATAGTGTCTAATAATTAAAGTATTTTAATTTAAGTATGATTGTCGAGCCTCTCCTTGTTTTTCATCAGATTTTTTTAAAATACTTCCTTCAGCAAATCTTGGTCTCTATCATACCAAGAAGCATTTACCATATCATTTAATGTTCAATTTTAAAATGTTTGGAGATATTTGGTGCATCTCCCAAACTTTAAACCATATACACCGAAAGTTTTTATTACTTGTTTTTAGAACTTAGAACAGCATTATATTTTGAATGCAAAGTCGGTTACTTATTTCTAATAGCCAGTGTATTTTATTTTGAACTAATTCGTTTTCTTTTTAATATGCTACTTCCACTTTAGCATAGTAATTAAATTTAAACCAATATATTTGACTATTTTCTTATTGAATAATAAGTTTTTGTAATTGTTTACTGATATGCCATCTGTCTTTCGGTAAGTGAAGTAACGTGAACAAATTTGACCTCATTTAATTTTATTTTTCGCTGTTTTGGTCAAGAATTAACTTCATTAATTGCTCTTTTTAAATTTTTAATTGTTTCTTTAGGGGTTGCTACTTTTTAAGTACATTCTTTTTCTGGGGAATGCCATGTGTACACTTCCCTAGTAGTAAGTTAACGTGGTCATTTAGGTGTCAACCCCCAGGCAAATCTCCAGATGCGCTCCAAAGTTTAAAATTATCTTGTTTTCTGGTTTATTTATAAAATTTCTTTTTATTTCAGGCCGTAACTATGCTGCCAAAGTTATGTATGGTTCAGGTGACTTAAGACCATGGATGTACAATGAATTAGATATTATGAATGAACTTCGCCATAAGAAGCTTATTTCGCTTCATGATGCCTACGAGACCGATGATTCGTTGGCGCTAATTCTTGAGCTCGCGTCCGGTGGTGAATTAGTAAGAGATTATCTGTTAAAAACGGATTACTACACAGAAAGTGACATCGCCGGATTCATGAGACAGCTGCTTCAAGGCCTGGATTATATGCACGATCGAGGATATGCTCATATGGGCTTAAACGTATGTTTATTTAAATATTATTATATTTGTAATGTTTATTTTGTTTATTATGATCCGAGTTAATTCCGTTTATAATTTGAAACTGCCAACGTAAATTAGTTCAAAGTAACTGTCATTTACAACGAAATCTTTTTGTATAAATAGATGGTGAAGTTTAACCAGGCAAAACAAAGTTTAAAAATGTTAACTCCTTTTGTTTGCAAAAAAGTATCAAACGGCAGTCATGAAAGAAGAATTTTTGCAGTGCCTGTATTACTATATAGAGTGAACGGTGTTTGCCTTTGTAGCTCTTATTCTTCACCAGGTATCCAAAAAAAATATCTATTTTATTGCAAAACATTTTACTTACTTTATTCGAACCGCCTACAAAAAGACTTTCGTTTATAACGACCATTAAAACAAGAACAACAGTTGTGCCAACTTGAAAATTATAAAAAAACACTATACTCTGTTTTTAAACTTGGAGGAGCGAATTGAAAAGACGCTTTTACACAGGGAAAAGTAACTAGATTTGTTACTAAGAGCGAGTTTCGAAATATAGTCGTGTTCAAAATTTATGAAATAATTATCTTTATCGACCTTAGTTGGTGAACGGTCAATGAGCGGTTAAGAAACGAATAAATATCATAGAAGTAATTTTTTAATTGGTCCCAAACAACGGTCACAAATTTCACATTATTGTGATCTGAAATGTGTGTCTAAAACGAAATGTCACTGTCAAATTAAAGTCAATATGGTTGTTGATTGATGTCAGAAATACTTTTTTCTTGCTTTTGAAATCGACTTTTTGAGAATAACTATGATCTTTTTAAAATGGATATTAAATATTTAAGAAAATTGTTAATGGAATATCCAGATGTAGCCAGGTTAGTATAAAATATAAAGATCTGTTTACATTTTTAAGGATATATTTGTTATAGGTATAAAAATAAAAGTTAATCAGTGAATGACCATTGGATCACACAGTAACTGGTATCTCTTCTATGAGTAATGTGGATATTATGGCTTATTTAGTGTTAACCCATGGTTAATGAGCTAGAGGGCAAATAAAAGCATTCAAAAGTTTACAGGCCTATGAGTCAGAATTTGTTTTGAAAACTGGAACCAACATTTTCATAACACTACATGTCAACATATATTTTTTAAAGTGAACTAATCATACATACCTATGTATTAATTTTAAGTATTTCTAAAATATTTTTTGTGAAAGTAATGTGCCAAATTAAGATTATCCCTAAAGTAGTAGATGGTGTTTTAAATGTTTTAAATTTTGTAAATAGTTTTATTCTATTCTAATAAATAAAATTTGCTTGAATATTTAGTTACATTTTAATCATTTTGGTTAGAAATTCATTAATTTTTAGTTTTAAAAAATCAGTAATAAAATTATTTTTTTCTAAAATACTTCGGAATTCATCTCTTCATGGTAATCTCGCATCTTTTTAGCTTCAAAAACCAATAATGCATTTTCTACAAAACCTTCAGAATCAGCATGTAAAACAATAAGGTGTCTTCCCTTTCTTGTAAGGCTTTTCAGAAATTGCTACCTTTAATAGTACTCAGTGTAGAAGGATCCATAATTGTAGATTTTCAATACAATTGCTTACTGAAGAACTATTATTTACGAAATAAAGTAAAAAACTATGTAATGGATGAGATATCAAATTATAAAATGTCAGAACGGTCAACAATATCAATTATTAGCTGATGTTCATGCTAAAAAGTAATGTGTGAAACTGACTGTAATCTGACCAATCAGAAGGCTACAGAATTGCCAACTTAAATTTAAATCGCTCCTCTTAGTTTAAAAACAGAGTATAAGTATGTAGAAATATAAAGGAGGTTCACTTTGTCATAAAATAAAATTATTAATTATAACACATCCCCTCAATTTTACAACCTTGTAAACAATAAAAAAAAATATTTTAACATACATTGGGGTCTATTCTGTAAAAATTCCTTTATATTTAACGACCTTTAAAAATATTGGCGGCCTTTAAAAGTATATTTGTATTCGTTAATTTACTTCTGTCATTATTTAAACAGATTTCTTTAAGATAGTACTCTAATGTATTTTAAAGATCTGTTTAAATAATGACAGAAGTAAAGAAGAAAATATTTTTAAAGGCCGTTAAATATAAAGGAATTGTTACAGAATAGACCCCATTAACATTTAACTTTTCTCTATAATTAACAAATTTGTTTTCAATGTGTGTGCTACTTGCTCATTACGTTGTACATATTTAATCAGAATCTGTTTATTAGTGACTAAGTCCTTAACAAAGAAATGTTTAACGTCAATGTGTTTAGACCGTTTAATTTACAAATGTATTAGCAATTTTATTTCCAGTCTAGTTATCTTCAAAAGTAGTTATTGGAAAAACATTATCGATTAGATCATTTAACAAGTTACCTACAATAAAATATTTAGTAAAACATGATGATAATGATACATATTCAGCTTCGCTACTGAATATTGCTACTACTGATTGCTTCTTTGAATTACAAAATACCGTATTGTCATTAATCTTTACAATAAAACCAGTTGTACTCTTCACTCTTTGTTTCACTAGCAAAATCTGAATGGGCAGAAGCAGTAACATTAATTTCATTATTTCGAATACGATGAAACAGGAAGATGAAGTTTCTGTTATTTTAAAAATAAAAAAAAAAAAAGTTTTAAAGTGTATTTCTATTACTACACCTAAGAAAAAAACAATATTTACTCTACCAAAATCCCTTATTTCCATTTTAAACCTTAGCTTCTTTTAATTTTTGATACTTCATCATCTGTAAATTTGAAAATAACATGAAATCATCAACCCACATAAAAAGAAAGGTATGTTAAGTGCAATACGAACAAGGATCAACTTTTGATCTTTTCAAATTTAAGTCCAGTTTATTTATTAAATTGATCCAACATTTAAGGCTTTGTCTTAAACCATATAGAGCTTATTAATTTACATACCTTGCCTGGAATATTATTTAGTACACCCTCATGTGGTTTCATATATAGTACCTGGTTTAGATCACTCTTTAAAAAAGCTGAACGAACATATAGTTAATGTGTACTTCAATTATTTTCTACTCATAATGACAGTAAGATTCTTAGTGTCATCATCCGTGTTACAGGTGCGTAGACTTCTTCATTTTCGAGTTGTAGTTGTTAGTCCCTCTTGCAACTAGTCTTGCTTTCTTCTTTAAGTTGCCATTCACCAATTATTTTTGTCGGTGGGATTTTCAATTTCCAGGTTTCATTTTGCTCTAACTCTTTCATTTCTTCCTTAATTGCTACTTACCATTCTCCGTCCATTTTTAATGCTTCTTTATAAATTCTAGTCATTTCGTCAGGTAAGTTACCCGCTGATAGTGCTAGCATTATGTCTATCTCATAGTCAATTAAATATGTTGGCATTTGCCTTCTTCTATACCCTATTTTTAACCGACTTCAAAAAAGGAGGAGGTTATCAATTCGTCGCGATATTTGTTTTTATGTATGTTCAGCGATTATTCTTTAACACGGTGTCCGATTTTAATTATTCTTTTTTTGTTAGAAAGGGGGTACTTCAAGGGAGGTCCCATATAAATTTAGTCAAAATCTAATAATTGGGTCCATGAGAAAATCCTCAAACTCTTCATTTTTTATGTATGTTTAGCGATAATGCTTTACGACCTTGTCCGATTTATATGATTCTTTTTTTGTTAGTAAGAAGGTACCTCAGGGGTGGTCCCATATAAATTTGGTTAAGATGTGGTGATGGCATCTGCACGTTTTTGAAGTCGGTTTTTTTAAATTTTTAATTTCTAATACTTGTTAAACTAAGAGGAGCGATTTGAATTTAAGTTGTCGATTCTGTAGACTTCTGATTGGTCAGATTGCAGTCAGTCTTACACATCACTTTTTAACATTAACATCGTCTTATTCAATTACTGTCAGTTATTGATATTTCTGACATTTTATATCTTTAGTTTTGTTATTGCTTACATCTCTTTGATATCTTATCATTATCACTTCTACTTTTTTCGTTAATAACAGTTTTTCAGAACTTCAGTAAGCAATTATATTGATTTTCTACGATTATGGGCAGCAGTTGCTATGACATACATTTGCTCTTAACCCCTCATTGGCCGTTCGCCGACTAGGGCCGAAAATGATAACTATTTCATAGATTTTAAACACCACTATATTTCGGAATACGCTCTTAGTAACGAATCTAGTACATTTCCCTGTGTAAATACGTCGTTTCAATTTGCTATTCGTAGTTTAAAAACGGAGTATAGTACTTCTCTTTTATTTTCTTGTACTTCATTTCTATCTATTTTATAGTATACTTTATTTTACTGTTCGTCTTTTCTTATTTCTTCAGTTTCTTTTTCTTCGTTATTTAGTCCTACCTGTATCTTTTGCGTTTCCTTTATATTTGATATTTCATTAAAAATAACTGATTTGGCAGATACTACCCTATCATTTTCATGATTATACACTCTGTAACTATTGTTACAGTAACCAAAAGATGTTACTTCTTTGAGTGTTTATCAATACTTCTATTTTCTTTCGATACATTTAGATATGCTTCACATCCAAAAACTCTTAAGTTGTTCCAAATTTGACTTAAAACCATACCATAATTCTGCTGGAGTGAATTTTTTGGGTAATACACTAGTTTCCAGTCGGTTATTTAAGTACGCTGCTATCAAAACTACTGCATCTCCCCAAAACATTTTATCTAAGTTAACATTAAAAATTAAATAACTTCATATTCAAGAGAATTCTATTGTATCTCTCCGCAATTGTATTCTTTTTTTTTAAATAAGTCGATATGTATTGACATCCATTGTCACATCGTAAATACTGTATTTTGATACCAAATTGTGATTCAACACATTGTCTAAATTTATCCAGTACTTTACTTTTATTTTTTATTAAGAATATGATGCTAAAATATGTATAGTGGTCAATAAATTTAACAAAATTGTTTATACCCTCTTAACGTTGAGGTGTCACCTTAACACAAACATCAGAAACAATTTGTAATGGCCTCTTAGCTTTTACATCATCAGAGATTTAACAAATGGTTTTCTTGTCTGTTTACCTTGTAGACATATATAAAAAATACTAAGAATGTAGAAATATTAAGATACCCTAGATTTAAAAGAAACTGAATAGCATATTATATTATACTTTGTTTTTTGATTATAAACCAAAAGTTTTTCGCAACTCTATACTGATTGCATCTAAACTATTTTTATTTCCTCAGTATTAAACTGCAACATTTTTAAAATAAATATCCATTACAAAATCTTTCTTATTTACCTAATTTTTTTATAGTTGGGAGATCTCCTAATCTCACATCCAGGTGGAGACGATCTCAAAATCACAGACTTCAGCCTCTCAAGAAGAATTCAACACGGTAACTTCTACCCTCTAAAGTACGGTATGCCGGAGTATGTAAGTCCTGAAGTAATCAATGGAGATGGCATTGGTTACGGTCAAGATATGTGGAGTGTCGGTATCATCACATACATCCTGTTATCTGGAAGATCGCCTTTCAGAGGTGACAATGACAGAGAAACTTTAACGAATATCAAAGCCGGCAAGTGGATGTTCGAAGAAGAATGGTGGTCGAAGATCAGTGTAGAAGCCAGGGATTTCATCAGCAGGTTATTGGTTTATGATACTGAAGGAAGAATGGATATTAGAACTGCCTTGCGGCATCCTTGGTTGGAGAGAGCTGATAAGAGATATTCTGATGACTTCCAAATTAGATCTACGTACCTTAACGATTATTGGAGACTATACAGGTATGTTTAGTTATTAAGTTCATTATAGTTAGTTAGGTGGTTGTAATTTATGTATAGGATTAGTACTTGTGGTTTACTTTTGGCACACTAGAGGATGCTGGCTTAAGTGAGGCTGATTATGCAAAAGAAATATTTTGTGTCGTTGTTTCCAAAAGGATGCAGCAAACACTAAATATTATCGAACAATTGGGCCTAAAAGACGGATTCTTCACAAACCCATTGAAAACTTTAGTTGTTTCCCCTATCTAAAATAGAAACCTTTGAGAAATAAAGAATCTTTATATGTAGAGACAAAGTCTTAAATTTGCAAAAAAATGTCTGCAACCATATAAATAAAAAACAAATATAAATCAATGGCTCAGGTTGTAGTACTTATTTTAACCTGATCATTAGTCATACGTTGAATAAGGCTAGAATCGCAATAGCTTAAAAAATTAGTAAGGGTATAACGACTGACCTATCTAATAGTAATACTGGCTTTTTAAAGTACGTTTGTTTCACCAGTGGAACTGCTGGGGCTTCATACATTACAACTTTTAGTGGAAAAAAGACTATAGTGGCGGCATCCAGGCTGTTCAAGAATAGATTTTAGAAACTTTTGACAAAAGAATACTATATAATATTAGAATACATTAAAACAGAATCCGGTGTTTATAATGGATAGAATAACTATAATTCATAACCCTATATTGTAGTAATTATAGCAAGAAATAATAATAATAATAATAGGACTTCATTAAGAAAACTGACACTGACTACAAAAGTCTTGCTAATTAAATCAATATTTCAAAACAAAAACAACTTATTCGTTAAGCTTTGACTGCCTTGTATGTAATCTGCGTCTCGTATTCCTTAACAAAAGAAACACGTCCAGATATTTAATCCCCTAAAATACTAAGTCTATTTTTATACAATTATTGACTTAATTGCGATTGTCCCCCACAACAAACATATAGTAAAATTAAAGAATAAATCTCAGCAATCTTATCAGCCACCGTCGCCAGATTTTCTAGACTGTCGTTATTGATACTAAGATGGCAAGAACAGTATTTTGCAGTTTTTGCAAAAACATAGTGCTAAAAAAAAATCATCTGTAAATTTGTTATCTGCTCATTTTTATTTCTCTTAATGGTTTTTTTCTTTGGCTTATCTGACTTTGTCTCCGACAACACTAAAGCCTAAAATGGTCTATTGTTTTTATCCCCTATTGATTATTAGTAGCCAATCTGTCACCTTACTCCCTTGTACAAGTTCTTGATAGAGTGTATTCTATAGGTTATTGGATTAACCTGTGGTTGTTTAAAAAGTGCCGGTCTTTTGCGATTTATTGCCTCGCAGTTGCACAGTATGTGTTTGGATGTTTCTGGTTCCTGGTGGTAAAATTGAAACAATAAGTCTTCATTATACATGCCTATTTTGTTCACGTGTCCCTTTACTGGGACATGCCCAGTAATGGGTCATGTTGTTTTCAGCTAGTTCCTATTCATGGAAAGTAGTTCTCGTGTTCCATTTGCACATGGTCTTTCTATAAAGATCTTCCCCTGTACTTGTTTTGGGATATTCTCCCAATAGTAGTTGTGTTTTTTTTGAACCTAGTCATTTATGAAACCTCGATCTGTACGTTTTGATACTCCAAGGTTTATATTTGGTTCCGGTATTTCTTCTGGCCCTCTCTCTGCGAAATCATTAGTCTTTTTTTTCCCTTGATCCCTTGAAGACCGAACACCTCAACTAGTTTTACTTTGTCAGTATTCTCAGTTCTTCGATGCAATCCCATACCTGCCTTTACGTCACTTTCTGTCTTGAAATGGCCCTATGGGTCGCCTGACTGTCTGACATTATTTGGATCTACTAATTTGAAATGGCTTTCCTATCGTTTGTTATTGGACATTGCAACATTGTATAAAGCTCAGCCTGAAATACTTTAGCGTATCTTCCTATTGCATAGCTAAGTTTGGTGTTGAAGTTTTTGGAGAATACTCCAGCTTTAGTGCCTTTCGCAGTCTTTAACCCGTCTGTTTACAGGGTATGTTACCGTCGCTGAGCAGTGGGTTTTCTTATAGTGATCTCAGTCCCGTTTTAAATTAAAACCTCAACTGGAATATTTAGGGAGTAACGTTTGGTTATGTGATCTGTTCTTATGTCTAGCACTAACCTTGTGATACTAATATATCCTGGTCTAATATTAATAATTTTTAAGGTATTCACTAATCTGTAAACATTAATCTTGTCTCCCCTTGTATCACAAGTGGTTGCAAGCCAATTAGTACCTCCGTTGCTGTAGAGGGGGTTGTTTTCATTTCCTTTGTTATTTCAAGACAAGAGAGTCTTTTTATCTTGCTTAGTCTCGTTAATATCGCTCTTTGTTGTGTCTTTGGTCACCATACCAAAGCTGATTATGTTTTTATCGATCTTACCACAATATTGCATGTCCAGTATACTACTCGTATACGTGGTTACAGTCCCCATTTTTTCCAGAGGAACGTCTTGTCATCACTGTGATGTTTCCACTTTCTTTGTTGTTCTTTCTAAATGTTGACTTTAGTAGTACTTCAGTCTTATCTTTCTAATTTTCTTCTATCTTAAAAGTTTTATAGATTTTAAAGCCTTCGTTCTCAATGAAGTGAAATAATCGTGCACATTGTACCGCTTCTGCCAGAAAAGGAGCTGAGAAACTTCCTGGACCAGAACCTAAGTATATAACACGTTTGTCTCTGATTGGAACTTTTTAGACATTTCAAAATATACATAGAACTTCCATCCATAAACAGATAAAAAAAAACAACTGCTAAACCATAGGACTCTTCTGATTTGGCTTCAGAAGCTTATCATTCTTCAACTAAATCGCCATATTTGAAACATCATTAGGTAGCTCTGCATTCCGTTTAAAGAAACCATTTAGTAATTAGTATCTGGCTTATGATTTATTTTGTATTGTGATGGTTTTATAAATAAATACATTAGATAATTATTAAGGTATTTATTCTCAAACCGTTATTCTGACAAACTGCCACTAGACGACTCTTCTATATCTACATGGCCTTTAACATCTAACAACTTAGCCTTATACATCTAACTACTTAACATCTTGATTTCTTTAAACAAATAAAACTAAACAAAATGGAACAAAATAATATAAAAATAAAATAAAACAATTTCTTTGAAGAGAGTTTTTGATTATTTCTTATCTAGTGGGAGCCTTTACAATTCGCCCTGATCTAGGTTACTTATGGTTTATTTCCTTTTCTACCTCTTTCTCCTTAGCTTCTTCTTCTTTTCCACGGTCACTACTTTCTGTATCACTTAATCCATTGCTTTCACTAGACTTGTGCAATGTCTGTGAGTACATTCAGGTCATTCAGTGTCATTTTCATTAAACAAATGAGTATTCAGTGTACTGTCTTTAACTTTTTTAATAAAAGTTCTGTTTCTTATTAATTCTGATCGCTCCTTTGTTTTAACATTGTAGATTCTATTAAATAATGGTCCAGTCTCCTTTTGGTTTTAGTTGTACTATTATTTTGTCTCCTATTTAAGTTCATTCAATGCGTTAACTTCTTTTTTATAAAAATATTTTTCCTGCTTTTCTTTATTATTTCCCAATATTTGGTGATATTTTTTCCGATTTATTAGTTTGGGAATTAATTCGTTTTCCATAGTGGGAATATTGGTTCTTAGTTTTCGACTCATTAATATTTGAGCTGAAGAAAAATGTTCACCTTTTGACATGTTTCGATATGTTAACAGAGCTAAATGTATTTTTTCTCTTCCAAGATTTTCTTAAACATATTTTTTAGTCTGTACATTTCTTTCTGCCATACCGTTTGATATTGCATGAGTTGAAGAAGTCCTGATATGTGTAAATTCCCATGTTTTACTAAAATTCCTAAAAATTTCTGATGAGAACTGTGGTCCTCCATCAGTAAAACATGTTACAGAAATACGATGTCTTGCAAATTTCGATTTTAAATAATTTATTATTGTTAAACTAGTTGTATTTTCAATAAGCGTTTCCACTTCTATATATTTACACTAGTAATCCACTATTAGCAAAAACGTTTTCCCATTAATTTCGAATAAATCACAGGCAACTTTATTTCATGGCAAAAGATTTATTTCATGTGATTTTAATGGATCAGATATTTGCGATTTAGAGTATTTTTGGCACAATATAACATGTTTCCACTGTTGATTATATTTCATTTTGCATTGTTGGCCAAAATACTGACTCTTTAGCTAATTTTAAACATCTTTTATATCCTAAATGATTATAATGAATTTTCCATTTTAGTTCTTTTCTCAATTTTAATGAAATGATCATACTTTGTTCTTTGAAAACTCAATCATCTACTATTTACCTCTTAATTATTTTATTTGACTCTACTGCATGTTTAGCATCCATTTTTTATTTAATTTTATTTTATATGGTTTGTTCAAACAACCAATTCAAACATATCCTTATATTTTTTATCATATTATTTTGTGTTTGACTTAAATTTATATTATCCAGCTTTTTAATTATATTTAACTTTAAACAAAAATTTATTCATAATATGCCAGGAGTATTGGACTCTTTTATGTAAAACTTTAATTTGTATTTTTTCTCTCTTCTTATACAAAGTATCTCCTTTTATTGAGTCACCTGTATTCTATTTTAGTTGTGTCCTAGTTGGTTGAATTGTTATATTATACAAATATAACTTTTTTAGATGCTCAACAGACAGAACATTACACATTGCACCTGTATCACCTTTTAATTTTAACATTTTGTTATTTACCTGCACATTAGTAAAGCAACAGTTATTTATTTTTATTATTTTGAACAGTATCAATAAAAAACGCTAATTTGTACTTTTGTGTCACTTTCATTTTTTGCGACTTCATGTAATTTTTTATTTTTACAAACAACTAAAAAGTGATTTTTCATCTTACATATTGTACAAAACTTTCCATATGCCATATTTTGTGATTTCTTCCACATTTTCCACATGAGATTACGAACTTATTACTATGTTGGACATTTTTACCTTTATTATATTTATTTTTAAATCGTTTATTTTGTATTAAGTCACATATAATGATAATGATGATGCTGTTGACTCTTCTTCCATCTCTTGGGTTTGTTATGTTTCTGTGATTTTATACTGATATATAGCTTTATCTAAGGTAAAAGCGTCATTTTGTAGTAATTTGTTATGGATTTCATTATTTTTCACTCCATAGGGGATCATGCACTTTACCAAACTGTCGTGCAGTGTCCCTTTCTTGCACTTTTGTGCCTGCTCTATTAACTTTGTTATAATTTCTTCTAGGTTTTGTCCTTTTATCTGTTTTTTTTTTTAATGATTATATATCTCTCATATTTTAAATTTTCTTTTGACAGAAAATAGTTTTCTAAATTTTTCAGTAGTACTTCAGTCTTGTTTTTCTAATTTTCTTCTATCTTATAAGTTTTATAGATTTTAAAGCTTTCGTTCCCAATGTAGTGAAATAATTTTGCACACTGTACCGCTTCTGTCTTTTTATTTGCCTCGGTTGCGGTTAGTTAAGTTTTAAATCTGCTTTTCCACATTATCCAGTTTTTAGCACTTAAGTTCTCAATGGACATATGCCTTTATTCTCTTCCATTATTTTATTTTAGTTTATCTTTTCCACGTTCCTTTTTGGTCTTTTCTTTTTATTATTATTTTAAAATACTTGCTTTGTCTTAATTGGACTGCGCCATGTTAATTGGTATCTGGCTTATAATTTATTTTATATTGTAAGGGTTTTATAATTAAATAAATACATTGGATTATTATTGGTATATTTATTAGAGAGCTGAAATAATGTTATGAACGTAAACGTATACGTGAAATTTGACATCTGCGCATGCGTATTTACATCTCAGAGTAAGTAAGTAGTAAAGAGAGGACAGTAAACAATGTTTGTGTCGCCATGATAATATGGTCGAAAATTCTAATTAGAGAGAAATAGATTAATATCTCTATCTCTTTATTTGTATTTGTCAGTTTGACAAAGCTTTTCTCAGACAATTATTCCAGTGTTTAATTTAAATTTGTTCTTGTTGTGGTGTTAAAAGTAATTGTTATTAATATTATATTCATAACAAAAAAGTCATATTTTGTTTTCACTTCATTAAAAATGCGCCTACCTACCTTTTAAAATATTTTATTTTATATTCTACTTGGTCAACATTTTCGCATTTAAAATGACCCAGCGAAATTGTTTTACGGTACGCTACTGCTGAGAATTCTAAAACGAGTGAGAAAGCCTTCATTAGAAAGAGAGATACTGATTATATGATAGCGAGATTAATATTGTATAACTTTATGTAGTGGTGGCCTATCTGCTATTATATTATCTAAGATTTACATATCCTTCACGTACATACTTAAACTTAAGGGCTTTGGCGTATACACGTAACGCAAACAAAATAACCTCTTTTTAAATGGAAAAGAAGAAATGCCAATATAAATTGTCATTAATTGTCATTATCTGACATGACACGTAAATGTCATGATGCGTTTAACACACATACTTTGATTACTATACGGGGCAAGAGAGAGGTCCGACACGCCCAACATAGGTCGCGGCCATTTTGAACCCTATGACACAGTTTATAGCTAAAGAATCAGATCGCTCAATCTGCGTCGGCACTTTTTATCTCAATGTTCCAGTTTATACACTGCGCAACTCAGATAATACAATATATGACAACCGCCTGTAATAAAACAGCAGTCTTCTGCGTATCCTGAATTTGTATCCCTGGAGTGGATGTTATTTTGGAACTTTCAACTGGTCCGAGTGAGCTAACTGATTCTTTAGCAATACACTGTGACTCCAAAAATAATATTCACTGACACTGACAGCAGCAAGCAAAATATCAGGTACGTTTTAATCATCCGCTTCTGCTTCCGAAATTGTCGGTTCAGTCGTTCTAACCTGTCAGATTAAAACAAGAAAACCGACAATTCCGAAGAAGAAGCGGATGATTAAAACGCACCTATTAAAAATATTGCGCCAAGATGTAGGCAACATCTAATAAGGGTTCAAAATGGCGGAGTTTTCTATCTCCTTTTAAAAGGCACTCAGAAAGCTGCGCAGTGCGACCATTCTCCGTATAGTAAAAGAAAATCAAAGTATGTGGTTTAACAACTTCAACTCATAATGAGTTGAAGTGATGCTATAAACGTAAAAGTATACGTGACAATTGACATCTACGCATGAGTTTTTAAATATCCTTCACGTTCACGTCTACATACATATGTAAGCTTACGGACTCTGGTGTATGTACGCAACGCAAACAAAATAACCCCTGTTTATTTGGGAAAGAAGCATTCCTGATATTAATTGTCATTATCTGTCATGGCATGTAAATGTCACAATGCGTTTAATAACTTTAACTCAGATTTTGGACTTCAACGTAAACATTATATTTCTGCGGTGACGTTCACGTTTACGTTAACGTACTGGAAATACTTCAACTCTCTATTCTCAAACCATTATTCTAACAACCTTCCACTTAACTACTCTATATCTACTTGGCTTTTTATATCTAACTACTTGGCCCATTCACCATTCAAACTATTATTGAATAATCATATAAATGACAAATTAAAGTTCGTTACAATACATTAAATTACCAATTATTATAATAAAATATATTGTATTATGTTTTAAGATACATCCTGTAAACAACAGTTATAAAAATACTTCAGAATTCCCTTGACAAAGCTAACAATTAAATTACTTAACCTCCTTCGCGCCCGTATTGTATCTGCCAAGATATTTTTATACGAAGGTATTTGTCTATCATAAATTAAAATAGATCAGTTTCAAGTTTCAATTAACATCATGTCCACCATGGACAATTTACAAAAATATATTATGGAAAATAATAAAGAAAGAGAAGAAATAGAAGAAACATTTAAATATAACATTAAAGTGTACAATGGATCTGATAAATTAAAAGCTCACAAGAAACTGTACCACATCTCCGAATATGAATTGAATAAAATAGAGGTTCTTCTATCGTAAGTTTGTTTTTGTTCATTACTAATTTGGATATTTTTTAAAAGTATAAATACATTACATACAATATTGTAATCAGTTTGTTTGAAGCAGTTCTTAAATAACTTTTTTCGACAATTTTGTTTTTAAATAGCCGTCTTATGAGTTTCGTGTGAATATTTTGGATGTATAAGTGAGACAATTCCATACTGTGACACCCAACTTTTCGTTGTTTATACTTTCTTTTGTATACACAGGGTGACCCAATGTTATCGGTTTTATCCGGTTTATAATTTGAATTCTATGATGTAATGTGATTATTGTCATTTAGCTGGAAAATAGAGCATAGCAATTAAACCTAAGTTATATTAAGATAAAGATAAAAATAACGATAATATGAAAAATTAGAAAACAAAATTAGGCGCAACCAAATTTCCCTTAAACTTGGAAAAATACGGTGGATTTCCATATTCTGATTAATTGAACCTCTTAAATCAATCTTATATAAGATGTACGAAGAAAAAAGAAAAGATAAGTCTAAAATGTGTTCATATATGGGATAATAAAAAAAATATTGACAAATATGAAAAAGGTTGATGAATGAAATTTAGGATACAAAATTTCGGTTGCAGTGGTACATCCTTAGAGTCTGTTCAGTCCCTTACTGTTGCCGGTCTAAAATCACTGGTATCTATATGGGATCTGGAGCTTACTGGAACCAATAAAGTTGGACTACTAGAGAAAGTAAGACTGTATCTGGAGATATTTCTGCTCCTTGTGATACTACTACTCTCTCAAAAATACTACTGCATCTAAAGATACTACGATACTACTCTTGGAGTTACTAGGAAGTACTTAAAGCCGCCTGGATCTACTTGAAATCAGCAAGATACCATTTATCACCAGCACAATATACTATCAAAGAAGTAGATTAGATACACTAAGCTCGATAAAATAAATGGTGGCACAAATTGAACGATATCAAATTCTTGAACGGGCACTTCCTGACTCGAGGCCTGGCCATGAAAAAAAGCTAGCAAGCCACTTCGAGAAGCATCAGAACAGCATACCAAAGATGTTTTACGAATTCCAGTTGCGAGGCACAATATGCTAAGATGGATCTCGTAGAATTAATTGTAAAATATTCATGCAAACATTAATTAATTAATAAAACTTATTTAATTAAAAATTAATTTCACTCCATACCATCTAAGATTTCAGAGCATGATGATCTCGAAAATCCTTAGATCTACATATTCAGTAAAATGAGATGAACGTTACCTATTTAAGGAAATACTAAAGTTAAATTAGGTCTGTAATTCAAGACTAGTGAGACACTACGATCGATAAAAAAAATTGAAATATTTGTTAGTTGCGAGGCTTTTACCAAACTATTTTAATCCTTAACGTTAGGTTCATATTAATTTATTAATAAATTATTTTGTTTACAGAGAATGGTATGACAACGCTTCATGCAGGAGATGGTTCAGACGCAGGCCTTTGGAAGGAGCCTTTACTCATCCCTCAAAAATGGTATATCCACCAGGAGAATATGATACACCTAGATCAACTCCGACCCCATTGGATAGAACACCCAGAACCAGACAACCATGGGAAGATCAATTGCCAACAAGATCTCCTCTTAATTATGAAATCGGTGCTTTCAGATCAGAAAGTCAGTAAGTATAAAGAATGTTGTAGTGTATTTTGGTAATTCTTTTTTATAATATACTCACCTAACTAGTCGTATCTATGATAAAAAACGTCTTAAATATTAATTTTATTTAATTTAGTTATCAAAATGGACCAGACACATATCTTTTGCAATTGAGGGACGTTGACTTCCCAGTTCGTCTACGTGAGTATATGAAAGTGGCAGCTAATCGTGGACCCGGAGCAGGATACATCATTTCAGATGAAAATGGTTATGATTGGGCAGTAAGTAAAATATACAATAATATTAGTATTGAATCATCCACAAAAATGTTTCTAAAGTAGGTAATGAATAAAATTATATATAAAATCCTCCTTTTGTTTAATGAGAGTTTGGATTTAATCCTGATGCGTTTATAGTTATTAGGGACGTGACTCATCTCTTTGTCAGTCATTAATTGTTTTATGAATCAGTCGTTATTAAAATTATAAATTAGAACTCCGTGGAACATTAAAATTAATTTAATTTATAAAACCCAATAAAAGTATTCCTCATTATTTTCAATAAACTTGTTTCATCGTCTGTGTCTGTAAGAGGAGGAAAGTGTGTTGCTCCACAGTATTTAGGCTTCATAAGTTTCAATTTTTTTTATTAGTAAATTCTGTAGTGAGTGTTTGAGGCGTCAGTAATATGATATCAACACTTTTTGATGTATTGTTTAAACTTCTGTCTTTCGGCAATGTTAAAAAAATATCAAAATTTATACAAATGTCTAAAATTAAGCTGTAAAATATTGTAATTATTTACCTGTTGTTACCAAATGGCTGTATCATCCTAGCTATGTAGGCCAATAAATTATATAAAAAAAAAAACAGAACAACATGGATTCATAACGGGGTGGGTGGCTTAGTGGTAGAGTTCGAATCCTACCGTTGGCCGGAATTTTTTTATTTAATTTAATTATTTAAAATTAATTCTGATGCCTTGGTAGGATTCCCCACTTGACCATTCACTGTTGGGTTCTAATTAACAGTGCTGTTCCTAAAGTGGCGCTGGGAAACAGTAACAAAGCCTACACAGAACACGAAGCGAAATAACCTTAGCAGTTGAAGCCGATGACACAAAAAAAAACATGGATTCATGAAAGGCCGTTCCACCGTTACTAATCTTATAGCTGTAACACAGTACATTGCAGAAAATATTGACAATAGAATCCAGACCGATGTAATATACACCGACTTTTCCAAAGCGTTCGATCGGCTTGATCATGGTATCGTATTAAATAAACTTTCATGATGCGGTTTTTCTCAATCACTGATAAATTTATTTAAGTCTTACTTTTCCGACAGAAAGCAATATGTTCAGTTTAACGCTTTCAAGTCGGCTCATAATCTAGGTTCTTTGTTATTTAACATATTTATAAATAATATAAGCAATATTTTAGAAATAAATCTTAACTTTCTTCTATACGCCGATGATTTAAAGTTGTTCTGATATTTCGAAACGGTTGAGGTTTGGGAAAGGCTTTTAGTTAATCTGCGACGTGTTGAGGAGTGGTGTTTCAATAACAATCTTCCTCTTAACTCCACTAAATGTTGTGTAATGTATTATATCTTGAATAAATTCCCTTTAACTTTTAAATATAGCGAAAAATATAACACGATTTGAAAAATCGTTTTTTCAAAAAAATATTTTTTATTTAAACAGAGTTATAATTATGTCTTTATTAATTGAAAGCTAACATCAGACTAAAAAATGTAAAAAATAATCATTGTTAACACATGTATGCTGATAAAAGAAACTTGAGCTGCCGGCTGGTGGGATTCTTAGAATTTCTGGGCACTTCGGCAGTTTCTGTGATATAATTAGCGTTAACAACACGATTTTTCAAACACCAGTTACTGTCACAATTCTTCAAAGACCGGTTACCATCAAAGATCTTAAAATTACATTTGATTCCACTTTATCAATGTACAACCATATAGAATCAATGGTGTTAGCATCTTACAAAATGTAAGGATTTATCGTTCGTAATAGTCGTGATTTTAAGGAACCGAAGACACTAACATTATTGTATTATTCATTTGTCAGATCTAAACTTAAATATTCCTTAATTGTGTAAAGCCCATTTTATCAGTTATATATTGATAGAATTGAAACAGTCCAACAGGTTATTTTAAAGTCGATTTTTCATTTTTGATTCATAGTTTTAATTTTGCAGTTCCTCTAATGCTTCCAGGAACACCCGTACATTTTAGTTGAATACACCTAGAACAAATGTTCTTTTCAAATCCCCTATATACGCCATGTGTAATAATTATGAATTAGTTAGTTGTCAGCTTGATTTGTTTTATAGTTTAATTTATAATATTAGGTGTTATTTCTATAAGAATGTTATCTGAAATCCTTATTTTTGCGTATATTCATGAAATGTTAGAAAACTAATTCTCTTAGCTTTTTTTCTCACCTGCTGCTCAATCAATTAGTATATAATTTCTACATTAAATTGTGTTTATATATTTATGTACTCTCAATCTGTCTTGACCTGTTGAGTAATGTAATAAAAAATAAATAAATAAATAAATATTAAATTATGCATCCTCCAAGGAGAGAACCTGCCTCTCAACTTATTAAAACCTGCTAGTTTCCGCTGAGAGGTATCTAGAGACAACCATCTTCTCAGCTCATCAAAGTCCTGCAGGTTATCAACTTGTCAAAAAACTGCTGGTTAACAATGATTAGATTCTACAGACAGCCATCTTCTTCGGTCATCAAACTCCTGCAGGTTATTAAGTCATCGAAAACAAGTGTAGCTTGGGGGATATTTATGGATAGCCAGCCTCTTAGGTCAAAGTCTTGTAGGCTAATAATGTCGCCGAGAGATATATCTAGATGCCTCATTTTTGGAAAGTGGCCAATTGGTGGGCTTCTACCACCCCGATGGTAACTTCCCATGATACTATTACTCGAGAAGATAAGCCCACTTGACGATCCAATTTCGACCACGTTTGCGCATGACATCACCCGATGACAACAATCCAGCTCGTGGGCATGGAAAAGCATTACGTTAGATCGGTTTTAATCAATATTTTATGTTTATTTATTATAATATTGATATATTATTTTTATAATATTGATATATTATTTTTATAATATTGATATATTATTTTTATAATATTGATATATTATTAAATTAAATATTTTTCGGCTTGCCTAATCATCTTAAAATGTGCCAAAACGTGTAAAAAAGAATTATGAGCAAAAAGAAAATTTCTGTCTATCGGTATTCACCATACCTTTTAAAGGAATTGCGCTATAGATAAGTATTATTCCATTAGGGGTCAGATTTGAATATTTTTAAGTAAAATTGGTAAAGGGGAAGGGGGTTAAATGTCGGGGGAAATGGTAAAAAATTGCAATTTTTCTTAAAAAATCGAGTGATATGTCATTTTATAGGTTTTTGGCTATGGACATTTTGATTTTGTAATCCGTTTAATATTTTAATAGATAATTAGAAAAAGAGTAAAAATTTAAAATATTTAAAAAATCGAGTTGTCTTGTACTATTTTAATTTTAAAATTCGTTTAGTGATTTAATAAAAAAATTACAGGTAGGGGTAAAAAGGGTAGGAAGTAAAAATTCTACAAAAATATTTGAAAAAAAAATCGAGTTAATTTTATTTTAGAGCTTTTAAAGTATAGACATTTTCATTTTACAATCAATTTAATATTTTTATTAAAATTACGGATGAATGTAAAAAAGGAGGAGTAAAAATTAAAAATGTTTGAATAAACAAGTAATAAATCGTCTTAAAAGTTAAACAGAAACATAAAAGTTTTACGCACGTTTACTTCTAAAACACAACAAACCAAAGAAACAAAATTAAATAATTAGTAATACACGCAAAACCGCTTTGCGCCATATAGAACTGGGTGTTGCTGAGTCGGGTAGTCTCCATGGCATTATCGTATTTTCGTTATCTTAGTTACTGGTTTTTGAAAATGATTCTGTTGAGTATACCCATCACAATTACTACCTTTATTTCGTCGGTTTGGTCCGGATAGAAACTCAAGCGGCTTGGCAAATCTCCCTCAAATCCCCAATATTAACAATTTGGTGGATTGCAATGAGGTAAACTATTTCAATTTTACGATATAAACACATAATGTGTACTGACGATTACAGTTCAGTAGGTCTTGTTTGTTGCCTTTCTAGCATTCTTTGTAGCCTTCATATCCTCGAGTTACACAATCTGTACGTTAGATCTAATGTCTAAAATTTTAATAATTGCCCTAGTACCGGCCTCGTTCATCTACTTTCCTTTGAATATTGTAGACCATCATTAAACAATAATACAAAATTGTAACTTAATTTCGTCAGATCAAATTTTTTAACAAGAATAATTAATTAGGCGAGTAAATATATATATTTTAGTAAAATATTGATTTTTTCATTATAGACTCCTATCATTCGAGAAAGACGTAGATTTACCGACGTAATGGATGAAGAAATCGATGATGAAAGAAAAGCTCGCATATATAGATACGGCTCCGCTGAAAGGGAACCCACAAGCAGAAGAATTAAACACGAACTTGGTAACTTTAAAACAAAACATTTTTTTTATTCTCGCTCTTATAAACCTACTAAAGTTTTGTTATTATCCTCATTCATTTATATTGACTCATAAAGTAAATTATTTAAATAAATATATTAAAATAAGGACTATTTAAATTATATTTAATTTTTTAAGGATCTCGATTGGATGCTTACGTGGAAGCTGAAGCTTTCCTGGAATCTAAACATGACGGACGTCTACCATTCTTTAGAGAAAAACCCAATTTTACAGCAATGCAAGAAGGAAAAGATTTAGAACTGACGTGCTTAGCTGTAGGTGAACCTCAACCAATCGTACAGTGGTTTAAGTAAGTTTTATTACACCTTAATCAATGAAAAATATCAGATGAATAATTATCTCTACATACAAGGTTACGGCATTCATATTTTTATTGGATTTTTATCTATATCATAAGATTGGACACCCTGTATACATTATTATTATTATATGTAAAAAATGGCGATTGGGAATAATTATCGACGGGCATTTAAAAAAATATATATAAGTATTTGAACTATTGAATTTATTCAAAATTACAGACTCGCTCTATGAATAATTACACACTGAAAAAGGTTTTTCTTAATAAAATACATTTTTACTTTCCTATCTGTATACAGATATAAGGAAAGTATAGGAATCATGATTTTTTTCGATCTCGAGTTTTAGACGGATTTTTACGTTTTGAGGTCCCCTGAATCCGTTTTGACTATTTTCGCGATGATGTCTGTGTGTGTGTATCTGTGTGTCTGTATGTCGCATAACTCATGAACCGATACACAGAAAAACACAAAATTTTAAACTTAAGCTTTATTCCAGCGTCTAATGAACTGATTAGATTTTTGACAGAGTCAGAAGATCTGGGGGGGGGGGGGTACGTTATAGGTGGTCATTTTTATATTTTATGGAATATATCTGTTATTTACATTTGGAGAAGAAAATTTTTCAAATAAAAGTTACTTCTAATATAATTATCTATAATTTTGGTTTTATACAAAATTTTCCTAAAATGGTCCGGATTCGAGAAATTTAACAAAATGTAAAAAAATTGTTTAAATAAAAGTTGTTTGTAATATAATTCTCTATAATTTTTATCCAATACATAATTTCTCTAAAATGGACCGTATTCGAGATATTTGAGAAAATGTGTAAATTTCGAATTTTGAAGAAAACTCAAAAACGGATAAAGGAAAAAACATTAAATTTTAAACTTAAGTTTTATTTCGGCCTGAGATGAAATGATTAGATTTTGGACGAAGGCGGAATATCTGGGGGGTACTTTATGGGAGGCCGTTTTTATATTTGATGGAATATATATGTGAGTTACGTTTGGAGAACAAATTTTTTTAAATAAAAATGACTTCTAATATTATTTTCTATAATTTTTGTTCTATGCAAAATTTTCCTAAAATGGTCCGTATTCAAGAAATTTGACAATATGTGCAAAATTCTGATTTTTATGAAAATTTTTGAAATAAAAGTTGTTTGCGATATCGATCTCTATAATTTTTTTGTTTACACATGATTTTTCTAAAATTGGCCGTAATGAAAAAATTGTAGGAAATTTAAATTTTTCAGTATTTTCGTTTTCCATGAATATCTATAGAAAAATGTTTCGAGGTAGATGTATGTGGACAATGTATATATTTAGTTTATCCTCTAAACATTTATAGAGATGCTGCAATAGGTTGCACAAAATAACTGGAAAAAGCCTATAATAACTAGATAGGAAAGTCATGTGTTGGACACATCAGATTTTTTGTTGAAATTTCGTTAAAAATTGTCCCTTAATTACACATTATACCCAAAACCCGTTCTGTAAATTAAAGGCGTGCGCCTAGTAACAATTTCACATTCCATTAAAGACATCTTCTATTTCTTAAGTAACAGTACCCTCTCGCTCCTCCAATGCAGTAGAACTTCAAATTGTTTTCTGCATAATTCGTTAAAAATATGTGACCATATGTGAGCAAGTTGAATGTTGCTCTGGAAAAAGGTGTAGCGTACCTTACAGCAGAATAACGCGCAAAATCTCTTGGAGAGTCGTTCTCCAGTCATCAACAAGTAAACATCAAATAGTTGCGTCTAATATTCTTTTATACTCTACTTGTCGGCATATACTAGCATAGGCTACTGTAATAACCAACTTTCTAAAGGACCGCTCGTCACCAAATGTAACAATTAACTAGCCTAAAAACCATTTGTTACTATTGATAGGTCTTTAGCTATTGTTGGTAATATACTATTAAGGGATTAGGGCAGCACCGTCACCAGTCAAAGGGTCCTAGAGTCCTGAAGGAACCTCAATTCTCCAGTGGCAAATAAAAATAAAAAAATTAAATTAAAACAACAAAAATTATCCCTTAATAATATAGTCGAGCGTTTCTTGGCAACTAGTTTTAGCATCTTTTAGTCCTAAGGGAATAGAAACGCCGAGGCTTCTCAAATGCTCGGAATATTTTACTGGTAAATGTATTTTTATGTTTCGACGAATTGTAGTACTCTCTTCGGTTGCGAAAATACATTTTTTCTACGGTACAGCCACAAGCTGGTACAGCTGAGATCACCGCTGTAACGCGGTAAACAATGCAACTAAATTACCTGTTCTATTAAAAATTATCTTTACTAAAAGAAAATACCAACTCTGCTTTAGAAACAAATCCGAAAGATGTACCTTCATGTAGTACTATTTACGTAATTACAATAAACAAATAAATTGTTATACCAAAAATTTAACAAGATGACAACACTAAAAATAAAAAAAATGTAAAATCTTCTTTATAAGGTAAATTTAAATTTTATTAAAATTATGTTTAAATACCTTGCACCAACAACTTTGTTTTTCCTTATACTTCTCTTGTCAGAGTCTTGCCATCTTTAAACATCCATGTCTTATCTAAAAAAGAAACTAATACAAGCCTTCCCTTACATGTTTAAAAGCAATATGTGGTAACTTCATTAAACCTTGACCTGTATCGTCTTTCTTGTATTTAAATCCAATGTTTTTTGAACCACTGAAAAGTTCATGCTCCTTCAGTTTTTGGTTTAATATTTGCGAGGTTATGTGTCCCTCTAAACAAAATACTCACGTTAAATGATGTGAATATAGTGTATTTGATGCTCAATGTTTTTCTACATTTCATAAATAATGTTTCAGAGTGCATTTTTATCAAGGTTTGTTTCAACAACTATATTGGATCCATACACAAACCAATTTACGTCTTATTGTTGACAATCTGTCGACAACTAGTAAATGATAACCTCTCAAAATGAGACTCAACTTGGAATAGTGAATAACAAGGCGTTTTATAAATGATTTCTGTCATTTATTTTTAGGTGTTTTGCTGATTATGAAGTGTGTACCTGTAACAAAACACAAAGCACTTATAGACTACAACCAGTGTCAAATTAGGACCTCCAGGGCTTACCGTTTCAGAAGGGAGATCGACCCTCCTTTAATTTATGTTTTTCTTATGGTTTGATTCATTAAAGAGCAAAAAAGGTCTTTTTTGCACATTTATGGTTTTGCTAAGTTTGCCACGTTTTACAAGGTTTCTTCTCATTTGTTTTTTGTTCTTAATTGCCCACTGACTGAACGAGGGTCCACTACTTGAACAAGAGTCCACTGCATGAACGAGTGCACCGGTCTTTGTCAACTGATGGACAAATCGGCACTGACTACAAAAGAGGAAAATATGGTGCTGACGTCTTTTATCAACTCACAAGTTATTGTTTACCTTTTCATGAAAACAGTTCGATGGTACCCTAAAGCTGCCATTAAAGTTTTATGGAATACAGCTGTCATAAATAATAGTCTAATGTTATTTTTCTGTATCTGTATCAATAAGGTGTGGAGGGTGAGTTAACACATGACAATTAGGCCTCACTAGGCCTATTGGGCATCCTTCTAAGTAGATAGATACCTTCCAGCTCATAAGCCAGCCTACAGATATAATGTAGTTGACAACGTTGCCAAGAGGTGCTTCTCTTTTATCGGCCGGTGTTAATCAATTCTCGCCGAACACAAATCGTCTAATATGTGCTCGATTGTCTCATCTTCTTGTTCTCATCCACTGCAGAGTGTGCTCCACGGTTCAGCGGAATTGTTTATAAGCAATGTATGCTCGTTTGACTATGTTTTATGTTAACTTGCTGTCAAAAATGAGAACTAGGTACTTCACTTATATTGCAAAGTTTAGCTTTGTGTTTGTTCTGGAGGTTTTAATTCTGTTTTTATTATTTTCTTTGTGAAAAAGACAACTTAAGTCATCTTGGGATTGGTAGACTGTGAATGGTCCTTGCACCACTTTGAGAGCATATAGTGTATCCACTCATTAACCATATGTTGAACATTCTTGTTGTTTAGTGAGCGTATTATCTTTGGAAAGGTTGTCTTATCAGAACCACCTTCTATGTCTATGAGAACACCGAAGGCGGACTCTTTATTGTCCAGTGATTTCTCTATCCGGCCAGCAACAAGTTGAAAGGCTGAATCAGTAGATCTGCCTGGGGTGTATGCATGTTGATTTGGGTGTAATATTCAATTACTTTAATACGGGAAAATAACAAGTTAGTACATTTCGGGTGCAGCTAATCCTCAGTCTAGTCAATTATAATAAGCACTTGAACCTATCAATATTGTTAAGCATATCTGTTCACAAATGACACCAAAATTAAAGATAATTGGGAGAAGAGGAAAGAAATCCAAACTTGTTTCTATGTTCTGCAATGTTTGCATAGAATTATGCAATATATAACTAATGTGAAATTAGGGTCACCTGGGCCAGGACCTTAATATATTTTTTTAAGTTTTATAAGAATGTAAACTTGATTTGCATTGTATTCCATTATGATCAAATAAATCATCTTTTATGAGCATTCCTCATTTTGGCATCTCGAGAACGCCTGTTAGGGTGTCAGCCAATGTGTTAAATTCAATAAATTTAATACCTGAAATAAGTAATTGCCAGTGGCGTAGCCAGGTGGGGACCAGGGGGGCGCTTGCCCCTCCCGCCCCCATTTCTAGGTGCCCCTTGCCACTTGGCGCCCATATACACAATAAACAGTTACTGTTATTACTGCCTTTTATTGAAACTGAAAATATTTGGTAACATATTTTTAAAAAACAACAGCGTATTTGTTTGAAATGCCTCAAATATTATTTTTGCTAATTTTGACATATAAAGTGACATTTGTTATAATCGCAGCAAGTGTCACAATGATCTATTTTACACAACCAGCTGCATAATGTTGAGCATTATGAAAACGGTTTCGAAAAATTCATTATATCACCAGTTGCGAAAAGAACAACAAAAATAAACGGTTTCTGGTTCTAAAATCAATAAATAATATTATTGAAAATACAACGTTTTTAATGCATGCATCTTTTAAGTTATGAATATTATAGATTTTTAAGCGGCGTCACCAACAGTGATGGATTTACGCCTAGGCCCGTGAGGCCCGGGCCTAGGGCGGCATAATTTGAAGGGCGGCAAAATTTATGAAATGCCATAATTTTAGAGGCACAAAAAAGTAAAGACAATCAATTTCAAAAATTGGTTCAGATTAGTTTTTATAAAAAATTTTGGATAGAAAATATTATAATTCAATTCATTAATTTACTTCTCAATCTGTATGGGTAACATATTAATTTTTTAATCGATCAACTATAGTCTTTATCGAGTAATATTCTTTACTTTTTGTTCCTTTAGTGAGATTAATCTTACGTGTATAAAACATTTTGAAATTATTAAATCCGAATGACTTCTCTATTTGTTTATAGTGTGAAATAAAAATACCGAAGATTTGCATGAACCTGATTAAAAAAAAATATTAACATAAAGAAAAAAGTGTTGGTTTTCTATTCAATCCAATACTTTTCAATACTTTTTTCTTTGTCTCAATATTTTTTTTTTTTTATTCAGGGGTATTGAATATCGTTATGATATTCATTTAAAAGAGTCAGAACATTTTTTGTTTATCAAAATAATTTTTTATGAAAAATAAATCCTGTCTTTTTCCATATTCAATTTTTTAAATCATCAAAATAACCGTTAAAAAATTGAAAGTTTTATCTAAAATAAAAAAAAAATTAATTCGATATTTCTCATATTTGCAAAATCTTCAATTACATCTACAAATTTCAATAATTTCTGAAAATCCAAGTGCAAGAATTTCGAAATTTTTTAAAGTATGTGAGCTGATGTATATTAAAACGGTCGACTTATGATATGGTTACATTTATGTGGTTATTATAAATATAAATACAAACTTTTAAGAATTTTATTTATTATCTGAGTGTTTTATTTATGTGATCGTAATCTCAATAACTTCAGTGAAGCGGGAGTATTGTGCATTATTGAGACTTATAAATAGTTCGGGTGTGTATTTCACATGTTTACAGAAAACAAAAACGCTACGCTTGACAGGTACTGACGTGTTTGACTTGGTTTTGTTGTATTTGTATTTCAATAAATTAAGTTACTTTAAAATAAAAATATTGGATAAAAATTTTATAAAATTAATTTTATCAAAAAGGGCGGTGTATAGAAGGGGGCCTTGGGCGCAGCAAGCCTAAATCCGTCACTGGTCACCAAAGAACTTTGAATTTGAAAGGGATGATTTTGAACGATTAGTAAATGCATGAAAATCGTTTTTTGATAAAATTTGAAAAAATATACCGCTTACAATAATTTGCATACGCTTCCTTCGTGTAGGAAGCCCCAAAATTGTTAATTGGGCATATGAAAAAGATGAGGTATTGAAGAACAATTATTAAACGTATGCTTTTTTGCCGTCTTATTTTTGTTATTAAATAGACCACGAAAAGCTACTTTGCATACAATTGGAGCATGCACATGCATTGCGGTAATTGGACAATTTTTTTGCATACATTTCAGAAGAAATTAAGATATTTGCATACGCTAAAATAGGTCGCAAAATAGTCGATGCACTATAAACAATTAACAAACGAATGCTTTTATGTTTTAGTAAAATTCTTGATAGAATATCACGTTTTATGGATTTGCATACGATTTCGAAGTGTACAACAAGAAATAAAGGAAAAGAATTCAAAATAACGTTGAAAAATAATTATTATACGAATGCGATTTTAAATAGTAATAAATGACGTGACAAAAATCGTATATTATACAGGGTGTCCCATTTGTTCCATTTGTATGGTAGATACATAAACAACATTCAATTTAAAAGTTATATGAATTTGAATAAGACATATTTTTGGATACACAGTGTGTTACGTTTTCTTTTTTTTTGGCAAATTAAAATGTATGTTGCGCCCCTTTAAATGAATGCCTCTCCTGCCCCGCAAGACTAACTACGCCACTGGTAATTGCATTCAAAAATTTAAAATATATTGAAATTTAAATTCAACTTGAAAATCTTCCACAATAATGGCTGTCTTGGATTAAAGAAGATTTGTTGAACAAAAACCTTTTTTAGTTTTGTTATTATTAAAAAAAATTACGATAATTCTATGAGTAATTTCCTTATGTATTAACATTGCGAAACAACTTTTAAAATTTGATTTTAATCTATTCCAGAAATGACTCAATCGTCGCAGAATCTCACAGAATCAAAATCTTTACTGACGCAGACGGTAGATCCCATTTCAAATTAAGTCCAGCACTTAACTTCGATCAAGGTGCCTATAAGGTTGTAGCCCGCAACAAGATCGGTCAAACCATCGCTAGAACAAGAATAGTATTGGGTCTTGTACCAGACGAACCAGATAGCCCTGAAGCGCAACAAGTATCAGATACGGAAATTTTGCTTATTTGGAAGCAGCCCAAATTTGATGGAAATGCTTCGGTAATCTGCTACAGTTTGGAGTACAAGGGTGCCGATGAATTGGACTGGGTTAAGAAGGCTGATAACATTGACCATGAATTTTATCTTATTAGCGGTTTGGAATCCAACAAGAGCTACATATTTAGATTGGCAGCCAAGAATTCGATCGGCTGGAGTGATGCTGGCGTACCTTCAGCATCCATTACTACAAAACCTGCTGGTGAGTGAATTTTGTTTAATTGTTTAATTTTATATAAACCAACTATATACGATGCGTTTATAAAGTAACTATCATAGATAAAATAATAAGTAAGATAGACGGATTAAGTAATAATATTTGTAAAACGTAGAGCTGAGGCATAGTATGGAACGTATTTGTTTTAAATTACATAATAGGTTATTAACTTGAGAGGTAGACGTTGAATATGAAATAGAAGTATAAAAAGAGAGACTTCCAAGCGTACTTATTTACATTTTTTTAGATTCATTCATAAAACTAATAGTAGTCGCTTCATGTAAAAATATTGCATTTACCAAAAGTGTTAGTTTTTTAAATAATAAAACGTCACCCCAGTGCGATGGGTGTAAATTTTTTATGCATTTGAACTGATTTAAAAACCGATGATCGTGTCACTCGCCAAAAACTTCGATGCATTAAAATAGTTTGTAACCGTTGCTCCTAAATCGTAGATCAGTTTAGCAAAGTTAAGGGTATCCTAGAGATATTTAAAATAAATATTGATAAAAAGATTGATTCTTTTGATGAAAAACTTAAAGGTATACAAAATAATATCGAGTCATTCAATAATCAGAATTTAAGGAGCAAGTTAAAGATTCCGAATCTCTTCGTTCTTCTAAATTTATCAAAACTGTTACTGTAGATGCAGTTGATAGAATGCTCCGTGCCAAGAATATTCTAATTCGCGGGATCGCAGAGGCCTGTGAAGAAAGAACACGATAAAGAAAAACTCGATTTGATACTGAGCTCGCTCGATTCAACAGCCAAAATCGTTTCTTTTTGTAGAATCGGAAAACCAAATTCTAACAATAAATACCCTCGAATGATTAAAGTCACTTTTCTATGCGAATCTGATGCTAAATTTATTCTTTGCTGGAAACGTACACTGATGGAAAATAATTTAACCAAGGATTTTAGTATCACCGATGACAAAACTCAGGCTCAAAATTAATACCTAAACGAACTTAGAACTGAATTGGAAAATAAAAATCTGTAGATATCTCAGTTCCTCGTATTGATTCTCTTTATTTGCAGCTGCAACATCTCAATTTCTGTATTACTCTTACAGTTATTTACCGTCCGCCAGACACACCTGTTGCTACTGACGCGGCTCTGCTAGACAAACTCGATGTCCTAAGTGGTTCTTAAAATCTGATTATAGTAGGTGATTTTAATTTTCCAGACATTAAATGGCCAATTACTTCTATACCTGACACGTAAAATGTTACCATTCAATTCATGGAATTTATCCACAATTTTAGTTTTGTTCAATTAATAACCCAACCCATGAGATTTAGAATAAAGCAGATACCTTCTACCCTCGATCTACTACTTACCAATGATGAACAACTCTTAACCCCACCGGTGTATCTCCCACCAGTTGGAATATCTGATCATGCAGTCACAACGTGCTGTTAACAATTTCAATCATTCTCTTCTTGCACATCCAATCACAAGATATTCTCACTTACAAACTTTGCTAAAGTTTTTTCCTATCTAAACCAACTAGACTGGATTAATATTATCCCTGAAAACAATGATCCGAGCTGTATGTGAAATATCTTTCATAATACAGTTAATAATTGTGTAAAATCTTATACTAAAAACAAAATAAACAGAAAAACAAATCTGAAACCCTGGATAAATAATCAACTGCTGTCTATGGTAAAACATAAGAATCATCTATGGAAAAAATTTAAGCGAACCACCAATGTGAACGATTTCTTTGCTCATCGACTATTCTTCAATCAACTAAAGGCCGCAGTTATCGAAGCAAAGTATAACTATCAGGAGTACATCGTCAACTGTGCTGATAGCAAAAAGTTCTATAAATATGTTAGAACAAATCTGATATCCAAAGTGTCCGTACCTCTTCTACAAAAAGAAAATGGAGATAAATGTGCCAACAATACTGAACCTGCTCAACTTCTTTCTGACACCTTCTGTAATGTCTTCACCCTTGAAGATATGACATCACCACTTCCGGATATTTCACTAAACAGAAAATTGGCCTCTATTTCCAAAGTATCGTTTGACCCAGACATAATAAAAACAAACTTAAAATGCTTAAGTCCAACTCTTCGCCAGGCTTAGATGGTATCTCCTCTTTTCTTTTAAAATCTTGTGCTGACGCTCTCTGTTATACTATTTCCCGTATAATGACTTCCTCCTTTAATTCTCACATCTTGCCATCTATATGGAAGACTGCATCAGTGCCATATTCAAAAAGGGCAATAGGCTTGACCCAAATGACTATAGACCGATAAGCCTTGTACCAATAGTTTGTAAAGTAACGGAGTCCATAATATATGATAAGGTAACCGACTTTCTTGAAGTTCGTTTTCAAGAAAGTACTTTTAACCCAACAACATGGATTTATCAGAGGACGATCTACCTTAACTAATCTCCTGCAGTCTGTCAATGACTTGACAAAGGTCTTGCAAAGCACCGACTTTTCAAAAAGATTGAACACCTAGGAATCCGAGGCAACTTAATAGCTTGGGTAACGGACTTCTTAACCTCCAGACAATTTCGCGTAAGAGTTAGTAATAGTTTCTCTCAAACCAAATCCGTTGTTAGTGGAGTGCCTCAAGGATTAGTCCTTGGTCCCCTACATTTTCTATTATATACTGCCGATATTTATGTGCACATAAAAAGCTGTTGCTCCTTCTATGCAGACGATACAAAAATCTACGCAAATCCGATTGCGGACTATCAGTCTCTTCAATCTGATCTAAGTGCGGTATCAAAGTGGAGTTGACAACGTTGATAAATATGTTGTTCTTCACATCGGTAAAACCAATCCTAAATTAGTGTATAATATTAATAATATTGCCTTAAAAACAGTATCGTCCCAACAATGATCTCATCGTTATCATTACTAAAGACTTAACGTGGTCAGAGTATATATTATCAGTAAGCAAACAATCAAACTCTCAACTATTCTTATTAAAAAAGACTTTTGGCAATGTTTCTTCCTCAATATTTTTGAAAATATACGCAACATATGTTCGTCCTTGCCTGGAGTACTGTGGTCCTGTTTGGTGTCCCACATTAACCTCGAAGCAAAAGAGATTGGAAAATGTGCAGCGACTTGCAACAAGGCTTCCGTATTGTATAAGAAGGCCACCGTATGAACAGCGTATGTCTACCGCTAACCTGACTCTTTTTAGTGAGCGTCGACTGCGTGGTGATTTTATCGTTTATTTTCGCGCAATTAGGAACATGTTCGGTGTCGATCTTTCGGATTTATTTGTATTAAATAATGACCTGCACCTACGTGGGCACATATTGAGATTAAAAAAAAGGAAAATTTTAACTCTAGAGTTAGGCAAAATTTTCTTTTAAACCGAGTTTTCTCTGTATGGAACAATTTACCTGATAACGTTGTATGCGCACCTTTAGTTAACTCTTTTAAAAACAAATTTGATTCCTTAGGCTAAGTATGTATATATCTGTATAGAGACAATAAATTAAAATCATAACAAATTAGTAATATAACTTAACGTAATTTATTGTCTTTATACTTTCATTTTTTTTATATCAGTTAATAGTTATCGATTAAAAAAAAATTGTTTATTTTTAACTAAATTTTTTTGAATAACATGAGCTTTATAGGACTTCGATTCTCAGCTCATGTCAGTGAATAATAATAATAAGAGGGCCCAACTAACAAAGTAGCTTTATAATGTTTAGTTTACAAGACTATTATATTTTATTGATATTATGTTACTGTTTCTGAAATGCTAATTTGTTGTATATTGCAGAAACCACTATTTTGATCTTTGAAACTAAATTATTATATAGATTAGTTTTTACAATATTCTTACAGCAAAATTATAAAATAGTTTTCACGATAACTATAAAATTGTTACATACACATTTATACAACTATTATAATATATTATACAATATTTCATCTAATAAAATGAAATTAATTCTATTTATTTAGGCTCACAAAAAATAAAATTAAGTAAAGCGATGCAGCATCTCCAACAAATGACTGACAGTGGCAGGGAAGCAGAACAAGAAAGAAGGGTTCATCTAGATTATAAATTGGAATCAACACCGGTCGAATGGGAAGACTCAAATGTTCAAGAACATTACAATTTTATATCCGAGATTTCCAGGTTAGTTATAAATGAGTTATTCATTATTTCTAAAAGACCTAACGTAAAAAAAATATATACAAATGTTCATTTAAAAAGTAGTTATACAAATAAAATTAATTTATCAATTTAAAACGAATTACTCGTACGTTTAAATATCTATATGTAACACCCTACTATTATGATAACCCAATGTACACATGTGTATATATAGTTGCCTACCCTCGGACATCATTTCAGAGCGATATTGTGATTGAAAGAGACAGATGACAGTGCATATTTTACCGCGTTTTAGAGAACTCAGGTCAATTCTTGTCAGAAAAGCAATCAGTACTATATCTTGTGTTTTTGCCTTTGATATTCATTTTTTTAACGTATTTTCTTTGTCAAATGTAATGTTATTTTGTAGTAAAGTTGTTGAGTGTGTAATATACTAATGCCACGGTTTTAATACGTTCCAAAAATAAGAAGGGCTCTCCGAACCTACGAAATAGATAGCATCCAACACCACCCTTGCTATATATATATATATATATATATATATATATATACATATATTTTTTTAAATGTTCCAATTAGATGTTTAATATCTTTTAATGTTTATTAAATGTTTAAAATGACCTAATAAACATTAAATTAAACAGTAAACACACAACAACGAAATTGACTCTTCATATTTTCTACCATTGTCCGACACTACAGTTCATTGCCGTCAATGTGATAGTCCATCTTCTCCATATCGGTTAATCTCATCTTCATTGTCACCAATTTATTTAAACAACTATAAATTATTATACTACATAAGTAATTCATTTCAGGGGTAGATTCTCTGTAGTTCTAAAAGGCGTCGATAAGCGAAGCGACACAGTAGTAGTTGCCAAAATTTTAGATTATAATGAAAAAACCAGAGAAGATGTTGACGGTGAATTTGCAGCTCTTCGATCTCTAAGACATGAAAGAATAGCAAGCCTTTTATCAGCTTATCGCACAAACGGTACGGCTGTACTTATCTTGGAGAAACTTCAAGGTGCCGATATTCTTACATATCTGGCGAGTCGACATGAGTATTCAGAACAAACGGTTGCCACAATTGTCTCACAGGTAATGTAGTAATTTTAAAACATACTCCTTGTTTTAAGTATTGTATGAAAATAAATTACTGGAATATTTATTCTTTAGATATTGGATGGATTACAATATTTACATTGGCGAGGCCTGTGTCATTTGGATTTACAACCTGATAACGTTGTCATGTGTGGAGTGAGATCAGTCCAAATTAAATTAGTCGATTTAGGATCCGCTCATAGAGTTACAAAATTAGGAACGGAAGTTCCAATTGTTGGACACCCAGAGTATATTTGTAAGTACTTAATAATACGATTGTAGTGTAAGCCAGTCTATGTAATACCAAAGAATAATTCTGCATTATATGTAAACTAAATCAAAAATAATATACTTGGCAAAACACAAATTCCCGTAAATGTCTTCTTCTTTTTAGAAAATAATTTAATATTCTAATAATAGTTTACGTTTGAATCCCGTTACCTAGATCTTTACATGCGAGCACGGTCGTTAATGTCCGAGCACTAGCGAACACGTTATAAGACCGTACCAGCACGTAGAGATTAGGTAACGTTTTATGATATATTGCAATTTACCATGTATTACAACCAAAAAACATATATTCATTGCAGTATAATTTGTTATTTATATAATTCTAACCGTATTTCGTATAACTTATTTTTAGCACCTGAAGTTCTGGCCCAAGAACCTGCATTCCCACAATCCGACATCTGGACCGTTGGAGTTCTAACTTATGTAATGCTATCTGGAACTGTACCATTCCGAGGAGACGATGAAAACGAGAGCCGTCAAAATATTTTGTTTGTTCGTTATAGGTTCGAGAATTTGTTCCAAGAAGTTACGCAAGAAGCAACTAGATTCCTTATGCTACTGTTCAAACGTCATCCCAAGTAAGGATCAAATTATACTTAAAAATTTTACCGTAATACTATTATATACAATATAGTAGTTTATTTAAAAAAAATTATGTAACAACTAGTAGCTTCCTGCTAAGCAAGCAGTCACCTCACGTAACACAATGGGGACGGTTATTGAAAATTGTTGTCAATATAGGCGCTTATGTTCCAGCAAACCAAAAATCTTAACCACTAATGTGAGTGTTAGGCCAACGTTGGACGACGATTAAGGCCATTCACAGGGAGATTTATTGCACTACTTTGCTACCAAATGTGGTAACTGATCCTAGCGGTTACTTTTAGTGGGACACTACTGATACCAAATATTGTATTACTGGAGATAAGGTAACGCTGTCATCAGCCCCAGACTCCTGTGAGTCCTGAAGCAATTTCCATTCGAAAATAAAAAATAAAAACAAAAGAGCTCCTTAGTGACATAGTAAGGTGGTTTTAGTTTTGGCCTTGAGTATTTTTTCTTCAAACTTTCGTTTAAAGACCGGGAGTGACATATTCATTGGGTGCCCGTTGGTGGTATCCCCTTAAACTATCCTTTCTGAGATTCTATTAAGACGCTTCTTTTAGGAAACCTTATAGTCTGGCTGCGGAATTGGAGTGATATAGACAGTCTATATCATGGGGCTGTCAAAATCTGCACTCTGCAGAGGGTGCGAACAAGAAAATGAGACCATCGAGCATATCCTTTAGGATTGCTCGATTCTCTCATTTATTAGAAGATTTGTGTTCGGCGAGTATCGGCTAACACTGGCCGATATAAGAGAAGCACGCACCTCTTGGTGATGTTAACTACATTAAATCTGTAGGCTGTAAGTTTTGTGGGGGTAACTCACCCTCTACACGTTACAGAACCTGAGTATATACTTAAACTTAAATATGATTTTGTATGGCACAAATTAGAACAGAGAGTGAATTTTCTGCAGGATTATATGCAGTGGTTTTTTTAACAATTATAATACTGGCAAATTAAATTATATTATTTAGTTTGAGGACAAACAGAGAAAAAATAATATAAATTGACAATATTGGAAAAATTGTTAAACTCCTCATACTTAAAAAAAAAGAAAGAAATTTAAATTGAACACTTGGAAAGAATATTTATTTGAATCAAACATGTCAAAATTAATAAAGGATATTTATCCCCATCATAAGTGACTTCAGAACATACGATTCCAAAGTCATTTTCGCTCATAAAATGACCAAACGAACATGGCTTGAACTAAGCTAGTTTGTTTCATACTTTTAGTTACCTACTTAAATCAAAATCTACGTGACAGTTTTACCGTTAAATTTAAAAGAATTAACATATTTTCTTGAAAAATTCTTCTATTTAACGTAAGCTATGTAAGATGGGTCATTGGCTGATTGTGAGAGATATTCAAAATACCGATTACAACAAAACCGTGTTTGACTGACCACTATCTAGATGAGTGACCGAATTCGTAGAGCTTGAAACCTATTTAAGAGGTAGAATGTATGAGTTTAATAAATTGGGCGTCCAAATAATGATACAATAAGGCCCTGAGGGTGTAATTCCGCTATGCGACTCTTACACGATGAAAATTAGGTTGAAACCTAAACCCATTTGGGATAGACAGAGGTTGGACCAATCCTGTAAGGGGGCCGTAAGCTGGAACCCAAGTCGGATTGGGTGAAGCATGCAGGAACCCAATAGGAGGAGCACAGGTATGACTGAACAAGTAATTAGTGTGTAATAATTACACTGTATTCATTTGTTTTTTAATCAAAATACAATTATTGATAAAAAAAAAAATGGACTAGATTGATACCACGGGGGTTTTGAAGGGTGTAGAAAAACTAGGGTTTTTGGATGGTTTAGGCTCATAGTTGAATTCTTCATGTTTTGTTCTCTTTAATAGCTACAATTTTTTGTTTGTGAAATTAAAAGAAAAAGAGTTTCTGACTGTGTGAAACAGCCGAACTTCTAATAACCAGGAAGAGCTCATACATTGATGGTGATAATTTGGCAGTGGCATCTCATGAAATAAACATATATCATTGGAGAGCTTGTAAAAATTATATTCAACAACATAAGTTATACTCTATACAGGGTGGTTCAATGATACATAACAATTAAAAGTCTATTTAAATATTTATTAGAATTAAATATTTTTATTTTAAATATTTCTAGTCCAGAAGTACAAAATAACTAATTTTTAATGGATTTAAATTTTCTGATATCATCTTCAGTTCATGCAATATAGCCATTGTAAGTTTTTAAATCGACACCCTGTACATTGGCCTCCTTGGTCGAAACATTTTGTTTTTATATATAAAAATTGTCTCAGGTAAAAGTAGGTAAAGTTTCACTAAATTTCCTTTTATTTTTAGTAAACGACCATCCCCTGAAGAATGCCACGAAAACAGATGGTTACTACCTTCGGATTACATGATCAAAAAACGAGAGAGAGCCGTATTCTTAGGTCACAGAATTAAAGAATATTCAGAAGAGTACCACAGCCATAGAGAACAATCTTCGCAACAATCTAAAGGCGTATCGGGAATAAAATTAATAAGATCGCAAAGTATACAAGAGGAATTATTGACTGCGCCTTAGCAACTACATACATGTTAATGTAAATAATGTTTATATTTTACTGTTATACTGTTTCTACTATGCAAAATATAATTTTTGATCATTTTCTTGTGATTTTCGCTAAATATATTTAAACTTTTCTGTTTAACTAAAATAAAAACAAACAAAAAAACTGTTGAATCATGTTTTATATAAAAAACGGTATCGGTTATATCATTGTATTTTTAAGGTACTTTAAAGTTGTTCTTTTTTGATTTACAACTATTTTATTTTTCTTTTTGTTCTACTAATAAAGTGACATAAATATTTTTCTTTTCATTTCATCTGTTTGTATCTTTTTTGATATTCTTTAAAATAAGAGCAAATCGTAGAAGTTTTGTTTTACAAAAGCTCTAATCGTTTGCAGAACACACTATGTTAGATGTTTATAGCAATAATAAGACTAATCGTCACTTACAGGACTGTAGTCTGAAGTAAATGAACTAGTTTAACTACTACGAGAGCTAATATATCAAAAGTACAAAGACTAGCCTATATTTGTGTTACCGGTGCAATGAAAACCTGTCCTATGGCCTCACGCCTCTATATTTAATAAAAGAGAATTTGTCAAAAAAGTGGACACATAGAATGATTAGGAACAGACTAATCAGATCAAAGAAGTACAGTTTTGTTAAAAATTTCAAAACCACAGCTGGGCTGAGCAATGCATGGTATTCAGTGGTAGAAACAGGTGAAATCCCCCTTAGATTTAGAAAAGAATGGCTATCTCTTAAGTACCTAATTAAAAATATGTCTTTAGTAAACAATCCCATTATCACTGCTTAAAGAAAACTAGAAAGATTATGTGTAGTCTCTACCTACTGAAACAACAAAAGTAATCCTCTACTAATCCAGCTCATCAGTCAATTCGATGTCGTGATTGCTACTTCAGAGCTTTTACCATGTTATAAATTTGATTTCCAACCCCAATTGGCGTCCATTCCTATCGTAAACATTGGCGCTACTAAATCTGAAAGTATAGGAATTGTACAATATCAGAATGTCATCAGGAAATACCCATCTTACACCAGGTTCTTTACGGATAGCTCAATATACTCTTTCGGTGACTGAGGGTTTGGAGTGTATAGTCCAGATATAGATTATGCATTCTCAAGTAAACTTCCTTTCCATACATCGTTCAATCCATTATCCTCTCAGACTCCAAAGCTGCACTTCAAAAAATAGCAAGATCATGCTTTTCCAAGGAAACTGAACAGTGTGTCTTCTTAACTAAGGACGGTATCTTACTCGCAATAGGTGAATATATCAAAATAATTCTGGCATGGATTCCAGGCCACTTTGGGATTCTTGGTAACTTCGAGGCAGATCAATTAGCTGATATAGGAAGATCTCTAAATATTCCAGTGAATATCGAACTAAACTATCATAATTTATTTCCATTCATCAGAAATAGTGTGAATTCAAGATGGCTTGAAGAATGGAATAGCCTCAAGAGTAGAAAGAATTTCTTTTATTCTAAAGTCGTTCCACGGTTTGATAAAATCCTTTGGTTTTTAAATTTTCCCTGCAAGGACAGAAGACATTTAACTACAATAATTAGGATGAGGATAGGACATTGCCTATCCCCATATCACTTATTTCGTATAAGAGTAAAAGACGATCCATTTTGTCAGTGAGGTCAAATTGGCTCTTTAAACCAACCGCATTATCTTTGAATGTCCCATAAATATGATGGCAAACTTTGATTTATACTCTGAACTGGCAAAAACTAAGCTTTCTACTCCCTTTGACATTTGTTCTATGTTGGCTAACCTCAATAATAGCAGATTAAACATTCTCAAATTTTTAAATATATTTGAAATTCAATTATAACCCTAATACTTTATCCTCTCTTTCAGTCCTAGGTGCTCCTTCCATTTACCGTTGGCAGTTTTCTGGTTGTGTTCAGCTTGGCGACTGCCCCCAAGCGAGAAAAGTTTTTATCCTGTGTTGTGACGTCTAAGTATTAACTTTGTATGCCCCTCTACGTATATAACTCAAGTAGTAACATTAATAAATTTTTTACTTTGAAATATATAAACATATCAATTTAATAGAGGGTGTCCAATTGCTGAGAGCAAGACAAGGATACTCTTCCCGTTGTTGGCTGGGTAAATTATCCTGTGGGATATAGCGTAATAATGAAAGAAGATGAAGACTTTTTTTATAATAGTATAAGCAAATTGACACTGTTAAATCACATTAAAATTAGTACGAAATTTAAAGCTTGATTATTCATTTTAATAGAGATTCAGTCGCCGAAAAAATGTTGTAACGAACTCTTGTAATAAAAGACAATAATTAATGATTAAAAAATTATTTAAAAAAAAACGGGCCGTGTCCATCCATCCGTCTGCCCGCACGTCCGTCCATCCGTACGTCCATCCGTCCGTCCATCCGTCCGTCCATCCGTCCGTCCATCCGTCCGTCCATCCGTCCGTCCGTCCGTCCGTTCGTCCGTCCGTCCTTCCGTCCGTCCGTCCGTCCGTCCGTCCGTCCGTCCGTCCGTCCGTCCGTCCGTCCGTCCGTCTGTCCATCTATACCGTCTCTCTGTCTATTACGAAATTTTAAGTTTTTCTTCGGGAAAGAGGTTTTCCATCAATTTTCAAGCTAGACCAACTTTTTATTTTGACAGCGGATTTATCTTTTTATGGAACTTTCCTATCGGTTGCAGAAAATCGAAGAAGCCAAAGTTTTTGTTTTTCGAATTTCCCGGCTTATCCGACAAATTTTCTAAAATACCTAAAAATTTCAGTACACTACTCGACGTTCGTAATAATCTGACATCAATATTTTCCCAATAACTTAAACACATTTCCCAGGAAAATTATAAGAAAATTTTGATCAAATGCTTTTCCTGGAAAAGCGTTGCTTAAAAGAGGAGATTCAGCAAAAACACCTTTGGAAGAGTTAATTTATAACTTAACCTAAAATATTTGCGTTTCTTTCATTATTCTATAAAAAAATTAAGTTAAATATGTTCTTCAATTCTACTAGTTTGCTTAGAAGAATAGATAGAGCAAAAATAAGTTTAGAAGAATTATCTGGCTAGTTGAAACGTGTCGATTGATATAATAATAATAATAATAATATTAATAATACTCTCCCTAATTTACCCCCTTACGAGTGAATTTTAACCCCAAAAGCTGAGCTATCAACAGAAACCTGAATTTCTATTAAGAGGAGTATTTACTTGGCTGTAGAGCGGAGCATGCAAGGGTTTCGTAGTACCCCACTTTTATAGTTTATTTTTGACTTATTCTGAAAGAAAAAAATATGTACGTGTAGGTAAAGGATAAATCTATGCTCCTCTGGAAACACTTTTTTAAAATTTGAAACAGTTTTTTCTAAAAAAAAATATATAACTCGACTTGTTTTACCCATTTTCTCAATTTTTTTTAGAAAAAACTAAATTGAATTGAATTGAAGTGGTTCCAGAGGAGCATAGATTTAACCTTTACCTACACACACATATTTTTTTATTTTAAAAATAGTCAAAAATAAACTTTAAAAGTGGGGTACTACGAAACCCTTACATTGCAAGATTTTTCGTCTGGAAAGTGGCGCCTCTGTTAGATTTTTAAGAAATTAATATTTGTGAATGAAAACAATTTATGATATATTTTACTGATGTTTTACGAGGGATGAATAAATTTTACGTATTTGTACACCTTATTTTTTACGTAATTTATGTCTGTAATACTAAGATTGGCATATATATTATATGCAAGGGTTTCATAGTACACCAATTTTACGGATTATTTTTTAATTTTACTAAAAGAAATTTTATGTAAGTACAGGTGTAAAGGCTTAACCCATACCTCTCTGGATTTACTTTCAAAATATGAATCAGTCTCTTTTGAAAAAATCTAAGAAAAGAAACGAAAGCCACCCGATATGGCATGGACCATAAATTCAAAACAAAATAAGATTTGGAAATTTATTTGCAAGTAAAAGTTTTTAAATGTGGACATTTTATTGAATTCGAATTTGATTATGTTGCTGCCAGTCTGGATGGAATTAAAAAAAAAAACAAAACTCTATGATAGAGTTAAAATGTCCATATGGAGCTGAAGTGCGGACTGTAGCAGAAGAAATATGCAGTAGAGAAATAACTTTTTGGAAAAAGAACAATTCCATTAAGGAGAACCACTATTGGTATTTTCAAATTCAGGGCCAGCTGCACATAACACAAATGGATTTTTGCATTTTGTGCTTTTGGACTTCTGGAGGAATAGAAGTGGAGAAAATATCTCATATTGACAGCTTTTGAGAAAAAAAGATACAAAATAAAATTAAATTTTTTTATATGCAATATGTCTTGCCGGAACTTGTTGACAGCGAAGCAATAGAGACATGGAAGTACGAGACAGAATATTAAATAATTCGTGAGAAATTTTGTTTAATGTTTATTAACATAACGCAAGGAATCTTAAATTATTTTCAATATTTTTATTAATTTAAGAATTAAATCTTATTTATTTCTAAAACATGGTAGTAGGCGATCCATTTAAGATATGATTAATGTCTTCTTATTTTTATATTACACTATTTTAAATTTAGGATTTTACCAGTGGCAGTGGTACTTGATGATAGGTATATAATTATTATTACACCAAATGTTTTAAAAGGCTACACCAACTAGTGGACCACGCTTTTAAGTCCCAAAATAATAGTTTCAAGATTTTGATTCGGATTAGAAGTTTTACTATACAGGGTTTTGTGTCAAAGCCAAGTCATGTAGGTATTGTTATTGTAATACGTAGATGAGTAACTATCATCAATAGAAATTTAAAATTCAAACATAAATCTTTGTAACGACGTTATTTATAACTTTATTAACTTCATAACGGTCAAAAATGTTAGTTAACTTATTTAATTTTAAATATAAATTGATTTTAATTTTAACTTAGAAATTTTCGAAAAGTTCACTATATTGTTTAGTTGTTGCAACTTTACTGCGCTTAAGTAGCGTTCAGATTAAAATATAAATTTATGGAGCTTAACTGAAAAACAGAAACTAATTCCAAAAAAAGTATTATGGCCAATAAAAAGAATTTTGAATTGTGATATCTGCAAGTCCTTATTTAAAACCTTTAAATTTAATATTATCATTATACAAGAGTTATTTTTACAAATTGATACAAATATCGAACATAAGTTTGTTGACATAAATATTATTTC